TCTCGATTAAATCTGATCAAGTCTGCCAGGACTGAACAGAAGTGATCTCGATTAAATCTGATCAATTCTACCAGGACTGAACAGAAATGATCTCGATTAAATCTGATCAATTCTGCCAGGTCTGAAGATAAGTGATCTCGATCAAATCTTCTCAATTCTGACAGTTCTGCCAGGGCTGAACAAAAGTGATCTCGATTAAATGTGATCAATTCTGACAGGACTGAAGATAAGTGATCTCGATCAAATCTTCTTAATTCTGACTGTACAAACGTGACCTCGATTAAATCTGATCAATTCTAACAAGACAGAACAAAGTGAGAAGGATCAGATCTTCTCATCAAGGCTGGACGGAAGTTATCTAGGTTAAATCCACTCAATTCTAAGAGTTATCTCAGGACTGAACAGAAGTGATCAGGATCCGATCCGCTCATCAAGTCAGCAGAAGTAATCCGTATCAGATATCGCTCAATTCTGACAGGACTGAACAGTACTGATCCATATCCATATAAAATAGGTCGAAAAATTGGCGGTAACGACTGAATTTGTTCTTTTCTTCAAGACCGTATATCGATCCAGAGTGTTCATGAGTGAACAGTACTGGTCCGGATCAGTAGTGAACAGTTCATCCCTAGCCCGGTTTTCTGTTTGTTCAGAGTCGATCAGAAGAAAAGGACGTTCTGGTTTCTGCTTGTCATGCCCTACTCGTCAACATCCACTATTGACGCCTGTCTGCTTCATTTTCCATACTGAATATAAAAAAAAATCAAATCTGGCAAAATTAGACGTATTCGGTATATCGATCGACTGATTCTTCTGCCCGGAATCCGGGTCTTCGATGAGTTTGTTGCGATGTTACGGCAATTAGTTGAGGATGGATTGTCGTTTAGACAAGGCCACCTTCTTAAAAGGGGTCGTAAAAGTAGCAATTAAGGAAAAATTCAAGTCCTTTAACAATCTCTGTTTTGTTATCTAACAGCTCGTTAGAATACTCGTGTTCTTCCCAGTGTAATTGTACGTTTCCATCGGTGTATAGATGTATAAATGAATGTGTCGAGAAAAACACCATAACGACAGTTTGTACCCCAATGGAATTAGACTCACCTGGTCAAGGTGAACATAAACAGCCAACTTTTGACCTGCAAATCTGAAGATCGCCTTGGAAAGGCAAGGATAAGCTCGTGAAAAAAGCTGTAAACTCAAAATTACTGTAGGTCAAAACCAAATTCGGGTCAGTAGTGAACTGCTCATTCAGGAGCACCTAAATCCTAGCAGGGCAGTCCTGAATAAACATTACCGAACCTGATCAGTAGTGAACCATTCAAACCTGCCAGTATTGTTAGGAAAGGAGAGTACTGATTCGGATCAGTAGTGAACTGTTAAAATCTAGAGGGGCAGGTAATATAAATAGTACTGATCAATACTGAACCGCTGAATCCTAGTGGAACTGACATAAATGATTTGTATTGATCCGAATCAGTAGTGAACAGCTCAATCCTAGCTGGATCTAATGAATGAATCGTACTGATCCGAATTATTGGGTTGTCCGGAAAATAATGCAGGATTTTGGTATTAAACAAAAAAAAAGAAACTAGTTACTTTAAAGCAATGTTCTTTAATCAAAATATTTTCCCATACTCTCAATACATTTCTCCCAACGTGTTGGTAACTTATTAATTCCGTCTGAGTAGAATTCAGAATTTTTAGAATTGATAATTTCCAGTTCCGTTTGATTTTTGAATATTATGTGTTGTAAGTAGTGGTCCAGGTGTCTAAAAAAATGGTAGTCAGTAGGCGAGAGGTCCGGAGAGTAGGGTGGGTGAGGCAAAGTTTCATAGCCAAGCTCCAATAATTTTTGTGACGTTACACGTGACACATGTGGTCGAGCGTTGTCATGCAACAAAATGGGCCCTTTCCGATTGACCAAAGAGGGCTTCCTTACTGCCAATTTCTGATGCATGGTATTAATTTGGTTACAGTATGATTCAGCATTGATGGTTTCGCCAGGATTTAAGAAGCTGTAGTGTATTAAACCAAATGAAGCCCACCATACCGTAACCATTACCTTTTTTTGATGAGTTGGGGGCTTTGGAAAATGTATTGGAGCTTCTCCTTTGTCGAGCCACTGTCCAGAACGTCTAGTGTTATCGTAGAGAATCCACTTTTCGTCACATGTAACAATTCTGGCCAGAAATGGGTCATTTTTGTTTCGACAAAGAAGTGATGCACAAACATCAAAGCGCTGATTTTTTTGGCGATCGTTTAATGAGTGTGGAACCCAATTTTCGAGTTTTTTCACTTTTCCAATCGCCTTGAGGTGGTCAGCGACGGTCGTTTTACTGACTTTGAGTTGCTCTGCAAGTTCTCGAACAGTTGTTTTGGGGTTTTCTTCCACCACTGATCGCAGAACATCATCATTAAGAGAGGAAGGCCTTCCACGACCTTCTTCATCTTCAAGGCTGAAATCTCCCTCCCGAAATTTTTTAAACCACCTTTGCACAGTGCACTCATTAACACAACCCTCGCCCCAGACTTGGTTAATGTTTCTAGCCGTTTGGGCTCCGCTTCGGCCGAGTTTAAACTCGTAAAAGAAAATCGTACGAAATTCTCGCTTTGACATTATAAGGATGACTGAATTATTTCCAAGTAGCGGAATGCTACAGAGGTAAACAAACAATATCATTTGGAAGAGGATTAATAAGTGTTGACATTCATACAAATGAGTAATCCTGTAAACGTAAACAGAATATTTTATATAGATTTTTTTTAATGAAAACTTAAAATCCTGCATTATTTTCCGGACAACCCGATAGTAGTGAACAGTTCAATTCTAGCAGGACTGTCAAGAATCATCGGTTCGGAACAGTAGTGAACCATTCAAACCTGCTAATAATGTCAGAAAAGAACAGTACTGATCAGAATCAACAGCGAACCTCTGAATTCTAGTGGGGCTTTCATGAATGACCTGAAACAGTACTGAACCGCTCAATCGTGACAGTACTGTCATGAATCAGTAGTGGTCGTCCGACCTAGTAAAGCGCTGCTGATTCGAAACAATAATGTCATGAATCAGTAGTGCTCCTACCAATCAATAGAGAACTCCTACATCCTAGGAGAAATATCTTGAATGAATAGTATTGATCCGGATTTGTAGTGAATCGGATAATCCTATTAGCACATGTCAAAAGGGACAAACCTATCCGGATCAGATGTGAACCGCTGAATCCTAGAAATAATATCATGAATGAACCGTACTGATCGGAAAAGCATTGAGTCGTTGAATCCTACCAATGCGCTCATTAATGAACATTAATGAGTTCTAATCCGGATGAGCAGTGAACTGGTTAATGTTAGGAGGATTGTCACGAAAGAACAGGTCTGATGCGGATCAATAGTGAACCGCCAAATCCTAGCAGGGCTGTCTTGAATGAACAATACGGATCCGGATATGTAGTGATTAGTGACCCGTTGAATCCTACCATTTCTGCCATGAATGAACACCACTGATCCGGATCAGTAGTTAGCTGCCAAATCCTAGCAGGACTGTCATGAATGAACACTACCGAACCGGATCGGTAGTGAAGTAGAAAATCTCTGCCGGTCACAGCGTAGCATTAGCCCTTTAGCGACTTCAACAATACATTTAACCTAAAAAAGTCCGTTTTAAGATTAATCCTCGTCCACTACTAAGAACAGCGGAAAGAACTAACCTTTTGTCAACCTGATGTCGACGTCCATTGCCCGAGTGGGTTACCATCTTGATGGAAATGCATTTGGGGGGAAAAAACCTTTATTATCCAAGGAGAACGAAAGATTTTTTCGGAGGGAATCGTTGTAAGACGTAAGTCAATGGACAATAAAGCTCAGTCCTACAAATTATGTCATGAACGAACAGTACAAATTCGGATCAGTAGCGAACAGCTTAACCAGTAATCAGTAGGTTCATTCATGATAACATTGGCAGAATTGAGAGGTTCCCTTCTGATCCGGATAAGTAGTGAACAGCTTTATTCTAGTTTTATTGTCATAAGTGAACAGTACTGACCCGGATCAGAAGTTAGCCGCCAAATCCTAGCACAACTGTCACGAATGAGCAATACAGATCCGGATGTGTAGTGATTAGTGAACCATTGAATCCTACCATTTCTGCCATGGATGAACAGTACTGATCCGGATCAGTAGTTAGCTGCTAAATCCTAGCAGGACTGTCATGAATGAACACTACCGAACCGGATGTGTAGTGATTAGTGAACCATTGAATCCTACCATTTCTGCCATGGATGAACAGTACTGATCCGGAACAGTTGTGAACCGCCAAATCCGAGCAGGACTGTCATGAAGAACACTACCGAACCGTATAGGTAGTAGAAAATCTCCGGACACGGCGCAGCATGAGCCTTTTAGCGACTTAACAATATATTTAACCTAAAAAAGTCCGTTTGAAGGTCAATCCTCGTCCAATTGCCGACCGACTGAGAACTGCTAATCCGATGATCACGTCCATTATCCGTGTGTGTTCATCAAGCCCGGTGATGTATTTGTGGTAGAAAAAACTCGCTTTCTTATCCAAGGTGAAGATTGTTTTTCGGAGTGAATCGTTGCAAAACCGTCCAATATCCACCGAGCCAATTGCACAACGCTGAATTGGACAATCGTTCTTCTTCGTGATAAATTTTTCACAACCTCTTTTATTTACGGGCGTCAACCCCGGCTCGATTTACCCCTCCAAGACCTGTGTAAGGGGGGAGAGTCGAAAATTTTGCATTTTCGCCCTGCGAGAGGAGTTAAAGGAAAAAGAGTCATTTCTATTTTGTAACGATCAGGAAGTCGTGTTAGAAGTGCGATTTCGCTTTTGTAAGGTGAACGGCTTATCTTTCTGCAAATGATCTTAGAGGAGGAAAAACCTTTTTATTACTTTGTTATTTCTATGGTTCAATGAACCAAAAATAACTTTGTATTTGATTTTTTTTTAAAAATAATAATAAAAACAATAAATGCATCACCTTCTTTTTCCGTGTGAATACAGGTCTCGCCGTCACTCCAGATGGAAAATCCTCTGGCACAAATGTCGGAGGAAAAGAAAAAAGAAAAATGGGGAAAAAACGGGGGGAAATGTCCGTTCACGGGAGGTCGTGATGTGATGTCCGAGACAAGGAGCCGGCGGCTCGGGGCGAATCGTACTGAAAAAGCTCAAAAAGCCGAAGAGAAAGCTGAAGACCGAGCGGAGGCCCCACTCTCGTCTCGCGGCCCCCGGAAAGACCACCACCACCACCCGCGACCCAGTTCTCGCCTAGGTCAACCCCGTTGCGATTATCCGAACAGGCGGGGGTCCGCTCGGTCTCGCTCCTTCGTCGGCCAAAGGACACTCACTTTCTGGAATTCGCTCTTATTAAAAAGAAAAAAATATTTATTCAAATATACAATGCATCGTTTTTTTCTCAAAATTATTTTAACCCTCAGCACCCTGCAATTAACACCGGGTAATATACATTTTTTTTACGTACAATAATCATAATAAATACACAATTTACATATATAATTTTTTTTCTTTAAATATAACAACAAGATAACATTTAACATCTATAATTTTTTTAAAATTTAAATTTAATATTTTAAAATTTCTGTCTTGAGCACAAAATATATCTATACATAAAAAATATACAGGGAAGATATGTGGGGTTTTTAGATTTTTTTTAAATTTTTCCCTCTTTTTTTTGTTTGGATTTATAATATTTTTTTTACACTCAATTAATTATTTATTTATAAAACACTGATATATTTTTAAATTTATTATATTTTTTTTCGGAAATTTGAAACAATTCATTTATACATTTTTTTAAATCTATTTTATTTAATTTCTTAGTATTTGATCCGCGCCTTTTGTATTGTCGCTTTTTTTTCTTTTGGAATTCCTCCTTAGACCGGTTGCAATTTTCTGTTTGTCGCAAATAGTCAAATTTTTTTTTAAATTTAAGGTTAAAAAGGTTTTATTTAAGGTTTTTGATGATTTATTTCCATTCGTAAGAATCATTTTCGCTGTCAATCCATTCCTTTAACTCTGTATATGTTTCGACCCCCTCTCTCTCTCTCTCCGACTCTCCCTCCCTCTCTCTCTCTCTCTCTCTCTCTTTCTCTCTCTCTCTCTCACTCACTCACTCACTCACTCACTCACTCACTCACTCACTCAATAGCTCACACACTCGCTCACTCACCTCTCTCTCTCTCCTCTCTCAATCACACTCACTTACCCACTCACTCACTCAATCTCTCTCAATCACTCTTTCTCTCCCTCACTCACCATCTCTCCCTCCCTCTCTCTCTCTCTCGCTCTCTCTCTCTCTCTCTCTCTCTCTCTCTCTCTGACTATCTCTCTCTTCCCCTCACGTTCTCTCTCTCTCTCTCTCTCTCTCTCTCTCTCTCTCTCTCTCTCTCTCTCTCTCTCTCTCTCTCTCTCTCTCTCTCTCTCTCTCTCTCTCTCTCTCTCTCTCTCTCTCTCTCTCTCTCTCTCTCTCTCTCTCTCTCTCTCTCTCTCTCTCTCTCTCTCTCTCTCTCTCTCTCTCTCTCTCTCTCTCTCTCTCTCTCTCTCTCTCTCTCTCTCTCTCTCTCTCTCTCTCTCTCTCTCTCTCTCTCTCTCTCTCTCTCTCTCTCTCTCTCTCTCTCTCTCTCTCTCTCTCTCTCTCTCTCTCTCTCTCTCTCTCTCTCTCTCTCTCTCTCTCTCTCTCTCTCTCTCTCTCTCTCTCTCTCTCTCTCTCTCTCTCTCTCTCTCTCTCTCTCTCTCTCTCTCTCTCTCTCTCTCTCTCTCTCTCTCTCTCTCTCTCTCTCTCTCTCTCTCTCTCTCTCTCTCTCTCTCTCTCTCTCTCTCTCTCTCTCTCTCTCTCTCTCTCTCTCTCTCTCTCTCTCTCTCTCTCTCTCTCTCTCTCTCTCTCTCTCTCTCTCTCTCTCTCTCTCTCTCTCTCTCTCTCTCTCTCTCTCTCTCTCTCTCTCTCTCTCTCTCTCTCTGACTATCTCTCTTCCCCTCACGCTCCCTATCGCTCTTACATTGTAATTATGTAAATAGTAAAATTAAACCAAAATTTAATAACTTCACCGTCTCTAATGCGACTTTACTATATATATATTTTTTTTTTGCTGTGATAATTTGTCAAAGATAAAAAAAATTTCTTTAGATATGTCTATTTTCAATGTCATTTTTGTGCCCGGTTTTGACTAATTAAAAAAAATATATGACTGTACAAGTATTAAAAATGAATAAATAACTTTCTTCCCCTAGCGAGAACAGGCGGACCCCCTTTATACGTACACAAACGCCCTTTAAAACTACTGATTATTATTTAAATAGTACATGCGATAGAAAAATGTTTTTTTAAAACGAGAAATTTATGTTATTATTTTTACCCTGGACATCTGGTTATTCACTTGGAGGCTAAATTGTTAACAAGTAAAATTTGCCGGAATTTATGTTTATCTTTGTGCTTCTCCTTCTAAGACCGTACTAAGTTAAATTGATTTTTAAAAAAAATTATTATCTTCTGGTCGACTGGTCATAGAAAACCCCTGGACAAGTAGATGTCCTTTTTCACATGAACATGCTTTGCTTGGAACCGTGCGTCTGGTAGCCTGTGATGCTGTGGTTTGAGACTGGCTGCTTTGTCAGGTTGGCCATCGACCAGGCGATCACCACCTCGAGGCTCCTGCAGCAGGTCTCGAACGCGAGCCACTTCTTGTAGCCGTCGTACCATGCTGTGAAGGAGAAAAAAGACAGGAGAAACTTGGAGTGCTTTGATTTAAAAAAATTCCGAACCCACCTGGGTCGTAAATTCGAAAAAGGCTTGTGAGGACGAAGAGGAGGGCTAGGAAAGGCGTGAGGGTCGTGAGTCGTAGGACATTACGCAGCCGCTGCTTCCTGCTCTGCGTCGTCTCGCTCACGCCACCCCTGTTCATGTACGCGATGTGATTCAAGATCGCGTCGAGAGTCAGGTCGCTCTGAAACGAAAATAATAATTATTTCAACGGTTCGGAATATTTTTGAATAACGGACTTTTCCATGACTTTCACCACCCTCGGACGGCCGAATCGTAATGACCGGGAAGTGTCTTAAAATAGTTTCACTGTACACCCAACAAACAACATTGTTGGCACAGAATATATGGCTCAATGAAGAAGACCAAGTTGAGGAGAGGAGATTGAGAGCAAGGGGGTAAAGAAACAGACAGACAGATGTGGGGGAGGTTGATTGGACATTTTAATTTAACTCGCAAAATTAGGTCTCTTGCACCTTTCTTACATTTAACGAGCAATTACAATTAATAATGATGAGAGTGAGAAATAAGCGATGTAGAGACGAGAGAATGATAAAGAAAAGGAGAGGGACGAGTGAGATAAAGAGGCAAAGAGAGATTGACGGAGAGAGCGGGAAGGGAAGAAGAAAAAGGGAGCTGAGGGAGGGGAGATTGACAGCGAGAAGGGGATTGACAGAAGAGGAGGAGACAGAGAGAGAAGGAGGGTTGACAGAAGAGGGGGAACAGAGGGAGGAAGGATTGATAGAAGAATGGAAGATAGAGACAGAGAGAGCGAGAGGAGAATAAGAAAAAACGAGATAAGGGAGGGGAGATTGAGTGCGAGGGGGTAAAGAAACTTAGACAGTCAGAGATTGGGGAGATTGATTGTACATTTTAATTTTTCCTTTTTTTAGACCTAATTTATATTAAAATTCGGTCTCTTGCACGTTTCTTACATTAGATAGATAAGGAGAACTGACAGAAGAGGGGGGAGATAGTCAGAGAGACAGGAGAGGGGGCGATAGAGAGAGGGGAGGTTGACAGAAGAGAGGGGTGATAGGAAGTGAAGAGGGAGGATTGACAGAAGAGGGGGTAGAGAGAGAAAAACGATTGACCGAAGAAGGGGGCGACAGAGAGGATGATTGACAGAAGAGGAGTGTTAGAGAGAGGGGGGAGGATTGAAGTAGAGGGGAGATAGAGAGGGAGAGAGGATTGACAGAAGAGAGGGGTGATAGGGAGTGAAGAGGGAGAATTGACAGAAGAGGGGGGAGATCGAGAGAGAAGGAGGATTGACAGAAGAGGGGGCAGATAAGCAGAGAGATAAGGAAAATTGATAGAAGAAGGGAAGAGAAAAATAGACAAGATTACCTTGGATTCCCTTTGGGGAAGCAGGCTCGTGTTGACGTCTTCGTTTTCCTCCTCGAGCCTCGTACCGCTTGCCTGAAGGAAGACAGAAAGTTATCGTTAAGAATCCGTTTATGAGGGATTATCCGTCGGTTTACCTTTTTCGGTAGTTGGCCGGATATCCGCCTTTCTGGTCCCCAGCTGAGCTTTTTGGTCCTTCTCTGTCCTTGGTCGGTGGTCCGTGGCTCCTCGTCTTTCGAACAAACCGTCTCGTTAGTGTAATAATGGGAAAAACCTTTCCTGGATACTCACTATCGGAGCTGTTCGGGCTCGGTTTGGGGGTCGGCTTGAGGATGCAACTCTTCACCGGCTCCGTCTTCGAAGAGGATGAGGAGGCGGCGATGCCTTTCTTCTCGTGGACGAGCTTCGGGGCGAGGAGGGTCGGGACGAGGGCCGCGGCGACCGAAGTGGCCAGGTTGTTGTAAGGGGCGAGCATGGCGAGTTGCATGATCCCTTTGTACTGGGCGTCGATGTCCCTCTCGAGCATGGCAGATGGCATGTCGCTCAGCACCCGCATCGCCTTCACCCCCGAATAGAGGAATACGGCGCAAACGGCAGCCCCCCAGACGTGGAACGCAGTGTCGACGACGTACTTTGCGACTAGGACGTGCGGGTGGAGTGCCAGGGTTGTGTCGATGGCCAGCACCGAGGCGAAATGGAGAGTGATGGCCAACGAAAGGCAGGAGCTGTTCTTGAGAGGCTGGGGGGCGCTGGGGATCTGCGTGAGCCGCAGGAGGGCCAGCTGGAGTAGTGCCAGGGCCGAAACCAGGCTCGGGAAGCCCAAATCCCAAATCGCCAAGCCCAACAAACGAGGCATAATCTAAAGAAGAAAAATGCTTTAAGGAGGCACTCTTCATGATGAAGAAGGAAGTTCATAGAAATGAGAGAGTGAAAGGGGGTGAAGAGAAAGGTTAGGAAAAGGTACGAGTATGTGAAGGAGAAACAGACAAATAGTTAGAGAGAGAAAACGTTACAGAGAGAAAGAGATGTATTCACAGAGAAGAATGGAGGGAGGTGAACAAAGATGAACATAGAAGGAACATTGACAGAGAGAGCGAGGAAAAGAAAGTCCAAGAAAGAGGGAGAGACAGGAAGAGAAGATTAACAAAGAGAGGAGGAGGGGAGGACAGAAAGGGAGATTGACAAAGTTAGCAAGAGGGGTAGAGGTAGATGGTGAGAGGGGAAGATAAAGGTAGTCAGAAGGAAGGGGAGATTGTTAGAGATAGAGGAGAAGAGATAGACAGTAAAGTGGGGCGGATTGAAAGAAAGAGAGGGAGAGTTAGGTAGATAAAGTTTGGTGAAAATTGACAAATATAGTGAGGAAAAGAAATAGGGACAGAGAAATAAAAGGAATTTGCAATGAGGCAGGAAGAGAAGATTGATAGAGAGGGGGAGAGATTTGCATGGAAAGCATGAGGGGACAAGAAGATATACAGTGAGAAAAGAGAACATTGACCAGAGAGAGAGAGAGAGAGAGAGAGAGAGAGAGATTGACAGAATTGCAAGAGGGGAAGAGATAGACAGTGAGAGGGGAGAGATAGTTAGAAGGTGTGTGGTAGAGATTGGCATAGATAGCGAATGGGAAAGAGAAAGATAGGCTGGGAGAAAAGGAGAGAGGCATTGTAGGGTTAGCCACAGGGATAGTTAGGGATGGAATTTCGGCACTATACCAGTTCGTCTTGCTTTAAGCTGCCCCTTAGTGGGCACGAGAATTGCGCGAGGCGGAGTGGGTAAAGCTTGATAGTGCACAGAGAGCGGCCTTGCTTGCGGTCACGCAAGCTTACCGAACTATCTCCCCCGACGCCTCGCATGTTATAGCTGGACCTCCAGGCTAGGGTCGCCTGAGCGGCTTGGGAATTGGCCAATGGATACCAGCCTTGCGTCCCCGTTCGATCAGAAGTAGAAGTCGCCTCTTGGCTGAGAGATGCATGGCAACGTCGCCCAAAGGAAGACATACGTATTCGACAACATAGAGAGACGCTTGGGCATGACTTTTATGAAGACGGACCATTACATGTCACAGTTGTTATCGGAGCATGGGGACTTCTCATCCAAGCTCCATGGATTTTGACTGAAAGACAGTCCATTGTGTGAGTATGCCTCTCGTGGAGACGGTCGAGCATGTGGCCTATGTATGCGAAAAGTACACAGTCATCCGGACGAGATGGACGTATGAATCCAATGTTGATGAGGCTAGCATTGACTCCTTACGCCGCGTTATATCCAGCCGTGCTGGGTACTAGGCTACCGAAAAAATGAGGAAAGCCATCATCAGGCAAAAAGGATGACCAGCCTTCGCAATCTGATGTCTCTGATTAAGACGAAGAAAGAAACATAAAGCCTAATCCTCCTACTCCTAAAAAGGTAAAGGCTCCAGAAACAATTAAACTGGAAAGGAACTAAACAATTCGGGCAAACAACCATAATCAACAAAATCAGACACCCATTATTAGAAATGGGGATTCAACTTCCTACAAAGTCTCAACGAACTTGACTGTCAAAGAGATGAAGAACACAGGAGAGCATCAGATATGGTATACCGATGGCTCCAAAACAAACGAAGGAATCTAATCAGGCGTTTTCTGTACAAGACCAAAACATGAGCAATCAAACTCATTAGGGAAGTACACTTCGGTCCTTCAAGGCAGAAATACATGCCAACATTGCTTGTGCCCTGGAAAATCTTAAAAGAGGTTACACTGGCAAAAAAATCCTCATAAGATCTGTTAGCCAAGAAGCCACTAAAGCATTAGCGTGTAAAAGAATCACATCCAAAATTAGTCACTGAATGCTTCCAAAATCTCCAAAACCTGGGGAAACACGACAACCTGATGATATCTTGGGTGCCAGGACACAGGGGAATTTTGGGAAATGAGAAAGCAGACAGTTTGGCCAGAGGAGGATCTGCAAGACCGTACATAGGCCCCGAGCCTTGGGATAACAAAAACAATAGAATCCTCCATGGCAGAATGAATCCAAACAAAACAAAAGGAGAAGTGGATAAACTCTAGCGGTGCTAGACATAGTACTCTTAGGATGAAACAACCCTCTCACTAAGACTGGCAAAAGCATTGCTGCAATTGAAGAGGGCCAAACTCAGAGGAGTGGACTACTACATCTACACAACATGGGTATATACAACTATGATCCCATTTGCAGATTATGTAATAAGGAGGAAGAAACAGCCACCCATATCATCTTCGAATGTGAAGCAACAGCTCAATGGAAATTTAACCTAACCTATGGAAAAAACTTAGGAAATCAGATTGCAGCAGCGACCGTGAATGACCTGATACTTCTAAGTAGAAGGATTGAGTCTATTGCACTGAACTAAGGAACTAAGAAGGTACAGTAAACCAAAAGGCTGCAGTGCCTGGGGGGCGCAAACCCCGCGTCCTAGATCCTTTTTACCATACTATAACATACCTCCTCCTAAAATCCCGAGTGAGCCGCCTCCGCGAGGCACATCCTGGGCATAATGACATACGGTTACTAAGAGCTCGCCAGGAGGGGTGAGATGCGACCGTCTAATTGACAAAAGAAACAAGCTTCTATCTACAAACCGAAAAGCTTTATAGAAATGCAAGTCAAGCAGTTACAAAGACCCAGATGGGTTAGGTGAGGCAAAACGCAAAGGCACAGACGGTTAGCCACAGGGAAAGTAAAATACTGATAAAATAAGTAGGAGAATAAGAAAGATAAGATGAAATCGTAAAACTAGAAAAAGACATAAGCGAAAGGGAAAAAAGGAGGAAGAAATATTTGCCTTCCTATAATTTCTTGATACTTTGCCATGTGCTTTCTTGCCACAGCTTTCTTTCCAGGCAAATTTGATCGTTTCATTGATTCTTTCGCCTGTTGGGTGAATGTGAAATATTCCAGGCGTCTACGAGGTAGGAAACGACAATAAATTAATTTTAAAAATCCGACGTTTTTCCTTAATTTCCGTCTTAGGGTCGATTCACTCCGTCACCCCGTCATGGAACGGTGGAAAAATAAGAGATCCGTGTCGTTTTAATTAAATTTAGGCTAGAACTTAGGGGGTAAATTTTTTTTTTTACAAATTAACTCAAGTGGAAAGGGCCTTGCGCATTTCTGCTTCCTATCCCGACCGGAATTTCGAAAACCGGTCTGGTCGGGGGACGTAAATGAAATTAAACCCGACTTTCATTGTACTTTCCCCGGCAGATTGGAGCTTTTGGCACGACTAGGCAAGCGCTACAAGTCGGAACAAAAATCGAACTTAAGCCAGGGACAAATAAAAGAAAAATAGAATACGTTATGAAAAAGAGAAAAAGAAAGAGGATGAAATGGGCAGAATGAGAAAAACAAGTAGACGAATCACAGAAGTAGAAGGACAAGGATATCAAGTAGTGGGACTAGGTGAGTGACTCTAGTGATAGAAGGTGGAGGAAGAGAAAGAAAAAATAGGAGGAAAAACAAGACAAGATGTGAAAAATCAGTAAAAATAGACTTACTAAAGATAAAATCAAAGAAAAAGGGAATAGTGATCCGTTGATCATAATCGAAAAAAAGAGAAGGTGGTAAGGAACATAGAAAGAAAAAGGTGGAGAAATGGTGGAACGTGGAAGAAGGGAAGAATAATTAGAAGAACAGAGCAGAAGGAAGATGAGTCTAGGGAGAGAGTATAATAATAGAGGAGAAGTTAGAGAAAGGGAAGAAAGAATTATTGACAAAACTGGTTTTCCATGGAGAAAGGGAAGAAAGAAAAAATAACAAAGAAGAATGAAAAAAAGAGCCTAGGAAGAAAATATAATTATCGTGGATGAATGAAAGAAACACAGAAAGAAAAAAGTGTAGAAATGGTAGAACATGGAGAAAGGGAAGAATAATTAGAAGAATAGAGCAGAAGGAAGATGAGGCTAGGAAGAGAGTATAATAATAGAGAAAGAAAGAGGAGAAGCATAAAATAACAAAGAAGAATGAAAAAGGAGACTAGGAAATAATAAAAAGGAGAAATGGAAGAACACAGAAAAACAAAGAGAGAGAAAGGTAAGAAACTGTCGTACCTGGAGAAAGGGAATCAGGAAAAAAATAAAATAGCATAGGAAAGGAAAATAATTATAGTGGAGAAATGAAAAGAACACAGAAAGAAAAGGTGGAGAAATGGAAGAACACAGAATAAACAAAGAGAGAGAAAGGTAAGAAACTGTAGTACCTGGAGAAAGGGAATCAGGAAAAAAATAAAATAGGATAGGAAAGGAAAATAATTATATTGGAGAAATGAAAAGAACATAGAAAGAAAAGGTGGAGAAATGGAAGAATACAGAAGAAACAAAGAGAGAAAAAGTAAAAAACTGGTCGTACATGGTGAAAGGGAATCAGGAAAATTAAAATAGCACAGGAAAAGAAGCTAATTATTGTAGAGATATGAAAGAACATATAAAGAAAAGGTGTTGAAATGGAAGAACACAGAAGAAACAAAGAGAGAGAAATGTAACAAACTGATCGTACATGGAGAAAGGCAATCAGGAAAAAAATAAATAAAAGAGCATAGGAAAATAAGATAATTATAGAAGGGAAGAAATCAAGCAATAAAAAGGTGAGGAAATGTTAGAACATGGGGAAAGGGAAAGAGGAGGATTTTATGGACTAACTATAATTATCGTGCAGAAATGAAAAGAACATAAAAAAAAGGTGGAGAAATGGAAGAACACAGAAGAAACTAAGAGAGAGAAAAGTAGAAAACTGGTTGTACGTGGAAGAAGGGAAGAAGGATAAAATAACAAGAATGAAAACAGAACCTAGGAAAAGAACACAATTATGGTGGAGAAATGAAAAGAACACAGAGAAAGAAAAATTAGAGAAATGGAAGAACACTTAGAAAGAAAGAAAAAATTAGGAAACTGGTTGTACATGGAAGAAGAGGAGGAAGATTAAAAGATCACAGAAGAATGAGGAGGAAGAGTTAGAAAGGAGGAAAAAGCAGTGGAATAAGAAAAAGAGCTGTAGAATGTCGAGGAGTTGAAGGGAAAAAATATGGAAAATAGGAAGGAAGTGGAGGATTTATTAATAATTCATACTACTACTGCATATTTACTTTTTTTTATAGACAGTATATATTATTATACCCACGTTTTTAAGGGCGTATGGGTCAATGAAGAGGCAGACAGCCCGCGAAGAGCTTAGAACACAAAGGAAGACGTTAATTGTCGACATGTACGGCCTTTTCGTTATCAGCGACCTGTAATTTTAAAAATTAAAAAAAAAATTGTTAATAAAATCTTTTTTACAGTTTTTGACAAAAGTGCCTCACCTTATGTTCAAAATGGAAAAGAAGGCGTAAAAAGCTAGCACGAGAAACGAAATAGCAAAGCCGTAGGCGTGCAGCATCAACCACCACTTGACCTGGAACATTTTTTAATTGTAATTAAGTAAAAGTAATTAGAGGAAAAAAGGGGTAAGGGAAAAAAATATTAATTTCCTACTTCCTTGTTCACCTCCGCCCACGCTCCTCTCCCTGGACCCCATGAGCCGTGCCATACGAGCCGTACCCTCGCCGAATTGTTCACCTCCGTCGTCCCAAGAAGGTCGGAAACTGAAGAAGAGAAGGTCTAAATAAGAAAGGAGGGGAAAAAATAAACGAGGGAAAGTAGACAGAAAATCAAGGGAAATGTCCTCGTTTGTGTATATAAAAGCAGCCTGTTAATCGTCAGCGTCCACCGTGAAATGGCTCGGACACGCTGGACGGCCTTTTTGACCTAGACCTTCAATTATTCACATGGGTGACTCTGAAAACCTTTCAGTACAAGGTGTTACAACTGGTCTTTAAAATTGACACGTATTATTTTATAGATGACACCGTCACAATATCTATGTGTCAATTTCTAGGACAAATACTTACGGCTTAGTCTAAGTGCCTCTTCATCCTATTCAAGAACGTCCATGAGGATGGCGCAGGATCCATCACACTAAAACACCCGTACAACTGTTCCGGACACCACTGCAATGGAAAGGATTGGAAGTTTGCACAATAAAGAAGGTAAGGAGGGACCACTTAACATCGGTTTATTTCACAGGAGAGGGACGACTATATTCCATAGGATGACTTCTCCCTATTAGGATGACTCTAATGCCAATCACGAAGCCTGGGAAAACAGCACGAAGAAAAGAGGAAAAGATCAACTCCAAAGAACTTCCATTAAAAATTTGAAGGTGTCATTATATTTGACATTGAAACGGAAGAAGACCCAGGAGTGCATGCCAAGACCGGTCGAGTGCAAAGCCTCGTCAGCAAAGATCAGGAGTGCCCGCCATCGAAGTTCGTGTCCACAGTCTCCCTCTTTCTTTCCCTATACTCTGTCTATCTCTCTCACACAGAAAGTGGAAGAAAGGTCCATGAAACCTAACTCAGCGTTTTTTTATTCTAAAGAAATTCTATTACTGCATATTTCTCTTTTCCTGTCTGTCTCTCTTTCTCTTTGTCCCTCTATCCCGTTCTCCGTTTCTCTCTCCCCCTCTCTTTCTTTCTTTTTGTCCCTATATCTTTCTGTATATCTTTATTTATTTATCTATCTACTATTCTATTTATCTACCTCTCCACCTCTCTCTCTCTTTCACTCTCTCTATTTCTCTTTCTCTCTCTCCACCTTTCTCTTTGTCCCTATATCTTTCTGTACATCTCTATCTATCTACACATCTATATATCTATCTACCTCTCCTCCTCCTCCTCTCACTCTCTCTCTTTCTCTATCTCTTCACCTCTTTCTCTCTCTCTCTCTCTCTCTCTCTCTCTCTCTCATTCTCCACCTTTCTCTCCTTCTCCCTTTCTCTCTGTACCTCTCTTTTTTTTCTCTTTGGCCTTATATCTTTCTGTAGATCACTATTTATTTATCTATCTACTATCTATCTATCTATTTATCTACCTATCTATCTACCTCTCCACACCTCTCTCTCTCTCTTTCCCTCTCTCTATTTATCTATATATTTCTCTTTCTCTCTCTCCACCTTTCTCTTTTTGCCTATATCTTTATGTACATCTCTATCTATCTACCTCTCCTCCTCCTCTCACTCTCTTTCTTTCACTATCTCTTCACCTCTCTCTCTCTCTCTCTCTCTCTCGTTCTCCCTTTCTCTCTCCATCTCACTTTCTTTCTCTTTGTTCCTATATCTTTCTGTAGATCTCTCTTTCTCTCTCCACACCTTTCTCCCGCTCTCCGTTTCTCTCTCCTCCTCTCTTTCTTTCTTTTTGTCCCTATATGTTTCAATAATATAGGTCACTCGAAAATTCTACATTTATTGAGTAAGGTCAACAACCAACTACTGGGCGTTAGCGATAAAAAGGTGAAAACACCTTTAGGGAAAAAGCACTTTCAGGTAGTTACTCCCAGTGATTATAACTATAGTGCGGATAATGACCATCGTAGCCTAGACTGCTTCACCGATGGCTCACTCATTAAGGACAAGGGAAGCGGTGCTGGAATACATATACCTAAATTAGGGATCAGCATCTCCTCCCCTCTTGGTAATAACACCTCGGTCTTTCAAGCGGAGGTCTGGGCCATCAATGTTTGCTGCAGAACACTCATGGATAACAAGATTAAGGGAAAAGATATTAAAAATTTTTCCGACAGTCAGGCCAGTCTTAAGTCATTACAAAAAGAGTTATCAACATCTAGGCTGGTAGAGGAAACCGTTGAACTTATTAATAGGATTACTACCAGGTACGAGAATAGGGTAACCCTCATATGGATACCTGCTCATAAGGGGCACTTTGGCAATGAAGAGGCGGACAGCCTGGCCAAAGAAGGATCAAATACTGCGTTTGTCGGGCCACAACCGGCATTACCCCACTCTAGAAGCACAGCGAAAGGGAGTATTAGTTGCTGGGGCATGAAACAATTCCTTAAAGAATGGAATATGTCCCCCGGCCGCAGGCAATCGAAGGAGTTTCTGAAGGAAATCAAACCAAAAGAAACGAAATGGTTATTTTCTAACTCTAGGAGGGGAATTAGGAGGCTGATAGGTATCCTAACGGATACCCCTTGAGAAACACCTCTTCATAATGGGTATTCTACCAGACCCCTGTTGCCGCTTCTGTGAAGCAAAGGAAGAAACGGCTCGGCACTACCTTGCAGAATGCGATAGGTATGCTAGGAAAAGATTTGAAACTATCGAAGGAGAGGACATAACCAAAACACTCCCCAAGATAAAATGGTGCCTATATCTTTCTGTAAATCTCTATTTATTTATCTATCTACTATCTATCTATCTATTTATCTACCTATCTATCTACCTCTCCACCTCTCTCTACATCTCTCTTTCCCTCTCTCTATGTGTCTATCTATTTCTCTTTCTCTCTCCACCTTTCTCTTCGTCCCTATATCTTTCTGTACATCTCTATCTATCTACCTATCTATACATCTATCTGTTTGTTTTTTCCTTTCTCTCCTTCTTCTATTTAACTACTTTTCAAATTTGCTTTATTTCTCTCTCTCTCTCTCTCTCTCTCTCTCTCTCTCTCTCTCTCTCTCTCTTTCTCCCTTTTTCTCTCCATCTCACTTTCTTTCTCTTTGTTCCTATATCTTTCTGTAGATCTCTGTCTATCTATATATCTATCTCTCCACCTCTCTCTCTCTCNTATATATATTATGCAGGGTGGGCGGCCAAGACCCGAGGGGTTAAATGCCTGGGTAGACTCGTACCCCATCCCTAAAATCTATATATCTTACTCCCCACCTTAATCTTTCTCTATCTATTTATCCATCTATCTCTCCATCTTTTTTTCTCTTTCTCCCTATATCTTTCTATAGATGTCTCTCTCACACTCTCTCTCTCTCTCTCTCTCTCTCTTTCTCTCTTTCTCTACCTTTCTCTCATTCTCTACCTTTCTCTCGTTCTCCCTTTCTCTCTGCACCTCTCTTTCTTTCTCTTTGTCCTTATATCTTTCTGAAGATCTCTATCTATCTCTCCACCTCTATCTCTGCTGTTGACTACAACTACTATCTATACTACCCTATTGACCACAAAAATAAGGTTATTCGAAGTAATTAATATTTAATACATTAGAAGTAGAGTAAAATTAGTAATCATTGTATTTCACATTAGATGAAAGAATAGTCCTTGAGACCAAATCTTGTGTGATAGAGAAATAAAGCGTTAATCGTCAGCTCTCTCTTACTCCCTCCGTCCCCCTCTCTATAATCAACCTTTCTCTCTATTCCACACTACCTACCTCTACATTATCTATCCATCTGTTTTAGTGACGATGCTGTTTGTCATCGATACTATTTGGTGACAATACTCGTAAGTTTACCAAGTGGGTCCATTTGTCATATTTGACGATTAAAGATTCTCTTGAAGGAGTCGAAAAGGGGCGTCTGGAAGGTCTCGCTTTGACTTTTCCAGTTCACCAGTTGAATAGAGGCCACAGGGGTTGTTTCGGGGGTGGCGACCTGTGGATTCTCCCACTTCTGTTTCAGACGTAGTGAGAAAGAGAGGGAAAAAAGAACCCTTCTGAGACGGGGTTGAACACCCCGGGTCTTGTGCATTTACAAGCGGATATCGATTCACACCCGACAACCCCTTGGAAAAGGGGTGGTTGCAACCTTTGACTTTTGATTATTCACATAAAAGGGGGGGGGGTAATTGTTTAAAATGAAAACAAATATGGTGAACCCAATGGCTCCTGTTTGGGGGTTGGTGCGGGGGTTAATCTGCATTTTCTCCAACCCCCCTCCCCCACAGGTGGGCCGGGGGTTGGCGCCGGGGTGCTTTTGATCCTTTTCACGCGATCGCTAATCCGGCTTGAAATCGAACTTTAAATACAGCCGTGAGGCGGGGTGAAAGAAACAAATAAGAAAAAAACGAGGTCAGCCCGTTTTATACAGAGGGTTGAAACTACACCTCGAGGTTCTTTCTGTGTGAAATGTGTCGAAACTTATGGCTAAAAATTGAAGGAAGGAGGAATTCTTGAATAAAAAATACAGCGGGGGGTCCGGCAGGCTTCGCTTGTTTTAGTTTTGATTTCACTCCCCCTAGCTGAGCCGGTTGTTGTTTAAATACATCGGCTTTAAAAAATGAGTCCGCCAAGTCTCGCGGGCTTTTTTCTTTTTGAACAGTTAAAAAAAATTAAAATTAAGTACTCACCGTTCTGAAAAGCGTAGTCGTCCGTGAAATTGTCAAACATTTTCCTTCGCCCCCTTTATTTTTTTATTGAAGGTGAAAACAGTGTCCGAAGTTATAGAATATAATAAAAATAAACAAAATTAAAATAAAAATAAAAAATAAACACGCGTGTCGGGGAGGGGGTCTAAGCGACCAGGGCGATCCGATCCATGCCGACCTGGCAGCGCGACTGGGCTCACGGGGCCGGACGGGCCATCCCCGAGGGATCGATCTGCGTGCGCCCCTTCCAAAAATAATAATAATAATATCGGGTTGTCCGGAAAATAATGCAGGATTTTAAGTTTTCATTAAAAAAAATCTATATAAAATATTCTGTTTACGTTTACAGGATTACTCATTTGTATGAATGTCAACACTTATTAATCCTCTTCCAAATGATATTGTTTGTTTACCTCTGTAGCATTCCGCTACTTGGAAATAATTCAGTCATCCTTATAATGTCAAAGCGAGAATTTCGTACGATTTTCTTTTACGAGTTTAAACTCGGCCGAAGCGGAGCCCAAACGGCTAGAAACATTAACCAAGTCTGGGGCGAGGGTTGTGTTAATGAGTGCACTGTGCAAAGGTGGTTTAAAAAATTTCGGGAGGGAGATTTCAGCCTTGAAGATGAAGAAGGTCGTGGAAGGCCTTCCTCTCTTAATGATGATGTTCTGCGATCAGTGGTGGAAGAAAACCCCAAAACAACTGTTCGAGAACTTGCAGAGCAACTCAAAGTCAGTAAAACGACCGTCGCTGACCACCTCAAGGCGATTGGAAAAGTGAAAAAACTCGAAAATTGGGTTCCACACTCATTAAACGATCGCCAAAAAAATCAGCGCTTTGATGTTTGTGCATCACTTCTTTGTCGAAACAAAAATGACCCATTTCTGGCCAGAATTGTTACATGTGACGAAAAGTGGATTCTCTACGATAACACTAGACGTTCTGGACAGTGGCTCGACAAAGGAGAAGCTCCAATACATTTTCCAAAGCCCCCAACTCATCAAAAAAAGGTAATGGTTACGGTATGGTGGGCTTCATTTGGTTTAATACACTACAGCTTCTTAAATCCTGGCGAAACCATCAATGCTGAATCATACTGTAACCAAATTAATACCATGCATCAGAAATTGGCAGTAATGAAGCCCTCTTTGGTCAATCGGAAAGGGCCCATTTTGTTGCATGACCACATGTGTCACGTGTAACGTCACAAAAATTATTGGAGCTTGGCTATGAAACTTTGCCTCACCCACCCTACTCTCCGGACCTCTCGCCTACTGACTACCATTTTTTTAGACACCTGGACCACTACTTACAACACATAATATTCAAAAATCAAACGGAACTGGAAAATGCATTTATTGACTTTATCAATTCTAAAAATTCTGAATTCTACTCAGACGGAATTAATAAGTTACCAACACGTTGGGAGAAATGTATTGAGAGTATGGGAAATTATTTTGATTAAAGAACATTGCTTTAAAGTAACTAGTTTCTTTTTTTTTGTTTAATACCAAAATCCTGCATTATTTTCCGGACAACCCAATAATAGCAATAATTAAACAAAAAAATAATAATGTATACGATAAAATGAATACAGAAAAAAAAATGTTAGACACAAATAACTGAACCCTTGTACATATCCTCACCGTACACGCTAAAAAAAACCTCCAAAATTAAAATAATTTTTCAAAAAATTACACCCCCGGTTGTCATAAAAAATTTTAATAAAGAAAATATTGATTGATTCAAATCCTCCTTAGATCGTTCGGTATCGATAGGGGGATGCAACAACCCCTGGCCCTATTGATCCAGTCGCAGCATCCCCACATTTCCTACCCCCTTCACCCCACCAAACCACCCCCTTGATTGAATCAAGGGGGGCTTTCAACCGCGACATCGGAGAAAATAGTATACGAAAAATCCACAATCTTTTATTAATCTGGTTAGGGTGGCGAATGTGGCGTTAATTTTTGCCAGGATGGGATCTGAAAATAAAGCATGTTTAAGTACAAGGACCTGTTAAAAATGCCCTCGATTTAATGTTTTTTTTTCCCCCCGGGTACGAAAGAATCACATTACTCGGACTACTACACTGGACGTGGGAGTACTCCAGGGAAGAGTACTTGGACCAATCCTCTATATCATTTACACTAGATATCCCGACTGGACGTAACACTCTTCTGACATCATGGTGCAGTATGGGAGACAAGGCAGAGTGCTAGGACCTCCATACCTTTCTGATCCTGACACCTACCACTGCCCTTAAGTATTTGCCGATGATGGGAGGCTTCCTTAATGACCGCATATGGCACAAGGGTTTCCTGTATAAATTAAAGTCCTTCCAAACAGGATCAGGTTAATTCGAGTACTGCAGGGCAGAGTGCTTGGACCAATTCTCTATATCCTTTATACCACAGATGTACCAACTACACTAACCATTCTCCTTGTGTCATTTGCGTATGCCAGGAGACTTCGTTGATTACTGCACGTGGCAGTGGGAATATTGCAAGGCAGAGTGCTTGGACCAATCCTTCATATCCTTTACACTGCAGATATCCTGATACCTACCACTTCCTTGCATTTGTACTGATGAAGGAAGGCTTTCTTGTTAACAGCACTTGGCAGTGGGAGTATCGCAAGGCAGAGTGCTTGGACCAATCCTTCATATCCTTTACACTGCTGATCCTAACACCTACCGTTCTCCTTGCATTTGTGCTGATGAAGGAAGGCTTCATTGATGACAGCACGTAGTAGTGGGAGTATCGCAAGGCACAGTTCTTAGACCAATCCTCCATATCATTTGATGTTCTGACACCTACCACTGTCCTCTCATATTTGCCAATGACGGGAGACTTCCTTGATGACAGGAAGAGACAGTGTGTGTATCGCAAGGCAGAGTGCCTGGACCAATTGTCAATATCCTTTATACAACAAAAGGTCTGAACAAGAACAATACCAAGGTTCTTGACAGCGGGGCAAGAAGAAATAGGGTGGTGTTAATAATAAATGTACGCATTAGAAAGAAACTGGCCCCAAATACATCCTGAGACTTTTCTACATTTTAGGGTGCCAGGAACTAATTGTAAGTCTAGATTCTTACAATTACAGTTTGTAAGTTTGTAGGAAAGGAAAGGTAAATTAGGGACTCGTCTATATAAATATGATGGGAGAAATATTTTATGGATTTAGGTAAGCTGTAAGTAGGAATAAAAATGGGAAGCAGATACATGATCATTAAGGGACTTCGGGGAAATGGGCTGAAAGATGGTGGATGAATTGGACCATGTACTGGAGGAGTTCCGTCTGAGCACTGCACCTTTACCTTTTCTTTCCAACTCTTGATGTAATTGTAAAAATCCAGACTTACAATGTAGAAAAGTCCCAGGATATTGTTTTTTGGTCTCGTTCCTCTCCAATCCTTACATTTTTATCCTCTTTACTTGTTAGTACTCCATCCTAGATTCATTTTGGGAGCTCGTAACGCTTGTGCAAATTGAGCCCCTGATCTGTCGGTGTTCTTCCCTCGAAGAGACTCAGCTTTCAAGGGGGGGGGGGATCAAACTGTGGTTTCTGAGATCCAATCCTGCTGGATCTTCCCTTATGCATAAGAAAAATACACGGGTGACGGTGGGACCCAAACACACGTCCACAAGGTCTACTAAACCACTAGGCTACCGTGGTGCCCTTGGGATGGATACTGCTTGAGAACATCGGAACCAATTAAGGACAATACAGAAGGATAAAATTTTGATTTAAATAAAAAGGATCTACTGCATCAAAGGCTTTAGAGAAGTACAGGAGGACAAGAATTGAAATTTTACCTTGGTCTGCCTGTATGTCAGTGGAGTTTTTTAGTAAAACAGGGATAAAATCAAAGGTGTGGTTACCTTAAATAAATTTCCTGAATCAAAACAATTTATAGCCATCAGGCCAGCATAATTATTTAAAGATGAACGAGCCAACTTACCTTGATCTCGATTTAAAGAGTAAACTCATCTTAGAGATCCATAAGCCCCCATGGAAGATGATCGACCACAATTTTTGGTTATTGTTGCCATACCTTGGCCACTTAGAAGCTAGTTATAGTTTTCAATTACAAACATACTTTAAGTTAAGTTTTAGGAGTTACAAGATCAGGTCCGCCATGATTTTTTTTTTTTTTTTTTGCTACTGACTAGTAGAATAAGATGAAACGTAGGCATGATGATCTGGTATATTTTGAAATGGTATATCAAACCAGACTTACCGTCACAATTTTCCCATTCACCATGCAATTTCGGCTTAGAAATTTGATCCGCTGATCCGTTTTTACCGACAGCCTTTATAGCATCCTTACGTTAATATCTAAGGCAACACGCTCTTTAATAAATGTCCGGCTAAAGATTTAAAATTCTACAAGAAAGAAAAAATTTTATATATGCGTTAAGAAATTAAATTTAAAAAAAGGAATTATTTACATGCATACGGTCTCTTTTGAGCTGGGTGCAGGACACAGGATTGATCTAAATGTCAGCCTAGGAAATTATCATTTACGACTTCAAATTAAAAAAAAAAAAATCCAAACTAAATACTTAAAGAATATCTTTATGTACAAGCAGTTTAAACAATAAAAATAATTATTTACAGAGGAAATCACGAATCCTCGGGGTTGTAGATGCGAACGTGTATCGCCGAGTTGTCCCTTTTTGACTCAGTCATTTCGTCCAATCCTTCAAAATCGTCTAAAAAAAAAATTTAAAAAATAAAAATTCTCTTCTGTCGTATATATTACGGGCTGTTACCTGTTATCCTCACTGTAGATGTCTTGACGTCCATGATGAACCGCTCGCCCAATTTCTCCTTTACCTAAAATCATAATATACGTTAATTTCTCTACGATTCATTAATTATTTCTGATTTTTTTTACCTGTAGTGCTAGGTTGATTGTCCTGGGTATTGCGGCACCCAAGCCGTGCATGCAGACGTAGCCAACTGACTCTATGAGCTTCGTACACTGGGAAATCTGCCCCTGGAAAAAAAATTAAATATATTGCACACCCTCAAGAAAAGAGACACAACAAAAGAAAATTTCATAGTAGAGACAAATGAAAGTTTACTTTTTTTTTACTTAATGTATTAAGTACACGCCGTTACAGTTGTTGGCAATAAAAACTGTCATGATCCATCAATATCATTCGTTTGTCCAAGACTTAAGCAAAAGCACAAAACTTTAAAAATCCAGCTGTACTACCCCCATAAAAAAACTACCCCTTTTTGAGTTGATACTTTTCTTGCATATATTGGTGCTCAAGTAATTCAAGTTTGTTCGCTCTAACGACAGTGAGTAGTAACAGGCAATATACAAACCTAACAAACGATCATAAATACCTATGTAGTAAGTTTTGCTAAGATTATTTTTGACCTAAATGTGCTTTCCTCCTATAGTCAGGGCTAATTAGGTACATATAATACCAAAATAATTATTGAAATAAAGATTATTTGGAAATCGTGAGATGCAGTCTGGTAGGTTTAGAAAAACATTTTCTTTATTGAGGCAACGTTTCAATATTTATTGAGATCATCTTCACGGCCTGGGATTTATAAACAATGTTAAATTGTAAAACATATGTAAGATGTGAAAAATGAATTTATATAATGCTAGAAATAAATTCATTTGTTCACATCCTACATATATTTGTATAATTTAAACAATTTTTATAAATCCCAGGCCCTGAAGATGATCTCAATAAAGATGGAAACATTGGCAGGATAAATAATAATATAATTACAACATTTAAAAAATTCATTTATGTTTAATGGTGTAATTGACCAAAATACTTTTTCAATTAATAATTTGTTTTATGTAAGGTCTTGGTTGAGATGAAAAAGATGAAAAAGGTAGTGACAGCTTTTCCATCTCAACCAAGACCTTACATATATAGAATAATTAATTGAATTAAAAAAAACCACTGAAAGTAATAATAATAATAATGCTTTGTTGAACTTAAGAAAAATGACAAATACGTTCTCAAAGCATTTATGGACAGGATCTTGGATCCGTCTGCCAGAGGTGGTTCGTTAAACAATCAGAAAGGCAAAAATTACAGAATAAAGTAAGATAATAATAAGCTAGGAAATAAATGGAAAGAAAAGGGAAATAGCCACTGGTAAAATGAGAAAGAAAGAAAAAGAAAAACAGGTTATACAATACATCAAAAAATAAACTTCTTAATTAACTCATATCTGTAATTCCATGCAAGCCTAGCATATTGAATTAAGGGCCTTGAATTTGAACTACTCAAAAACTGTAACAGGTCAACTCTGGGGAGAGAACTTGAATCATGAATGAGATTCGAACCCACTACCTTCGGCTCAACACATCGCTGCTCTAGCTGCTTGATCACAATAGCTCAAGCGGTTAGAGCAGCGTTGTGAGTTTAATTCTGCTCGTGACGCTTTTTCATGAATTTGTCTAAAATCCAGACAAATTTGGAAATTTTTAAGTTGAACACATTGTAAACTAAAAATTTACCCATTTTGTCTAATACGGCCCAAAAATATTTCTAGTTTCCAATGAAAATTCGTTGTTAAGGCTTTTTAAAGAGTGTTTAAAACAAATCCGAATTGGTTTTATAAACATTTTTTAAAAAAATTAACATACTTTACTTAACGCATCTTTTGGATTTTGAAACACACACCCATAAGAAAAGTGATACAAGTCAATAAAAGAAAAGTTTATACGTTTTTTTTTTACATGAATTAAATACATGCCATTACGGTTGTTGGCAATAAAAACTGTCACGATTCATCTTTCATTTCTCCAAGACTTAATACGAAAACACCTTAATCCAGCTCTACTACTCCCCCCCCAAAAAAAAAAACCTACCTCTTTTTGAGTGATGACACTAGACACTATTCTTGCTCTCAGTAATTTAAGTTAGTTTGCTCTAATGATAATAATGGTGGTCAATGAATGTCTAAGAGAGTATTAATTTTTTTGTGATAGTAACCGACAATATACAAATCTAACAAACGAGCATAAATATCCATGTGGTAAGTTTTACTAAGATTTTCACTATTTTTGACCCAAATGTGCTTTCCTCTTTGAGCCAGGACTAATCAGTTATTTAAAATACGAAATTTGTAATTAAAACATTTAAAAAATCGTTGAAACTATAACATAAGGTAAAAGTTAAAAGACACCATTGTTATAAAAGTATGAAAAAAAAATATAATTAAGAATGTTATTAAAATAAAAGAAATGAAACTAAAATAATTCATGAAAAATCTGGATCAAGGTTTGGTCTTGAAGAAAAAAGAAAATTGAATTGTTTCTGCCAAGCTTTTGCATTTTTGTGAATTCCTGCCAATTCGAAAGTGACACACAGTTCTGGCTAGTCATTTTTTCCACGGAATACTTTTAAAAAAATAATATAAAATAATCCGGTTTTATAATTTTTCTTGTGTCACTTTTCATGTCGATGTGCGATATAATGTAATTAAGGTAAATAATAATCTCACCTTGAAGTTGGACTTGTTTGTGACGTATATGTCTCCTTCTTCCTTCGGCGCCCTGGGAGGTACGCGTTTTCTCAAGAATGCTTTATCCATCTTGTACCTTGATGAAATTTACAAAATTATTTATTTAATAGGAGATGCCAACAACCAGTGTAGTATATATACAGATAAATACTATACACTGGTAGGTATACGAAACAAATAAAATATATACATGATAAGTTGGTGTCTGAATGTGTCAATAACTTCTTCATTTCAATCAACACCTTCGATAAAAAGTAGAATTAATTAAAATCATTAATATGATCAAATATGACCGCTAAACATATTAATATAATAAGTAAAGAAGTAATCACTTCATTAACAGTTCCTCGTGGCCACTTCATAAGTCACTGAGAAATGAATCCTGATTACGACATTTGAAAATATGGCAAAAAGAGGGAAAATTCGAATGGTTGTAAGTTGAGACAAGAAGTTGGTGTCCGAGTGGATCGAAGTAATGATTTATTAATTGGTTAGAGCGACATCGTATTGAGTTGAAGGTTGAGGGTTCGAATCCCGCTCGTGACACTAATTTTTCATCTCAACCTTAGATAAAAAGTATAATTAATTGAAATAATTATTTTTAGTGTCGCAAGCGGGATTTGAACCCAAAATTTGAGAGATAAGTCTGTCAACCTTCTGTCACTACTTTTGTGTACTAAATAATAGAATAGTCATAATATATAAATTAATAACATTTATAATGTAAAATGAACATCATGGATCTAAAAATGCCTATCTTGGACTGCCTTCTATTGGGTTGTCCGGAAAATAATGCAGGATTTTAAGTTTNATGGGAAATTATTTTGATTAAAGAACATTGCTTTAAAGTAACTAGTTTCTTTTTTTTTGTTTAATACCAAAATCCTGCATTATTTTCCGGACAACCCAATAGCTTAAAAGAAGAGATTGATCACATCTTGTTGGAAATTGAAAATAGTTTTCAATGGTATCAATGGATTCATCCAAACCTTTTAGTTTTGGAATTATTACATCTATTTGAAGCAAGGTCATGAAATCTTAAAAAATCAGAAAAATGGGAATAACTCTGAAACTGTTGAGATTCGGGCCATAGTTAATTAGGACTTTTTGGTTCCATTTGAATGTAGAATCTACTGGCCAAGTTTGTAATGCGAGTAGCCTAATACCCTGTACAGTCAGGTATTTTATCGATTATAATTAGGCCAACAGGCTTTAGTACCAAAAAGGTACTGTTTTCTACTAGTTCATCAAGGGTGGCCAAGGTGTAAGAGCTTTAAAGTTCTTGTCACAGTCTGTGTTGGACTGCCGCAACAGGGTGGACTGTTGGCTTTGCGGAACAGGTAATCATTGAAATTTCCATGTCGTTACCTGGGTGAAACTCATTGAAACCTTGTCCAACAGTCCCAGAAGAACTGATATCTTACCTGACACTGACAGCCAAGCAGCACTAAAGGCCTTAACCTCATGTGAGGTGAAGAAAAAGAGTGTTTGGACCTGCATGGAGGCCTGGCGGAAGTCAGCAACATTAACGATCTGACCCTGGCAGGGTCCCTGGGCACTCGGGGCATAGAGGCAATGAAAAGATTGACATGTTGGCCAAAGAGGGAGCCATGACCATGGTCTCTAGGTCCTGAACCCTACGGTGGCTTAGCATCTAGCCACAAAAGAGGATAAATCTCAAAATGGATCCTTAATGAGTTCAAAGCCTGGTGGAACAATACCAGGCATGTGAAGAGATTCATAGAAGGGCCATCCACAAAATCTACGTTTCTTTGAAGGTCTATGTAGGTGCAGGTTCTTGCAACTAGGACAGGGAAAACCCCAAGCAAGATCCTATAAAAGGAGCCGCTGGCAAAGCTACGGCTGATTAACAACCTGAACCTGGCCAGTGAGTTATAAAAACCAGGGGAGCACAGGTGGAAGGTCGAGGTGCAGAAGGCCTTGTTGCCGCCTCTTTTAAGCTATCGGAATGGGATTCTACTTTGGAGGAGAATGTTGACTGGTGAAGTGGAACCAAGGACTTGGGAAGGCATGAGTATGGGGCTGCCCTAGCCTTTTCTCAGGAGTGCGACTACTCCTGTTTTGAAATTTTCTTCCACAAGCTGTTCCTCCATACTTGGCAATACGCTTTTGTAAGTGATGGAGGGCGCTTTTATACCCATTTTGATATCGCAATCGAGCTCAGTTTTGAGAAGCATCTCATTGGTTCTTCAGTTTTGATGACTTGGTTTGTAGGGCTTAACCTTTCTCCCGACACTATGCCCAGGTGGTGTATATCAGGAGCCATCAGTGTATCACAAAATGGCATTTTGATCTATTCTCCTTTGCAATCGCTTAGAAATTACATTCCTAACTTTCTATTAAATTGTTTTCAAAACAAAAAATCTTTTTAAAGAAAAGTTTAAAAAAATATATATATTGAAAACATCCAACTTGACCACTACCAATGTTAAACATTTATTTACAACTATTATATATTTGAATCGAATAAATTTAACTCTTTTTTATGTATAAAAACTGATTTATTTACTTATTAAAAATGAACTTACCTGGTGCGGCCGGTTGGGGGCCTCTCGCCCTCCACATCCATATTCGGGGACAGCCTAAGTGTGACTGAAAACAAGAACAACCTAGATAAAACCTACCTGTCAAACCGACAGATCAGTGCTACCAACACAATAAAAAAATACGAGATTCAGTTTTCACGAGGTTTTTAATTATAATTTTTTTAAATTATTAGTGTTATTTTTAATAAAATATCTATACTAATAAAAAAAAATACAAATACTTAGGTTAAAATGTAGTTGACAAGCCTGAATTATTAAAAGAGATTTTGTATATTGAAGAAGGGGCACCTTAATTTACACAATTTCTATAAGTACCACATTTTATGTTTTGTAAAAGAAAACTACCACATCAAAAGAAGCAACTTTTTTAATTTAAAAAAATAAACATTAAAAAAGAATATATTACATTGTATATACATATTATGTATAAAATATCTCACATACTACGATCCAGACTGTCATAAGGTATTCTAAACACATACAACTATTTTGTACTGGTTCATAATTGTATTTATAAATTATTTGCTTTATGGAATAATTTCAATAATATGTGACATATTTTAAATGTCCTTGAGTGAAGTACAAATTCAGCTCTAAATTGCCAGTTGAATCACCAGGTGCAAAACAAATGGAAGAAGTTCCTCGTCATCTATACCAGAAGAACATACATCTGTAGGTAAGAATTAGTTTAAAATATTAAAAATAGAAATTCCAATTACTTACAATACCTCCATGGTGTTTACCAAGCATCGTAATGTGCATAAGCATGTGGTAATTTTTTTTAAAATTGGATCATGAGTTGTGAACTTCTTCGTTATGTTTCTTCATGTATCTTTCTGTGAGACACTTGTATGGGCAGAGACTGCAGGAGAGCTGTTTTCGTTCAGTGTGCGTAACAAGATGATTAGTGAGGTTGTGCTGCCTCGAGCACCTGTAGTCGCAGAGATAGCAGCAGAACGGCTTCTCGCCGGTGTGCTTCAGCATGTGAATCTTCAAGCTCGAACGCTGCGAGCTCTTAAAGTCGCATACCGTGCACAAGTACGGCTTCTCGCCCGTGTGCTTCCTCTCGTGCTTACGCATGTCGTGCCGTCTCGAGGATCTGTAATCGCAGAGGCTGCACGCAAGAGGCTTCCCGCCCGTGTGCGTGTACATGTGCTCTTTGAGCTGGTACTGCAACACACACCTGTGGTCGCACAGACTGCACTTAAACGGCTTTTCTCCAGTATGCGTGAACATGTGACGTTTTAAGTCGTTCTGCTGCGCACACCTGTAATCGCACAGGCCGCACGAAAACGACTTCTCTCCCCTGTGCGTCTTCAAATGTTCCTTCAACGTTTTTCTCTCGTAACACTTATAAACGCAAAACCTGCACGAAATCTCGGCATGGATTTTCATGTGGCGTTTTAAAGACTGCTGCTTTTTGCATCCGTACTGGCACAGACTGCAAGAGAAACCTTTACGAAAGGAGTGTTTTTCGACGTGCCCGTTCAACTCGTCCTGACATTCCGTGATATACTCGCAATAGCCGCAGGTGAATATTAATCTATGCGTCTCGATGTGGTTTCTCAGTTCTATATCGGCATCACAGATATAATCACACTCGACGCAAGAATACGCATGTATGTCCTCTTCTGATTCTCTTTCGATTTTTATATCGTTCAACATCACTTCACAGCTCATCGGCATCACCTGTGACCAACGGAAAGCTTGTCAGCGAACCTTTTCTCTCCTGCAGGGTTTGATCTATATTAAGAATCTTTCAAAACAAAGACAAATTCAAAGTAAATCACTAAAAAATAAACAAAACAAATAAATACCAACCTGTAGCCAAAATCAAATGGGTATTTTTTGCCAATGCACGGCATAAAAGTCAAACTCCCAACCATAACAGCACAAACCACGGAGCGAGTTCATCTAAAATGATTAAATTAATTTTAATTAATTAAAAAACCATTATTTACAAAATTCAGGTTTTGTGTTGATTGTTGACTGTCGAGATTCGATAGCATAAATCGGTATGATTCGACCCAATTTTCGACTGAAAATCGATTGGATTGTAGGAAACTTTTTTTTACTCCGGAAAAAAAAAAGCTTCTAAGCCAAATTAAATAATTAATGTGTTAAACTATGTAAGTAGTTTTGTGAAGGGTCGAGAGCACCACCACAACCACATCACCAGATTCGGTCCATCCCATCAGCTTATGAAAAACTGGCGGGTTTTTTTAAAATGATACATGAAAGATGAAAAAAACCTTATCTTCAATGAGGAAGGAGTGAGAGAAGAGAGAAAAAGAGGGTAAGTATGTGATAAAGAGGAGGTGAGTGAGGTTGAGTGGGTCAAAGAGAGTGAAGAAGTGAATGAACTCACAAAAGACCAGCTTAGATTAGGAATTTTTGATCATTTCTTTTGTTCTCCCTTCTTCACTACTAAAAAAAGAAATGTTAGTTCAGCCCTCACATTTCATGTGTTAAGTGAGTGAGTGTAATATAATGAATGAATGAAGTGAGTGTGGGATAGTGAGTGAAAGAGAGTGAGTTAGTGAGTGAGTCCCTCAAAAAAAGCCAGCTTAGATTAGGAATTTTCGATAATTTCTTTTGTTCTCACCGTCCTTCACTACTAAAAAACAAAAGAAATGTTAGTTCAGCCCTCGTATTTCATGTGTTAAGTGAGTGAGAGAGTAAAGAAATAAAAAAAAGAGTGAGTGAGTGTGAGATATTGAGTGAAAGAGAGTGAGTGAGTGTGTGGGGTAGTGAGTGAAAGAAAGTGAGTGAGTGTGGGGCTGTGAGTGAAAGAGAGTGAGTCCCTCAAAAAAAGCCAGCTTAGATTAGGAATTTTCGATAATTTCTTTTGTTCTCACCGTCCTTCACTACTAAAAAACAAAAGAAATGTTATTTCAGCCCTCATATTTCATGTGTTAAGGGAGTGAGAGAGTAAGAGAAATATAAAAAGAGTGAGTGAGTGTGAGATAATGAGTGAAAGAGAGTGAGTGAGTGTGGGGTAGTGAGTGAAAGAGAGTGGTCCCTCAAAAAAAGCCAGCTTAGATTAGGAATTTTTGATAATTTCTTTTGTTCTCACCTTCCTTCACTACTAAAAAACCAAAGAAATGTTAGTTCAGCCCTCATATTTCTTGCATTAAGTGAGTGAGAGAGTAAAAGAAATAAAAAAGAGAGTGAGTGAGTGTGAGATAAGTGTAAGTGAAAGAGAGTTAATGACATAAGGCTAGCTTAGATTAGGAAGTTTCGACAATTTCTTTTGTTCTCACTTTCTTTCACTATGAAAAAAAGAAATGTTAGTTCAGCCCTTATATCTGTTAAGTGATTGAGTGAGATGAATTAAGTGAGTGAATGAGAGAGATTGTAAGTGAGTGAAAGGGAGAGAGATAGTGAGTGAGTGATTAACTCAACAACACACACACACACACAAGAAAAATGTAGGCTGATCCAACATTCCATCTTTTAGTAGTGATGAGACGTGAAAAAAAGAAATTCTTGAAAATTCATATATTGTGAGCTGGTCTTGGTCTTTCGTATGACTCACTCACTCTCTCTTTCACTCACTGTCACTCTCATTCACTCACTACCTCTCACTCAATCACTTAACCCAAGAAAAATGTAGTCTGATCAAGACAATTCATTTTTTAGTAGAGAGGTGGGGGATTCACTGATCAAAAGAAAATAATTGAAAATTAGTACAGTCACTCTCTTACTCCCTCTCAATCCCTCACTCTCTTTCGTTCTCTCCTCCTTGACTTGATCTGTTGTATGACTCTCCTTCTCACTCGCACTCATTCATTCACTCACTAGCTGAATCACTTACTCTATCTCTCACTCTCTCCCTCTCATTCAATCACTTAACCCAATTAAAATGTAAACTGATATAACATTTCATTTTTAGTCGTAAAGAGAGGTGAGGGATACACTGAACAACAAAAAACAATCTTGAAAATTTGTAGCTGGTCTTGGTCTTTTGTAAGAATCACTCCCACTCAATCACTAACTTTCTTATTCACTACGCTCTCTCTTTTGTTCTCTCCCCTGTTTTCCACCAAAATAATGTTTCATCTATGATTATCAAATCCGATATAATTTGTATATTCTAGACCTGCTCTTGATCTGTTGTATGACTCCTCCTCTCACTTACTCACTCATTCAATCGCTCACTGACTCACTTAACCCAAGAAAAATGGAGAACAATATAACATTTCATTTTTTAGTGTTAAAGAGAGGTGAAGGATTCACCAACCAAAAAAATTATCGAAAATTTGTACAGTAACTGGTCTTGGTCTTTTGTATGACTCTCCCTCTCGTTTACTCAATCGCTTACTATCTCTCGCCCTCTCTCTTTCACTCAGTGCTATCAGAGGTTAGATTAGAATAGTGGCATGTGTAGTGGACTGGTTTAAGTGGTTAGCATGTCCAACTCACAATATGCTACGCTAGCAACTCTGGGTTCAAATCCAAACACAGCCCGTTAAAAGATATTTCAAGTTGGTTTGACCCCTCATCCACAATGATAGTTGGACGTTGAACTCTCCTATATAAAATTTATATTTTCTTTTTTTTAAATATATTTATTACAGGGTGTTTTACAAAAAAAATGTGTACTGACAATAAGGAGAAGCATGAGAGCACAGGCAAGGCTGATGGTTGAAGATAAAAATAATTTTATAACTTGACAATAGATTTTATTTAAAAATAAATAATAAATACATTTAAGGATAAAATGACATAGCTAGTTGGGTAATCATGTTTTGTGAACTTCATCACTATGCTTTTTTAAAAGTTGTTTCGACAAACATTTGTAGGGGCAAAGGCCGCAATTGATAGAATCACGCCTCGAGTGTGTTTCAAGGTGTTTTTTAAGGTGGTTCTGCTGTGCGCACCTGTAGTCACAGAGATAGCAGCAGAACGGCTTCTCACCGGTGTGGGTGAGCATGTGGTTCTTAAGTACAGACTTCCTCGAGCTCTTGTACTCACATACATCACACGAGAACGGCTTCTCGCCCGAATGGGTGCGTACATGCTTTTGAAAATCGTACCTACGGAAAGTCTTGTAATCGCACAACTCGCACGATATGTCCTTAACGCCCGAATGTATTTTGACGTGCTGTTTCAACGTCGAACTCTGCGAGCTTTTATAATCGCAGTGATCGCAGTGATACGGTTTCTCACCGGTGTGTATTTTCATGTGTTGGTTTAAATTGGATTTCAAAGGGCATCTGTAATCGCACTGATCGCAAGAGTACGGTTTCCACTCGGTATGACTGACGAGGTGTATCTTGAGGCTGTTTTGCCTCGAACAACGATAATCGCATATATCGCAGCCGAACGGCTTTTCACCAGTGTGTTTTATCATGTGTTTCTTTACATAAGACATCTGCGAGCTTCTGTAATCGCAGAGTGTACAGGAATACGGCTTCTCGCCCGTGTGCGTTCTAACGTGCTTTTGCATATCGTTCTTCCTTACGCATCGATAATCACAGAAAAAACAACAGAACGGCTTCTCCCCTGTATGCTTCACCATGTGCTTCTTGACGTAATAAGGCTGCGAGCTTGTGTAATCGCAGAATCCGCACGAATACGGCTTTTCATCAGAATGCGTCATAATATGCTTGTGCAGGTTGTTCTGACGAGATGACTTGTAATCGCAAAGATCGCATGAAAAAGTCTTCTCGCCCGTATGCGTTAAGACGTGCCTTTTTAACTCCTTCCTCTGCAAACACTTATAATCGCAGTAGCCACATAGAAATGTCTTTTCACCTTTATGGAGCATCATATGACGTTTTAGATACTGTCGTCTCGTACACTGATACTCGCACAGGCTACATGAAAAAACATGATTTGCGATATGCCTTTTGAACTCGTCTCGAACACTGGTATTGTAATCGCAGTCGTCGCAGTAGAAAACTGAATCATGCGCTTCAATATGAATCCTCAGTTCGAAATCTGAATAACATTTGTAATCACACTCGACACAAGAGTACGCAGGGCAAACTGTGTCATCATCATCTTCCAATTCTTTCTTAATACAGTTCAACATAATCCTTAGACAAATCTGAAATGGTAAATATCCAATATAATTTAAAAAGACTAATTGAGAGAAAATTTGACTTACCAATAAAAAACCTAAGATAAACACATCATCAGTATAAAAACAAAATATAACACAAGCAAACTCTGACAAGGAATTAAAAAAGTAAATAAAAAGTAGGTCAGAGACTCAAAACAACCAAAAAAACAAAAAATTATACCATTTATAAATAATATTAAAAAAACTAAAGTCGATTTGAAAAATGATAAGATTAAGAAGAATCGATTCGCGAGAGCAGCGTCAATACAATAGTTAATTTGTTTGAACAGAAAAGAAAGTATATTTTGTAATTTTATATTTGTCGACATGCGAATGTTTTTTTAAATTCAATTATTTCGCAAGTAGGTTGTTATTGTCCTGTTGGAAAAAAAAAAATCGAGCGCTCTTTTTCAAACCAAAACTCATGAAACAAACGTACGCTAGGATTTAGCAATTCACAACTGATCCGGATCAGTACTGCTCATTCATGGAAGCCTTGCTAGGATTTAGCAATTCGTTACTCATCCGGATCAGTGTTATTTATTCACGACAGTCCTGCTAGGATTTAGCAAATCACTACTGATCCGTAACAGTGTTATTCATTTACTACAGTCCTGCTAGGATTTAGCAATTCACTACTGATCCGGATCAGTACTGTTCATTCATGACAGTCTTGCTAGGATTTAGCAATTCACTACTGATCTGGATCGGTGTTATTCATTCATGACATATTGGTTGGGTGGTTCTGTATTGATCAGATCAGTATATTTTATTCTTTACAGTTTAGCTAGGATTTAGTGGTTCATTACTGATTCAAATCAGTACTGCTCATTCTTTTTAGGCCACTAGGATTAAGTGGTTCACTAATGATCTGGATCAGTACTGTTCATTCATGACACTCCTGCTAGGATTTAGCAATTCACTACTGATCCGTAACAGTGTTATTCATTTACTACAGTCCTGCTAGGATTTAGCAATTGACTACTGATCCGGATCAGTACTGTTCATTCATGACAGTCTTGCTAGGATTTAGCAATTCATTACTCATCCGGATCAGTGTTATTCATTCACGACAGTCCTGCTAGGATTTAGCTATTCACTACTGGTCCGGATCAGTACTGTTCATTCATGACAGTCTTGCTAGCATTTAGCAATTTACTACTGATCTGGATCGGTGTTATTCATTCATGACATATTGGTTGAGTGGTTCTGTATTGATCAGATCAGTATATTTTATTCTTTACAGTTCAGCTAGGATTTAGTGGTTCATTACTGATTCAAATCAGTACTGCTCATTCTTTTTAGGCCAGCTAGGATTAAGTGGTTCACTAATGATCTGGATCAATGCTGTTCATTCATGACACTCCTGCTAGGATTTAGCAATTCACTACTGATTCTGATAAGTACTGATTTATTTTAGACCAGCTTGTACTTAGAGGTTCACTTCTGACCCACATCAGTTCTGTTCATTCATGACATACTGGTTGGGTGGTTCTGTATTGATCAAATCAATATATTTTATTCGTTTCGGTTCAGCTAGGATTTAGTGATTCACTACTTGTCCGGACTAGTAATTTAGTACTGCCGATTCATTTTAGACTGGCTAGGATTAGTGGATCTCCAATGGATCAGTAGTCATTTATTTGAGTTCAGCTAGGATTTACCACTATTTTTCGGATCTGTATTATTCATTCAAGATATTCATGCTAGAGATGGGTAGGGTCTGCTGTTGAGCAGTAGTCATTCTAAAAAGAACAGAAACAGCTCACATATTTATTTACCTATAAAAAAATACATTTTACATAATTTTGATTATGTACATAGAAAAAAAGGCCGTTTATAAAATAAGAATCATGTTTTATGAGTTTCGTCGGTGTGTTTTCTCAAAAGTTGTTTTGACAAACATTTATAAGGGCAGAGGTTGCAGACTATGGTCTCTCGGTTTTTATGCGTTTCGATGTGTTTCTTGAGGTGGATCTGCCGGGCGCACTGGTAGTCGCACAGATTGCAAAGGAGCTTCTGCGTGTGCTTTTTCATGTGCTCTTTGACGTACCAACGGTTCGACGTGCGAAAGTCGCAGTGCGAACAGCCAAACGGCTTCTCGCCAGTGTGCGTTGCCATGTGCATCTGAAGTAAATTTTTCCTTGCACTCTTGTACTCACAGAAGTCGCACGAAAACGGTTTCTCGCCTGTGTGCGTTCGTAGGTGTTTCTGAAAATCGTACTGTCTGAACGTCTTGTAATCACAGAAATCGCAAGCTATGTTCTTCTCGCTGTAGTGTATCTTTTCGTGCATGTTCAATGTTGACTGTCTCGAGCTCTTGTAATCGCAGAAGCTGCAACTGAACGGCTTCTCGCCCGTGTGAGTTTTCAAGTGTTCCTTGAGGTGCGACGGCTGCGGGCAACGGTACTCGCAGAAATCGCAACTGTACGGTTTCCAGTCTGCATGGCTCGCCATATGCATCTTAAGACTGCGTTCCCAAGAACACCTGAAATCGCAGAGCTGACAGCAAAACGGCTTCTCCCCTGTGTGTATCACCATGTGTTTTTTCATATACGACCTCTGCGAACATTTATAACCACAGACTGTACACGTATAAGGCTTTTCGCCAGTATGATTCAGTATATGCTTCTGCATGTCGTTCTGACGCGTACATCGATAATCACAGAAATAACAGCAGAACGGCTTCTCTCCTGTGTGTGTCATCATGTGTTTTTCGATATAAGAAGGATGCACACTCCTGTAATCGCATAAATTACAGGAATAAGGCTTATCATCTGAATGTTTCAACATGTGCTTTTGCATGCTGCACTTGTGCCAGGATCGGTATTCGCAATAGTCGCAGGTGAATCGCTTCTCGCCGGTATGGACCAACATGTGTTGCGTCAAGGCATCCCGACGCGAGCATCTGTAATCGCAGAGGCTGCAGGAATACGGCTTCTCTCCCGTATGCGTGAAAATGTGTTTCTTTAAATCTTTCCTTTGCGAACACTTGTAATTACACGTCGAACACTCGTACCTTTTATCGCCTTTGTGCGTCTTGATGTGTTCTTTCAAATCGTGTCGTACCGAGAAAGTAACCTCGCAGAATTTGCACGACAAAAGTTTCTCGCCCGGATGTAGTTTCATGTGCCGGTTCATCGACTGTAGCCTGTCGCATCTGTAATCGCACAGACCGCACGCGATGGCTTTAGTCGCATCGTCTCCGAAGGATTCGCTCGTACCGTCTTCGAAAGTCGTGTAATCGCAATCGTACAGAAACGTATGAGACTTGATGTGATTTCTCAGGTCAAGATCGGTGTTACAGTCGTAGTCACACTCGACGCAGGAATACGCAAGCGACACTGCGACACTCTGTGACATCCCTGTGCCATCGTGTTTCAACTGTTCTCGAACACAGTTTAACATCTCTCCAAGTGACAGTCAACCTGTAAAACTGTCTTTTAGTGTCAAATTGATTTAAAAAAAAAAAAACTTATCAAACATACAAGAAAAAACACAGGCCGATGTGTCAAAAAAGAAGAAAATCAACAAAAAAGCAAATCTTCAATGCTCCAATTTACCGTTAATATACCTCATAACAGCTAATAAAATATACAAATTAACAAAATTAAACTATTTTTATGGTAATTCTGATAAGTGGTTATCCTGGAGGTATAAATATGGAATACCATTCGGTGAAAGTCTGTATCGAAATCGAGGAAATTTACCTGATCAAATCGACTTATCAGTAATAAAAATAATAATAATAATAATATTATTATTTTAAAATGTTATATTTATTGCCTCTGAAAACGATAAAAACGCAAGCGTCAGACAAAAAATTGGCCTGGATTGTCACCAAGTTCGTCCAGCGCCACTTTTCAAACAAACGAAAAAAGGTTAGCGACAAAAAAAAAATACGTTTATCCTTAATTAATTTTAAATAAATTATCGCTCGAACATAATATAAATTTAATTAAAATGGTTTAAAATAGGAAAAAAAGATGAGGGTTTTTACTCTTCATCAGGCATTACCATCACCTTCTTCCACATGATCATAAATCAATCCATCAATAAAATATCCACAAATAGCTTTTTAATTATTAATTAATAAAGTCTCGGAGACTGGTATAAGTCAGGCTTGATGTTATTTCTTTCGGGGGGGGGGGGAAACGACATACCCAGAAAGTGGCCGGTTCAAGAGATCCAGGTCGGATATTCTTCTTTTGTAGACAACCAGATAATTGTACTTATATCTTCTGTAGAAAAGGATTACATCATAATGATTTTGTTGAATAATGGGCTTGTACACATTTAACTCCTATATTTTATACTAGTAAGGATTGGTAGAAGCCAGATGTCAAGGCTAAGACCGACCGACGACCAAACAGGCACTGTCACACTGCCAGGGTCAGTGGGACAATCAGGCTTCATCATAGATGAGCACACACGAACCAGCCAACGAAGACAAAGTAAGAGGAAGCACCTATCACCAAGATGAAATGATACTCGAAGACCTAGAATCGCACTTCTTCATCTTAGACATGGGGTGCCATGCATCAGTGTTACAATCAGGGCTGCATCCAAGAGCAGCCTGAAACCACTAGGCAGAGGCATAAGAACAGAACTCCATGAATCTGGAGGAAGAGAAAGCACCTATTGCCAAGATGGAACAACACTCAAAGACCTGGATGCGCACTGCTCCATCTTAGACTTAGGGTGCATCAGGTCTGCTTCAAAGAACAGCTACAAACCACGAGGTAGAAGCAGAAGAATAGAACCTCACGGGTCCAGATTAAAAGGAGTTATCTTTTAATTTAGCCCAAGACTGATTGACAGCAACCAGGACCGTTAAAAGACAATCCCCCAACAGAGGGCGCTGTAAGAACGAAAAGACAAACTACAGGGGACAAGCAGAACAATAGAACTGCACAAGTGCAGAGTAAGAAGAAGCACGTATCAATGCCCAAGACCGACACGTGAAGACCCAGACAGGCACTGCTACTTCTTAGACATACCATGCATCAGTGGAACAATCAGGGCCGCATCAAAGAGCAGCCTCAGACCACTTAGGCAGAGGCATAAGAACAGAAACTCTATGAATCTGGTGTAAGAAGAAGCACTTACTAATGCCCAAGATGTTCTTCTGTCTCTGCCCTGTAGTTTGTGTGTATTTGGCTTTGACCGAGGCCTTGGTTGTACCATTGAGACATGATATCCCTTGTTGGAAAAGTGGCAGGGCCTGTTCAGGGGTCAGTTGAAGGCAGTCATTTGGTTGCCAGTCAATCTTGGGATTGATAAGAGCTCCGGATTCATGGCATTCCTTTCTTATGGGTCATGTAGTGAGATATGATGGGGCCCTGGTTGTTCGCTGATGCATAGTGCCCCATGTTGGTGCTGTGGAGATTTGGTGGTCACCGTTCTGGATTGCGAGGTGGCTTCTTTTACTCCGGATCCGTGGTGTTCTTATTAATCCATCCCAAGATTGCCCGACAACTGAACGACTGCCTCTACACCTCCAAAATAAGATGCCGTAGGAGCCGAGTACACGCAGACTACAGGTCAGAGGCAGAACAGAACCCCACTAATCCGGAATAAAAGATGGCACCTGAATCCAGACCAAGACCGACTGACACCCAAAATGGGCACTAGTCCAATGGGAGCCGAGCATACACAAACCATGGACTTCTAGTAAACATCAACACATCCTCCAAAGCCCAGATGGGCACGGCCTACTGTTAACAAGGTATACCAGTGGGACAACCAGGGCCATATCATAGCCAACTACATGCAAACCGCAGGGCAGAGCTCAAAGAACGGAACCCCAAGTATCCAGAGGATTAAGGGAACACAACCTAATCCTGACCGATGTGGAGCACTGCAGTAGTTCCATTGGAACATGAGCCTCTAGTCACAAACACCTCCTTCAAGGCCACTGGAGGCATATCTCAGTTCTTTATTCAGCCCAAGGGCAATACCTGAATACCAGCCATACCCTTAAAGTTTTTAAAAACATTTTGTTTGAATTATTGTTTAGCATTGAGTGGTCGTCATTAGGGTTTCGGCGGGTTCTGGCACAAGTGTGTAAAAGACAATCAATGATGTTATTATCTATGACCGATCCAAAACCGGATCTTTTCGTTTGTCTGGAGGATTACCATTTTTTACCCATTGTTTTTCATTGCAAGAAGCTCGTTTCCTAAAACGCACACGTAATAAAGCTACCCAGAAAAATAGATATGTAGGGTAAGAAATAAGACGAGTGAGAAAGAGAGAGTGGAAGAGAAAAAAGGATAGAGAGGAAAGAATGAAAAAATAGCAATGGCAACAAAAAAGTAATAACACATAAAAGGGTAGACAGTAACATACAATAAAATTATGACTGATTTATTTAAAAATATACGGGTCAATTTAAAAAAAAAACCCTTATACAGTATAAAACAAACAAAAAAATAAAAATATTATCGTTTAATAATATAAATAGAAAATATACCTATCAATTGATTATTTATGAATATCGTTCATTAAGAATATATGATGCGGATAAAAATAGGACCGGAATTGTCAAAAGTATGATTTTTGTGTGTGTGTTGTGTGTGTATGAGGGGTGCTTTTAATAAAATGTAATCATTAATATGAAAATTACAATTTCATCTATTTTATTCTGGCCTATCAATTTTTAAATTGTGATATGATTATGATGATGCAGTGTCAATAGTTGTTCAAAGGTCGACTGAAAAGTTTCTGCATGCTTAGTACTAGCAAATTTTTTTTTCTTTTCTTTAAATACAATTACATATTGTAAAAATAAAGAAATGTAAATTGACTATTTACAAAAGTCTTTATTATACTTTGGACGGAATCGTTAAAAAAAGGAAAAATATATAAAAAAAACAAGATCGGGCAAAAAAATTAACCGCCCTTTGAGCCTATAGGACGGGGGTGTACCTCGTCTCCCGTACGTATAGGGCTCCTATTATAAAAAAATGGCCAAGAGGGTCAGAGCGCAAGCTGTGCCCATGTTGGCCAACGCAGTACGGCTCACGCCCGATCCAAAGTGGAACACTTTGATGTAGTTCTCAGAGTGGAGCCACGGGTTCGAACCGTCGTCGAAGTACATCGGGCACTGATCCCCTGAAGAAAACAAAAAAAAATGTTAACAATAAAATTTTCCTATAAGGGAAATAAAAACTCACGTTCTCTTTCATATTCTATCATGTCGATCGCTACGGCGGCTCCTTCCGTGTGGTTCCAGGATGTGACATCCTGATTCAGGCTGCAGTAAGCGCCCAGGGATTGAGACATAAGGATACGGTTCAAATCAGCCCTTTGGTAAACCTTTAATTTATTTAAAAAAATTAATGTCTATTAAATAAAAATTCTATTGTGTTGTGCATACCCAGCATCTGTATTTGCTGAAAGCATCCAGCTCGTCATAAGTTATGAGGTACGATTTGAGATTTTCCTTCCAGAATCCAATACACTTCATTCTATAATCAGGATCACCTAGTCAATTGTTTAAACATTAAAAAAAAAAAAAAAAAAAAAAAAAAAACCCAGCTTAATAGTACTAACAAGGGGACGACCAGGTTCTAAACTCCAAAATATTGGACACTTATCCACCACTTCTTGCAGAACAGACACCGGTTCCGCCAAAAAAATTTTAAAATTGAAAGTTACCGATTTTTTAAAATATTTTTATTTTGCGTTCTACTTGCTCAAACCAACTATTTCAATTTATAATTTTATAGTATTTTTTTATTTTATTAGATTGCAATAAAAATATAGTAAAAGCTAGCAAAGTTTATCAATAACCAAAAAAAAAAAAAAAATTAGATTTTCTGGTCCGATTGACCAAATAACATCTTTCAATTAATTAATCTTTATGTAAGGTATTGGTCGAGATAAAAAAGCCGAAGGTTGTGGGTTCGAATCCCGCTCGTGAACTGACTTTTTTATCTCAACCGATACCTTATATAAAGATTAATTAACTGAAAAATAAATAAATTTCAAGTAAACAAGGTCATACATTTTTTCCCTTTAAAACAAATATGAAATCTCGTTTTAGCACCTCTAGAGATCCTACATGTCGTTAATGGAATATCTTATTAAAACGGCTAAAAGGATTTTAACTTTTAAATTTACATTCAAACAAAAATTAATATTTAGAGGTCTCTAGGGGTGCAAAAATGAAATTTCATATTAATTTAACGGGGAAGAAAAAGACACAGTTTACTTGAAAAATATTTGGTTTTTAGAAATTTTTTGGTTATTGATAAACTTTTCTTTTAATCTTTTAATATATTTTTATGGCAATCTAATAAAAATGCTTTTAAATGATATATTCACATAGTTAATTGAGCAAGTAAAATGCGAGTGAAATAAACATATTAGAAAATGAATAATTTCAATTTTCAAAAAAATAATTTTTTTTTTTGAAAACTGAACAAGAACCAAATAGAAACCAGGGTCTACTCACAAGAGTATATGTCCAATATTTTTGACTGTAGAATCACACACAAAAAAAAAAGTCTGGCCCAAATTTTGGTCTACTGATACAAAAGGGGATAAAAAAATCGTTAGAAATTTAAGAAAAATATTTACTGTATATATCGCTAGGCCTGCCGAGGTAGTCAACAGTGAGACAGTACGTTTCGTCGATGTCTATCTCCTTCTGGTCGATGTCGCACACCGAGAAGTCGGATATGTTTTGCTTGCAGTACAGTGTCGGCCTTGGCGATAGCGTTACACCACCAAGTATTCTTGTTTCAAATGGTACGTCACCTCGCTGGGTGAAGTTGAACTTGCCGGCCACCGGACACCTGACCGGTACTGGTTTAGCAGCTAAGAACAGATAGGTTTTTTTTATATATAAATAAATCTTTAAAAAAAAGTATAGTTCTTACAGAGGAAAGTGCTGTAAATCCAAGCTTCCTGGTTTTTAAACTGTACCCAAGAGCATACAGTTGAAAAGTCATCTTTTATAACCGCTATGCCTTTTCTGTACCTTATGACGTTGTGATGGCGCGGAATGAAGTTGAAACATATATAATCCTTTTGACTAAAAATTAAGAAATAAATTTTCAAGATTTCAAGATAATCGGTACGAGTCGATGAAAACGAACCATCCGTCTACTGTGAGTCTGGCCATCATTACTCGAGTGTCCCTCTGTTGTCGGCAGACGTAGATGGTTTTTCGATAACGGGTCGTATCGGGATACCAAGTCTCTATGATATGCGTCTCGTTAATTACGACGTCTGCGTCTAGATTGGCCGTGTTGATCCATTCGCCGGAGAAATTCTGCGGGAGCCTGCATCCCGGTTCGACGACCTCGGTTTTAACTATAATAAAATTTAAAATAATACAACGTAATTAACGCGTTTACGATTTGGTACCTGGTGTTATACGAAGTCGTTCGGGGCTTTTTTCGACCGTCTTGAGCGTATTGCACTCAGCCGTTATTGAAACGCCGAGGTAAAGGTCGTCATCTCGGTTCTTGAGGAAACAGCGGTACTTTTCGTCTTTCCTCGATTCTTTCGTATTGGCGACGGCGAAAAAATGGTTCTTGTCTACGAACCAATCCCCGAGGCAGGAGTATTCGACGACGCCGTCGAACGTCCCTGACATACCCTCGCATCGTTTGTACGTTATGTTGAACTTCTGGTTTGTTATTAAAAACTGGTTCCCGGGCTCCTGGCACGATTTGATATAAGCGTCAGGATGCGTGCACTCGCCCGTAAAAGTAAAACGATTCTGTAAAAAATATTATTATTGTAAGCCTTATAATTAAGGATGACTAAGATTAATATTAGAGAAGTCGGCGCTTTATGAACTACTCTATTGTACACCTCCATTGTTGACTAGAGCTCCTCATTAAGTTTGTTAAGACTGTTTACCAGATCTCAAAGCGTTTTTAACGACTCCCTAGTGAATCCTTTAGACACGGGGTTTCCTCTCCTAAGAATCTTAGCTATATACACCTTGTTTCTACTGCCCTGAGACAATACATATGCCTACGGAGTCTAGTGTCGTCAGCAGTCATTATTCTAGTCTTAACACATCCTAGATTTTACTTCTGCCTTTGGTTTCTGAAAATGTCCTTGCGATGAACTTTGTCACCTTTGTCTCGGTTTATATTCCCATTGAACATGCTTTTTTTTTTCAATCCATTGGATGATGGACCCAGTTTTTTTTTTGTTTTGGTTCATGGACGATAGGCATCCTCATTTAACTTTCCTTGGTCTCTTAAGGCCTCAAGTGCCAAGCATTCATTCTTAATGTCTGAGTCTGCTGAGTGTGAACTCAACAACTTCACAGTGCACTGTTCACGCACAAAATTTTTTTACAACAGATGCTTAAAATGATGAAAAACGAACCCTACTTACATCACTGGAAATTTAATTGACTATGAAGATGAAAACCATCATCTTTTTCCTTCCACCAACTGAAATTATGAATGCAACTGCAGATGAAATTAATTTTGAGTTATTTATACAGGAAGTAAAAAAAATACACTGAAATGTGGGCTGTTAAAGATGAAAATTTTGTCTTATTTGTTTGTAAGTGCACTCTTTGTACACAAGGTGAGCAAAATTGCCATGTTTTCTGCAGTAGACATCCATCCAGTTTATCATACGCATACGTCAATTGCTAAGGATTAAATTTTCAAGTTTTTATTTAAAATTTATTTATTTTTGTTACCTGGTAAGAAAATTTCCAGACTCCTTCGAGACTCGACCGGCAGTTGACTGGTACATAGTTCTCCTGGAATAGTGTTATCAGCTGTTGTTCTGGATTGAGATCTTGGCATACGCTTTCGATAAGGTTTGTCGGGACGGCCGCACCTCCCAGCGTAACGCAACCACCTACGACCAAAACGACACTGATTCAATCTTTTCCCTTAAAAAAACAAAAAACAAAACTCACTTTCAATTTTTTCCATGACGTTCACGGTACGCAAGAGTATTTTGACGCAGTGGTAACAGTTGTCATTGTTCTTGAAAACGAACGTGTAGTTGCTGTGGTATTCGTCCAAGGAAGCGAGACAACGGCCTCTTTGGCTCATCGACTTGCTGTCGATTATAGTCTGTGTCGGTTTGCCGTTCTCCCATGAAAACCATGATCCTCGGATTATTGTCGGAATGAAGCAGTCAGACGCGGTTACACCTGAAATATATTGTAAACTTTTTTAACAACAGGCGACAAAATTATTTGGTTGATGGACTGCAAACTTTTATATACAACTTGTGACTTCCAAATTGGCCCGATTTAAGATTGAAAATCGGTTTGTATCACACTTGATCTCACCCCTCTGACAAAGGGGTATTCAACCATTGTGACTAAACATAACCAATGAACTGCTTAACTTCTTCAACAACCCATACTCGATTTATACAGAATCACAAATCACACCTATTTTGAAAAAGATCCTTGATGAACCCATACCGAAACGATTCTCATCTGAAGAAGTCAAGCTATCTTTCTTTCCAAAAAGAAATCCACAGGCTCTCATCATTCCCATCATATTTTCCCAAAACCTAAAATAAACCACCTTCTTAGTTGTTGATCCATCTGTCCAAGGAGATTCTTACAAGCATCACAAATTCTCTGGAGATGCCACTCGACTATCCAACATCGCACTGGTTCTTGGATATATATACAAAACCTTTGGCTGTGTATAGCACTTTGGGCTATTGTGGAAGGCCAAGAATTGTTACTTCTAACTATCCCATAAAATTTTATTATCATTCATCCTATAGCAGGTGTACCAGAGGGCAGAGTTCTCGTTCCTTTGCTTCATTCAATTTATAACACTATAGCCCTGACCTGTATGATCCCAAATCGTCCCAAAATCACTCGCACAGAATCAATATTAAAGAAACCAAACCCATAAACGTAAACTTGCCACCCAGGGGGAGTAGGTTGCCACGGCGCTCATCACTGTAAAGGTCCGACATATCTCTTTTAAAGTTTGTACCTTTCTGCGCTGGAACCTCATTGTATATTATTGTTTAGACAAAACCAAAAAAGATTTTTTCTATCTCCTGCTGGAACTAAATTTTTGAATTTACCTAAACAATTTTATTGACTGGGAGTTTTGGAGGCCCAGAGAAGGGAACTGATGATCGAGGCCTGGTGGTGTCGGTAAACTCGGCAATGGAAGAAGGGACTCGCGCAGCAGGTAGTCAGTAGTTGGCTGTGATAGCGAGGATGATGCTGCGAGTGTCCCCAGGTCGGCTTGGCCACTTAGTAAGAGCTCGTCAAGTATACGAGTCTCCATTGCTGTATTAGTGAATGTTGAGACGAGCCTGAAGTCGGCAAGGTAGTACGGCCATTCTTGAAATAGTGATAACTGCAAGTGGTTGCACAATAATATAAAACCCTACGTACAAATGGGCTTTTAGGATTCATATTCGTAAAAAAAAATCTCACTAAACAAGAAAACGCTCCCAACTAGCTCTGTTGTAATGCATACTTCAGACCTGGACAAACGACTAACACAGAACTCCATAGATTTAAGCACATTGTCTGTAAAATACGATTTACCATACTAGAAGCACTCATGATCGAAACTATTGCTGACAAACAACAGAAAACTTTACATTGCCCAGCTGGCCGTTTGGACACACATGTCATGCCCCTTTCTACGTTTCCAATCACATCGTATCGACAAATGTTTGTTACTCAAATTAATAATCATCGTTGGAAACTGAAGCATCTGTCAACCTCACTCGACATCAGTCTCCTATGAGCCCATCTCAATCATCGTATCGATGATAACTTCCATCATTGTACTGGTTGCTGTTTTATGTTTATGTATATGCACTGATATGCAAGAATAAAAAGGAAAGTTGTTGTTTTTCAAAAACATACCATTTAACACGTATATTATGTTGAAACACAAAGACCAGGCCAGAATCGAATAAGACATCGTCAGTCATTAAGATAAAAAAGTCGAATTTTTAACAAAATTGGTAAATAAAAAAATTATAAAACAAAACTTTTGGGTTTTTAAAAGAAAATAAACAAAAATAAAAATAGGCGTGCCCCCTATGATGAAGCAACAACCAGTTTGTAACCAAACCAAACCCAACAGAAAGTGCACAAAGCCCATGAGAGGCGAAGCGCTCAAGTTGGACAAAAGTCAAAAACCAACTTCAAAAATAAATTAATGAATAAACATAATCTTAAAATAATTAATACAATTTTTAATTATAATAAAAAAAGCTTCTGAGTAAAGACGGTCGGAAAACACTTGATTTTCGTTTGTCTCGTGATCACGGAACGAATGTTCAATTATTTTTTATTTTTCCCTAATAAAAACTATCAAATTACGTTAAATATCTCTTTTTAAATAATAATAAATTAATTAATATATATTTAAAAATACTTACAATCAAGTAGGCATTGTATTACCTCCCGTGACTGTTAACCTGTTGAATCTTTTGCTGGTTGTACGAAATGTGATTAATATAAATATTTAAAGAAATATATATATTTATATATAGGAAAAAACTGTTTGGTGGTTTTAATTTAAAGAAAAAATTTTTTGGTCAAGCAAGAATGAAGAAAAAAGGAAAGTAAGTATTTTGAAAGTATTTTAGTTATAATAGAAAAGGTCATTGTTTTCAATACCACGTGGTTTTCCTTCAGTTTTCCCTCGAAATTTAACATTTTTCGTCAGTTCGAATTGAATTTAGGCCGATTGATCAATTCATTTTTTAAACTTTTTTTTGAGGGGCTGAAAAGGTGGATCTTGAAGTGAAAAAACGATTATTTGCCGGTTGTGGTGTTTTTATTTATCTTGACCTCTGTGGAACCGTAAAACATGAATTAACACTTCTACCCGCTTAACTGGGGTTAGTTTCATAAAACAATAATTTACAAGTTTACAATAGGTGCAAGTACCTGTAAGTTGTAAAAAATTACACTTTTACAGGAAAAATGTTACAAGTGACAGACATCGGTCACCTGCCTTGAAAGGTTACTATTTCTTAAAACCTTGCTGTTATGAACACTTGAAATACAGGACCTCTAACATATAGTATAAAGGAGTAAGTTCCAATTCTCTGATCAGACACACAGCCCTCGAACTTTCAGTTCAAACCTTCCCCCAATAGGGCTTATAATAAATGATTTTGTTGCATTGCCCGCTGCAGGTTTAATTTGCAAAAGTTGCGAAGAATGCATTCAGATATTTTGTTATATTCATTTTAGGAAGTCTGTGATAGATCGTTATGCCGATCTAGAAGGAGAAGTTAGCCATTACAATCTGAGCGAATCTGATGACGGCTTTGACGATGATGAGAGGGTCTTGGTTGAAAATGCGAAAGGGCGGAGGCAAAAGGAGGGAGAGGTATGTTTTAAAAGTTAATTACTTTTGAATAGCTTTTAATATTGAAAATTTTACAGGAGGAAGTGTTTAACGTGTATCATTCGAGCGATGAGGATGTAGAAGATGTAGAGTCCCATGACGACTCGCTCAGCGATCTCGAAGAGCTCGGCTCGCCGGCCAACGTCGACGACGGGATACCCAGTGCGAAGGCGTGGGGTGCGGAGAAGCGTTCCTACTATGACACGGATTACGTCGACAAGGATTTCAGCGGTTTCGACGACGAGGAGGCCGCTTTGACGGAGGAGCGTGAGGCCGATGAGATACAAAAGCGTATTCTGTCTCAGCTCGAAGCGGCCGACTTCTCTCTCGGACTGCTCGACGAGGTCGAGGAGCGCAAAGGCGAAGCGGACAAGCCGCACCGTACGGATGAAGGCGAGAAGGTCGAGAAAGATCTTACGAAGCTCGCTGCATCTGATTTAGTCGACCTGATCAGAAGAGAGACACCTGGTTTCTTTGGCCTCTTAAAAGACTGCAAAGGTAACCATTAAAAAACACAAAAAACTAATAATTATTCATTTATCCGATATGTTTTAGAAAAACTGAAAAAATTGATGACGCGGATATTACCAATAATTGAAATGGAAGAATCAGGCGAGCTGCCAGAATGCGAAGCTTCTGTTTTTCTACGAACATACAGAAAATTTGTCTATTTGTAAGTATTTGAATTTCTCTCTTTCTTTCTTGCTAGAGTCTTTCTCTCTCTCTCTACTCCAATTGTCTGTTTCTCTCTCCTGTCTGTTTTCATTGTCCTTGCTCATTCCTTATCCACCCGATTGCCCATTTTTCTTCCCCGGTTTGTTGAGCTTTTCCGGTTGAATCCGGGCGTTAGTGGTTGAGCATTAAAGGCGATGACATACGGAGCGGTTTTGACCGAAGCGTTTATCGTGAGAAAAATCGAGGCGGTGCGTCGTTCATTGTTGTTGCATATAACCTGACAGATGTAGCGGTCGTACCCGCCTATCGGTTTTCAAACCGAGTCGGTCGGTGGCGGAGACGACCCAACGCGTCGGTTTTGAAAATGCCAGGCGGTGAGTGGTACCCAAGTATTGCATCAGCCCTGACACACGTGGCGTTTATTTGAGCTGTTCGTACCCCACTTTCTTGAAGGGTTGTTTGTTTGTCAGTCTTCTAATTTACTTTTAAGATGCAAAAAATAGACGTGGAGAAAAAAATTTGTAATGCGGCATTTTATTTTACTATGTAACTCGTCAAAACTGCCCATTTACATCCTGGTAAAGTTAAAACATTCTTCAGGGTGTTTCCTCATCTCTGAAAACAAATTCTTAAAATGCCCTCTTTCGCTTCTCTTCTCGACAATTGGATGAACCCACATTCTCCTGTTTTTTCTCCATTCTCTTCTTCCAACGATAGTACAACAGAGACACCAGAAGTATCTCTTCATCCATGGGAACTCCATGGGGAATGGGCCAATGCCAGTTCAATAAGATTAATAAATAATAGAATTTTAGCTAATTCTCAACTTCCTGACACTTAGAGCTTTTCATATTGATACTTAACCACCACTAAAAATGGGGGGGAAAATCTAAGTATTTACAGATTGTACGGTGCTGTACAGTAACACAACCGTTTTTAAAATGAACTCACCTTCCTCCAGGGCCTCTTTTAACTTTACAACTACTTGAAAGTACATCACCCTATAATTAAATGATTTCTACAGCTTTACGGGTGCAAAGTATGCGTATGACTGTCGGTGATACATGGTAGTAACTAGTTTAATAAAGATTTTGTTTTGAATATTATCTGGAGGAGGAAGGGGACCTCGTTCAAATCCCAGCTCTGTGCCTTTTAAATTAAAGTATGAAAAATGAAAAGTAGTTTAAACGTTCCTTGACTCTGAACAGGAATTACTTTACTTTTATTGATCAGAGAGGATTGATTTTTTTTGGGGGGGGGGAGCAAAACGGGAATCGAACCTACAACTGCAGGATCTGAGCCGAGAGTCTGACACGCTTATTCGGCTACCCGAGATCCCATCTAAATATAAATCAACTTAAATATTTATTTTTAAAGACTATTTTTCAAAACTTCATAGAGAAAAGAAAACCGAACGTGACGTAGTGTGTATATAACTGTGAGATTTCACTTTGTAGCCAGTTCCATGGAATGTTCATCAAAGAAAAAAAAAGTACTGCAAGGGGGAATGGTCTGTAAGGCTGTAACTAATACATGAAGTTACATACAGTTACAGAACAATATATTTATTAAGCAGGACTTGTTATACAAACTGCAAAATAACACCTTGCGACGTTCAATGCTTATATGCACTGCTGTAGGATACATTTAATAACTGAGAGAAAACAAAACCACTTCGGCCAAAACACACATCATATTGCTGCATGTGTCACACCTAGCAAAACTGAAGCGGTAAACGCTTCAGTCAAAACCGCTCCGTGCGTCAGCGCCCTAAGGCCACTTGTCAGCACGACAGTAAATATTTCCATGGCGATTGCCCTGGAACGACCCACATTTTCCAGTTTGACGTAAGCGCTGAGGTGTTATTATTTCATCTTTAAGGGACTTTAAGGGAATTCTCATCTTAAAATGTTAATCAATTGCAGAATTACATAAGCTTTGAATATAAGAAGTTCTCAAAGTCCCATAAATTAAGCTTGTATTACGCATATTTCTTTAAATTAATGATTTCCTTCAAATCCTGCATCCCTAAATACTTCAGGCTCAATTATATATTTTTTGTCGTCTTTTCATCTTAAAATGTCTATCAATCGAGGATTACATCAAAACTTATAATGAAAAGTTCTCAAAGTCAAAGTAGATTACAATTAATAAAAATTATTACATTACACGAAATTTATATAATATAAAATAAAAATAAAAGTATAAAATTAATGGAATAAATATATTATATACATGTACAGCACTACCTATGTATTATTTAACAAAAATGTTAAAATTAGGAATGTCAAAAAAATATTACATATTTTTCAGCGTATAAAGCTTATTAACTGAAGAAAAATAAAATAAATTGTTGTAGTTACTGACTGTTAAAATAGTTTTAGTCTTATGAGCATCATCTTGCTCTTCATTGTTATCTTCGTGTAACCCATCAAATTGAAAATCATCATCAGATTCTAACATGGCAGGAATCAAATTTTATACCAATTTAAAATTGTTTTTTGCTCGATGAAATTTCTTCTTTCTAAAAAGGCAAAGGGAATCAAGAAAAAAAACGAAATATAAACTTACTTTCTAATAAAATTAGGTAAAACGTTTGAAATAGTTAATATTTTAAAAACCGTAGCTTACATAAAAAAGAATAAAACAGTTATTAAAAAAAAAAAAAGTATTTACCGTGCTGTTATTATTTTTTCTATATTTTTTACATATATAATTATAAATTTGAGATTTGTCACAAATGAAAATTACGGCAACAATTATTTATTCCCAAGGTAAACTTTAAAAAAACAACACAATTTAGGATAAAATAGATAATGGAAACAGGAAATAGACAATTTTTAAATTATTTTGAACTAATTTTTAAAGTTATGTGGGCTTTATTTTAAGTTGGTATTATGAACAAAGCTGAATTAAGAGAGAAAATAGCTTTATTTATTTTTAACTAAAACTTACCTTATTTTTAACAATCTATGAAGTGAGGGTCACTTGTTAAACCGCACTAAAATAAAGCCGGTGGTGAGTGGTTCCGAAAACCGATGAACATAGGTCGTGAAAGCAGGCACTCAAATAGACCTAAGCAATGCAGGAAATTCATAAAAACCCGGATGCACAATTATAAAAGCAGTCTTGCCCTCCACTATACATCAACAATGAAGAGATACCGACTTCCACTCAAGTCAAATACCTAGGACTATACCTTGACAGCAGACTGACGTGGAATCCTCCCACAAGACTTAAAAGACAACTCGGCAGAAGGACAATTACGCAGACTACTAGGACCAAAATCCTGGTTGACGATCAGTACTAAACTGACCTTATACAAAACTTTACTGCGACCACTTTGGACATACAGTGTGGAACTGTGGGGTTCCGCCAAACCATCCAATATCCAGGTATCCAGTTCTTCCAATCAAAAGTCCTCAGACAAATCGTCAAAGCTCCTTTTTACGTCTCCTCAAAAGACCTCAACGTTCCTTTTGTCCACGAACTGATCCATTCCCGATTCCAAAAATTTCATACCAACCTATCAATCCATCCTAAGCCCTCTCCACATATTCCCATCCCGAGATTCCACCACATCGCCTAAAACGACGATGGCCCCGAGACTTCCTTGCCCCTTTAATCCATTAAAATGAGTGCCAGCGGCTGGCTTCTCATGGCATGCGTCCTCCGGGTGCAGCGCGGGCATCAGTGCTGTGACCGAGTGGTGAACAATATACATTGTGATCACATTTGTGTTATGTATAAGTATGTATAGGCTACAAATAAATAAATTAAAAGTAAAAAAAAAATTATTTATTCTGTTGACTAAACAGAAATAAAAAGAGGGCCAGTGCTGGCTGGTGGCCGCCGGGCTCTTGGGCTTGCACTACTGATAGTTATTCAGATATCGTGAGATGCGGTCGGGAGTGATGTAGGTTTCAGAAAAACATTTTCTTTATCGTGTAAAGATAAAGAAAATGATTTTCTGAAACCTACATCACTCCCGACCGCATCTCACGATATCTGAATAACTATAGATTAACGGTCACTAATCTCTACACATTACTACTGATAGTGTTAACATTTCTGATTAATTTTAATTCCTAATAAAAATTTGTTTAAGATTCTTCTTTGGAATCTTCTCAGCGAGCGTTTTCAACCGTCTTTCCAACGTACGACAGGATTTACGAATTTTCAATTGTCGTAATCCTCCCAGCTCAACATCATCACTCTGGCCCAATATTCATATCACGCGGAAACAAACCTTTCATACTGAGGATGACAAATAATAATGTTTTTATACTCATTCACTCCGTTGTAACTTGTATCTTGTATACCTTTCTCTTCCTGCATATTGTATCAATTTTACACGCTGTCCACATACATTTCATACTTCTGCTTATGACTTTTCATTCAGCTGTGCAAAAAACCTGTCATGCGTGATCGATAAATCTTATCTTATTTTCTTTCTCGTATGCATATACGAATATATTTAACCAATTCATTTTTAGTTATGCAATGAACACGACGTTCTTTATGCTGATGAAGAACAAGCATGAGAAGACAGACGGCCACCCTATAGTGAAACGTCTCGGTCAGATTTCGACATTCTTGACCGAAATGGACTCCTGCTTGGACGCTGGCCTCATGAAACAGATGAAGAAAATCATGACGGGAAAGAACAAAGGCTTGGCGATCGTCGAAAGCTCCATTCCAACGAAACCCGCGCCTGCGAATCGGTATTAGCGTCGTTAAAATTATAAATTGTCATTTTATTACCATGATTTTATTTTATTTATATTTTTTTTAAAGGAAAGAGAGGCGTAAAATAGAAAAAGTGGAAAAAGAGAAAGAATTGAAGGAGAAGGCGCAAGTCGAAAAGCTCCAAAGAAGGCTCACGTCGTTCGGTCAGGTCGACTCGGACGGAGAGGTCGAACCGGAGCCGTTGAATGACGAAGGTATTTGACAAAACTTCTTAAATTTTATAAAATACTTAATAAACGCATTTTGCAGAAGCGATGGACGTAGATGCTGAAGACGGCGAGTCGATCGAGAAGCGAGCCGCCACTTACAAGATACTCAAGAACAAAGGCCTGACGCCAAGGCGCAAAAAGGAAGTGCGCAATCCGAGGGTGAGGAATAGAAACAAGTTCAAGAAAGCCGTCATTAGAAGGAAGGGGCAGGTGCGCGAGGCCAGAAAGGAACTGGAGAAATACGCGGGCGAAGTCTCCGGCATCAAGAAATACCTGAGCAAGAGCATCAAATTAAAATAGAACCCTATTTATTCAAATGTAAAATAATTTTTGTAAAATAACAAAATAAATTGTATTTTGATCGATTGACTTATATAAGCTCAATTCTGTACGTACTAATCACGCTGATCTATACAGAACTGAGCTTATGGCATTTTACCCTCCTTGGTCTTATCCGTTCTCCTGCAGAAGTAAGGCTTAAGGGTCTACTAGGCCATTTAAACAATTAGGCCTTTTCATGCTAATAAATACATTCACTTTCAACATTACTTAGAATAAAATAATCCTGTTTCCTCCAGAAATCGGAATATGAGGCTCAAAACTCATTGCTTAAGATCAATTCATCGGGTGGCTTCCCTACATGTTTTCTATAAAGAGCCGTTGAGTGACATCCTTCAGTTAACTAGGACAAAGCTTATGACTTCTTAGTCTTACCCACTAACGTCTGTTTAGCAGTGGAAGTAAGGCTCAAGGGGGGGATAGAGATTTGGCCAATATGCTAGACCATAAGGCCAAAAAAAGACTGTTAATATAGATTCAAATGGGGATAAGCCATACCAGCCAAATCAAAAATTTTGTCTCCATCAGTCTGCTCCAGGCAGGTGTTATTACCATTACCAACAAAAAAAGGCTCGATGGGTTGTCGACTAGGCCATTTCAGCAATTACTAGTCAGATCTGGATCAGTACTGCTCATTCTTTTTAGAACAGCTAGGATTTAGCGGTTCATTAGTGATCCATGTCAGTAGTGTCGTTCATTTCAGGCCAGCTAGGATTCACTGGTGATCCGGTTCAGTACTGCTCATTCTTTTTAGGCCTGCCAGGATTTAGCAGTTCACTACTGATCCAGATTAGTACTGCTCATTCTTAGGCCAGCTAGGATTTAGTGATTAACTACTGATCTAGATCAGTACTGCTCATTCTCTTTAGGCCTGCCAGGATTTAATGGTTCACTACTGACCCGGATCAGTACTGCTCGTTCATTTTAGGCCAGCTAGGAATTAAAGGTTCACTACTGACCTGGTCAGTACTGCTCATTCTTTTTAGGCCAGCTAGGAATTAGCGGTTCATTACTGACCCAGATCAGTACTGCTTGTTCATTTTAGGCCAGCTAGGAATTAAAGGTTCACTACTGACCTGGTCAGTACTGCTCATTCTTTTTAGGCCAGCTAGGAATTAGCAGTTCATTACTGACCCGGATCAGAACTGCTCATTCTTTTCAGGCCAGCTAGGATTTAGCGGTTTATTACTGATCCAGGTCAGTACAGCTCATTCTCAGGCCAGCTAGGATTCAGGCATTCACTACTGATCCAGATCCGTACTACACATTCGTTTTAGTTCAACTAGGATTTAGTGGTTCACACTTGATCCAGATGAGTAATGCTCATTCTTTTGCCATCTAGGATTTAATGGTTCACTACTGATCCGGAACAGTACTGCTCATTCGTTTAAGGCCAGCCAGGATTTAGCAGTTCATTACTGATCCAGGTCAGTACAGCTCATTCTCAGGCCAGCTAGGATTCAGGCATTCAATACTGATCCAGATCTGTACTACTCATTCGTTTTAGGCCAACTAGGATTTAGTGGTTCACACTTGATCCAGTTGAGTACTGCTCATTCCTTTTATACCAGCTAGGATTTAATGGTTCACCACTGATTCACATAAATACTGGTCGTTCATTTCAGACCATACAGGATTTAGTGGTTCATTAGTGACCTGGTTCAGTACTGCTCATTCTTTTTAGGCCTGCTAGGATTCAGGCGTTCACTACTAATCCAGAACAGTACTGCTCATCTTTTAAGGCCAGCCAGGATTTAAGGGTTCACTACTGACCCGGATCAGTACTGCTCGTTCGGTTGAGGCTAGCTAAGATTTAGTGGTTCACTAATGATTTGGATCTGAGAAAAAGTGACTGCGCCTAGCTTGCATGGCTGCCTACCTATCGACGTGGTCTTGATATCCGAGAGCTTCTTTACCAACCCGGCTCACCAACTCTGCTACCTTATTTTATTCATGCTTAGAAGTATTTTTAATATCAGAAGGCCAGATTGCGCTGGTTAACGAGTCTGGAGGTTGGGGCGTTCCCAGACTTGTACGGCTTGATTGCGTCTGGGTACCCAGACAACCACTGTTTTTCCCATACAAAACGAAGTGGAACTAGCCATATAAAACATCACTAAAATGAAATAAGTACAAAATATTTCCAACAGCAAAGTAAAAAAGGAGGTAAAGAAGGCCCCATATAACAAATTTAGAAAAATATCAAAACATAAACGTATATCTGTAAAAATGTATTTTCAATGATGTTTTATTATGAACTATACAAAATACAATTGAATGAGACAAAACATTTGTTAGAAATAAGTTTTTGTTTTTAAGAGATAAATACAGCTTTTATTTAAATAATTAAAAAACTGGAAAAAAAGAAAAAAACGGACATGGCTATTTTAGATGGATCAAGGAAAGAAACTTTAAAAAGAGTATTCTTTGTTTTCCGTCTCGACCAATAGTAATTATTTACACAATAGTTTCTTGTCTTTCTTTTTCTTCTTTTCTTTTGTCAAAGTGGATTTTTTCATCTTTTGTTTTCTACGATTGTTCACTGGGTTCTTCGCATCTGTCTGCTATCCTGTCGAGCTGGGAAGATATCTCGGTGTAGAGCCTTTGAAGTTTGATGTTGTTCGACATCTCTTTTAACACGTCTCTCAACAGAGAATGCTTATTCAGGCCCTAAAAAAAACAAATAAATTTTAAAAAATTGACAATAAAAAAATTAGATTTCGCTTACGAGTATTTGTTTGTTCCAACTGGAAAAGAGGTTGTTCGTCGACGTCGAATGGCTCGGCCCGAGGAGCTCTTCACACACCAGCCGCAGTTTCAACTCAAGGCCTGCAATATTGTGTAATATTAAATTCACTAATTTCGTGATCCGCTTGACCAATTAATACATTACAATTAATTAAGGTTTTTAGTTGAGATGAAAAAAATGACGAAATTAGTGAATTTAATGAGTAAAATGAAGTACACTTCACTAAAGCTCTCCGTGGCAATTTCATTTGTTGTTGAGAATCAAATCTGATTACATGACATTTGAAAAATAGCAAAAAGGAGGGAAAACTCATAAGGTGGGGTTGAGATAGGTAGTTGATGTCCGAGTGGATCGAGGTCATGGTAGCTCAAGTGGTAGAGCAGCGGCGTATCTAGCTAAAGATCATGGGTTCGAATCCCGCTCGTGCCATTCATTTTTTTTCATCTCAACTAAAAACCTTGATTAATTGTATTGTGTAATATTGTTATTCATAAAAAAATAAAAATAATGTGCAGGATCGAATTAAATGAGGTAAACCATATAAAAAGTTACAAAACACAGTGTGTGGACAAATTGACCAGTCAATCTCAGGATCGATTCAGTTCGGCCAATGAAATAGTTCACTCATTCATTCAGCCTATGATCGATGATTCACTCATTCAGTCAACTTATGATCGGCGGTTAACTGATTCATTCTGCCTATGGTCGGTGGTTCACTCATTCATTCAGCCTATGACCAGTGGTTCACTCATTCATTCAGCCTAAGATTGGTGGTTCACTCATTCAGTCAGCTTATGAATTGGTTCACTCATTCAGTCAGCCTATAATCGGCGGTTCACTCATTCATTCTGCCAATGATCGGTGGTTCACTCATTCATTCAGCCTATGATCAGTGGTTCACACATTCAGTCAGCTTATGATCGGCGGTTCACTCATTTATTCTGCCTATGATTGGTGGTTCACTCTTTCATTCCGCCTATGAATTGGTTCACTCATTCAGTCAGCCTATAATCGGTGGTTTACTCATTCATTCTGCCAATGATTGGCGGGGTTCACTCATTCATTCAGCGTATGATCGGTGGTTCACTCATTCAGTCAATGTAGGAATAGTTCATCAATCATTTTATGGTGACTGGTTCACTAATTCAGTACATTATTAGAATATGATTCAGATCAACAGAGATAGTAAAAAAAGCCATAAGATGGCACAATATCATCCATATCTATTTTAAATTGCTGCATACTGCGTACCTTGATGTATGAGAAACCTCACATACGTGATGAGCCAGAATTTGTACTCCGCTTTTGAGGAGAGCGCCTGCGCCGAAGCCATTTGCATATCAAGAAACGAAAGAGTGCATAACGGCCCTAGTTCGGTGTTCTGCACCAGCCGTCCGACACCGCTGCTCAACCTGATGGATTACAAAACAAAAACAAAATTAAAAATTCGATATAAAATTTCAACGAAATTTCGCGTGTTTTCTTACCCGTTGAACGTAGCCGCTTGGATCGACTTGAGTGGCAATGATTCATTCGCAGACGCGTACCGAAGCGAATTCCTATAACTATGTTGAGTATTTCTTAATACGGCGTCATTGCTGTTTCCCACCAAAAGCCTACAGATTTACGCGTTTTTTTAAAAATAATTATTTTTGGTGTTAAAAAAATAAAAATAAAAATTACCAGCAGTTGTGTATGAGCGAATAGAGGAACGCTTTGCCGCAGGTAAGCGCCACCATTGGCTCACCTGTCTCGGTGACAAGGCACTCCTTTATCCTGAGCTCACCCTGCGCCGAGACTAGAGACGCAAGTGACTTGTCGGACAAGACGGCCTTCGGAGTGCTGCCTTTCGGATCCGTCGATAGCACCGTTATATTCCCGGATGTCGTTATTGACAGGACAAACGACGACGAGAGTGTGAGCACAGCTGGCGAAGAGGCAAGAGCGACTGGTGGCGCAAGGTGTGCCCCACTCTTAGGCTCGATGACCCTCAATGTCTGGTCATCGCAAGCGAGTGCGACCACGTCCGAAGAGCCTACGCAGCCGCAGACTTCACTACCTAAACGAAATATTAATATACAAAACTTACACGTGAAAAAACAATAATAATAATAATTACCTAAGGCTAATTCCCATAAAGGTTTATTGTCGTCTGGTGAAAACATCCTAACAACTGATAAACATCCTTGAGGACTAGCCTTACTTATGTTATTTTCAATGTTTATATAATTACGACTCTTGAACATCTAAAAAAAAAAAAAAAAAATTGTTTATCGCCAGAAGTTTATTACCAAGAAAAATAAATCCTGACAAGCTGAACCTTGATATTATTAACAGTCGAAAGCTCTAGCTTTGGAAGAAGATCACAGACTAATAAATGCGACGCCGTTTTTTTCTGCGGCGAACACCTGTGATGTCCTTTTTTCTTCTTCTTCTTCGGAGAGGCTGGCGAGGTTTCAGTGAGCTTGAGCGTCGGACGCTTGCTGATCCTCCGCTTGCTCTCAGTCTTCTCCGCCGTGCTTACGAGCCCCGTGAAACCGCTCGGTTGAGTGGCATCAGAGCTGAAACACGCAAGCGTTAAAAAAATTAAAATAAAATTTAAAAAAAAACCGAGACCAAAATAAAAGCCGACCTGTTAGACAAAGATGTATTCATCGTGGGCCGTTTGGTCTGCGTCTGCGAAGATGACTTTACGGGTGTCACATTCGGTATTACGATCACGTCCTCCCGTTTCTCTACGACTATTCTTGACTTGTTCATGCACGATGAAAAAGACGGGACAGAATCGGAGCCAAATGGGGTTATTTCATCTCTGAAAAAAAAAAAAAAATAAAATAAAATAAAATAAAGAGACAAAAATAAAATCTCACCCTTTTCACACTGTTTCTGAAAGGGACTTACATTTTGTCTTGATTGAGCGGGATGAAAATAGGTGTTATCCTCCTCCTTCCGTCTGAAGTTCTAGTTTCTATTTGTTTCGTCGACCTATAAAAAATTAATTTAATACAAATTAAATTAATTATTAAAAAAATTGACAAGCCCCTGATAGTTTGATAGGAACCGAGGAATTTTTCCTTAATCCGTTGTTGTTTGAGAGAGGGGGAGGAGCTGGGGATTACAAGGAGAGTGGAACAGGTGGACAATCAGGGGAGAGATGAAAAGGCTAAGAAGGAAACATACAGGTAGAGAGAGATTGACAGTGAGGGGATATAGACCACAGAAAAATAGAAAGACGGAGTAGGGAATATTGATGGAGAGAACGAGAGATTGAGTTGGACAGAAAGAGGGGAAGAGAAAGTGAGAGGGGAAATTGTCAGAGAGAACGAGAAAGGATGAGAAACTGTCAGAGAGATGAAATTTGACTGAGAGAGCAAGAGGGGAAAAGAAACTGTCAGAGAGAAAAAAAATATTGACGAGAGAGGGAAAGAAACATGATTAGACAGAGCGAGATAGAGACTGAGATTAACAGCAAGAGGATAGTCCAATAGAAAAAGAAAAAGACAAGAGGGGGATATTCACAAAGAAAGTGAGGGAGCAAGAAAAAGATATACAGAGAGAGCGATAAAAAAAGAGAAATGGTGTTTGATAGAAAGGGAAGAATGATAAGAGAGTGCAAAAGGGGGAAGAAATTCAGAAGAGGATATCGAAAGAGAGAGCGAGAGGGCAAGAAACAGTCAGAGAAAGATAGCTTGAAGTGAAGAGAAAGATGGAGGGGAGATCATTGTAAATAAAGAAGAGTACAGAACTGAACCAATCAATGAAGGTTTTTCATCAGAAGGGGACCGAGTAACAAACCTCGAGGAACACCAGTAGCCTGTAATCTACCTTTTAAACATGATCTCACACAAGTCTGGAAGCCTTTCATAACTAAGATGTTACTAGCAATTTTATTAACATTATCTGTGACGTGTGAGGTTTTAAAACAAGAGATAATCCCAATTATTTAATTGAAAAATATTTTGTAAACATAAAATAGATTTAGTGTTGTTTTCTTGATTTATTTGATTACCTTTTCAAGAAATTGGATTCCGACTGGCTGACTTGTGTGTTCGTAGGAGTTGGTGACGGCGACTGATGCGCAGGCAGGTAGCCGTTTGTCAACGTCTCTTTGTTTTCCTCTTTATCCGGCAAAATTGGCGACTTTTCTTTTTTAACGCAATTCGAAAATAAATCCGGGTTTTCGATCACCATCGTCTCCCTGATCCCGTCCAGGGCGAACTTACCGTAAAGCTTTTCAAACGTCTGACCCTAAAACAATAAAAAAAAAAATAATAATAATAATAAAACATTGATTGTTTTTACACACCTTTTCCATTTCTGTGATCGGCCTTCCGATTTCTTGCAGCTCAAATTGCAGCAAGGCCGTCGTACCGTCGCCGGCGCAAGCCATCAAATAGCTCCCTGACTTCGACCAGCATATATCGAGTACGGGCGAATTGAAAAGGTCTTTGATGACGACGAGCGGCCGGCCCATAAGCGTGCTCCAGACGGAAATGGAACAGTCTCTCGAGCCAAGGGCGCAGACGCAAGCCTGCACCGGCTTCCCTCGCCGAAACAGCTCCATAATCGATGAACTGTACCTCTGTAAATGAATCATTAATAAACATATAATGATTATAATAAAAATAAAAAACTCACGGCGCAAGTTACGGCCTTGATATGGCCGACGAAGTCTTTCGAATAGTCCCAGCCGTCCCTCTCAATGATCTGCGCCGTCGGGCCTGTACCGTTCATTGCGTGAGCTGTGACAAGCGTCTGTCCGTCGGGCGACCAGCTCAGCCTGAGCACCAATGTCGACCCAGAGCACTAAATTTAACAAACAGAAAAAAAAAATCACACTAATTTGTCATATATATATCTATATTTTTTTATTACCTTTTCAAATGGTTTCTTGATCACTTTTTCCGTACACCAATCTGATGTGCGCCATATTCGTACCGTCTTGTCGTCTGACTGCGAACCCAGGTACTTTCCAACCGGATCCCAACTGACGCCTTTAACTAGGCCCGTATGGCCTTTTAATACTGCAGTCGTTTCTGTAATTTTTTTTTTTTTTAAATAGTAAATTGCATTATTATTATTATTATTATTATTATTATTATTATTATTTTTTAAATGTCATGGTAATTACCTGGAAAACTATCGGCCTTCCATATTATTATCGTATTGTCGACTGAACAGCTGGCCAACCAGTGGTCGCCCGGCGACCAGGCCATGTCGAGAACGTCGCCCTGGTGGTTTCTCAGCGTATAGGCGCACCTCCATCCTTCAACGTTCACTTTTCCCTTGCTTCCAAAAACCATATTTCCACCTAAATATTAAAAAAATAAAAATAAATAAAATAGAACAAACAATAAAAAAGTAGAAAATAAAATCAATAGGTGATCAAAGAAAAGCTTACTGAAAGACTTTGATATCGTCCAGACCATGATTAACTTGTCATCCCCACCGGAAGCAAGGTACCGACCAGAATAACTCCAACGGACACAATTGACACAAGCTAAAAAATTTAAAAAAAATATTGGGCAAAAGTTACAAAAAAACAATTCATCTCATCAACTCACCTAAATGATTGTCCATTTGGCACAGCATTTTAGGAACGTTTGGATCTTCTTCGCTTTCCTCTGACAAGATCGGAGCCATATTCCAAATGACGATACGGCCAGAATTGATCCCTTGATGAAATAATATAACAAAATTAGTTGTTGCTGTAAAAAGTTGATTTACAAAGGCTAATATTTAGGCCATTTCTGCATCAGAAGTATGATAGTCGGATTGGATTTGCCTCTTAGGACGTCTGCTTTCGACCCAGAATCAGCCTAACTAGACAGATCTGATTCGAATCGGATTCGACTCTTAGGTTATATCTGGGTTGTACGCTTCTGACCCAAAAGTGGCTGAGATATAAATATAGTCGATATGAATCAGATCCGATTCATCATCTGGTGTGTCTACTGTTGACCCAAGAACAGCTTAATTACTCGTCAGATCCAATTCGAATCAGATTCTACTCTCACATCATCTGGACTATCTGCAACTGTTCCAAAAGTGATTTAAATACAATTCGGATCCAATTTAAATCAGATTCGACTCTTCGGTCATCTAAACTGTATGCTATTGACCCAGATTTGGCCTAAATACTTGTCAGATCCAATTCGAATCGGATTTGACTCTTGTCATCTGGGTTGTCAGCTACTGACTCAAAAGTGGCTTAAATACTAGTCAATTCTGATCCGACTCTTAGGTCATCTGGCATGTAAGATTCCGACCCAAAAGTAGGTTAATTACAAGTGATCAGGTTTGACTCTTAGGTCATATGGATTGGAAGCATACATCTGAGATGACCTAAGAATCCAATCTGATCTGACTAGTATTTAAACTAGTTAGTCAACAGTAGACATCCCAGATGAATATGAATCGAATCCAAATTTAGGCCACTTTTGGGTTGGAAGCATACAACCCATATTTTGTTTTAATGGATGCTAGGAACTGGAGGAGTTCTCCCTGAGCACTGCAGCTGCAGTACACCGCTTATTGTACTTCCTTCCTGGTTCCGTTTTTGGTAGCTTGCAACGTGTGTGAATTTGAGTTCCTGATGTGCCGATGTTCCATTGATGAAACTCATTTTTGAAGGCGGTCGGGACCAAATTCAGAGTCGCTGAGATCTGATCCCATCCCAGACCTTCGATTGATGAGTACTGACAATTTTTTTTTTAATTGCGGCCACTGGTCACCTTAGTTGACAGAAAAAAAGTACAGAGGCGACGGTGGAAATCGATCTAATAGTCCAGAGTTTGACGCCTTAACCACTCAGCTACCACGGTCCCATCCAGATCCTCTATACAGAGTCGAATCGGATTGGATCTAACTTGTATTTAGGCTACTTTTGGGACAGCCGCAGATAGTTCAGTTAAGAGTAGAATCTGATTCAAATTGGATCCGACAAGTAATTAAGCGGGTGACGAGTCAACAGTAGACACCCCAGATGAAATATGAATTGAATCCAAATTTGGGCTGGAATGATTTGAATCAGATCCATATTTCAGCCGCTTTTGGGTCAGAAGCATACATCCCGGATGACCTAAGACTCGAATATGATACGAATCAGATCTGAATAGTATTTACGTCACTTCTGGGTCAATAGCAGACCGTCCTGATGACCTAAGAATTGAATCTGATCCGATTAGTATTTAGACTAGTTTTGGGTCAACAGGAGACACCCCAGATGAAGTATGGATTGAATCTGATTCAAATTGACTCCATATTTCGACCACTTTTGGGTCAGAAGCATACATCCCGGATGACCTAAGAGTAGAATATGATTCGAATCGGATCTGAATAGTATTTACGTCACTTCTGGGTCAATAGCAAAGAGTCCAGATGACCTAAGAATTGAAACTGATCCGATTAGTATTTAGACTAGTTTTGGGTCAACAGGAGACACCCCAGATGAAAAATGGATCGAACCCGATTCAAATTGACTCCATATTTCGGCCACTTTTGGTTGGAAGCATACATCCTGGATGACCTAAGAATTGAATCAGATCTGAGTAGTATTTACGTCACTTCTGGGTCAATAGCAGACAATCCAAATGGCCTAAGAATTGAATCTTATTCAAATTGACTCCATATTTCGGCCACTTCTGGGTCAATAGCAGACAGTCCAGTTTATATATGATTCGAAATAGATCTGGCCTCTTTTGGAGCGGAAGCGGACATCCAGGACGACAAAACAGTCATATTCCACCTGCTGTTCGTCATTACTCTCACAATTTATGTAAAGTGCTGCATATGGTTATGTTTTAAAGTGTGACGATTGAGTATGTTGCCATAAAACATAGGTTAAATGTATGCAGTGACTTACCTTGTCCTCCAGTCGCGACCCGAGATCCGTCCGGGTGGATGTCAATGGAATAAATCGGCTTGCCTGGGGGGAAAACGGACATGGATAAAACTCATAAATATGTAGAAATAAAGGATTTTCGATCGTTCCACGGCTCACCCTCATGGCCTATCCAGTGGGGTTTGAAGACCTTCATAGCCGGCCTGTCGACGTACTGGGGTTGGTGTGCATCTCTCGTGAGTGGTTCAACGTCGGCCCGGTCCCTCCCGGGGGCCTTTTTCCCGTTGGGACATCCTCCTTTCCGGCTGGAAAATCCCCTTTCAATTTAGGCTGGAAACTGGTCGAAATCTGGAGAAATTCGATCAAAGGGCGGCCGAAGAAAATCAACTCGACTTTCGAATCCAAGTTGGAACCTTCTCTGGCACTGTTATAAAAATGAGCGTTACCCTCGCCAGTCCTGCCAACCTAACTGAACAACACAAAAAATAAAAATATTTACATTATTATATGCCTTATTATTTTTTTAAAAAAGAGACAAAAATTAAACCTATAATTCTAAAAAAATCACTCAATCTTATTAATTATTATAAATACTGGTAATTCAAGAAATTTTCATGGCCTCAAAACACCCAAGATTGTTGGATATAATAAAAAATAAAATCTAATCAAAATAATAATAGTTTTTTATTGCTTTCCCACGAGATTGTTTTATATTTTGAATCAGAATTCAGTTCAATCACTATCTCTCACTCTCTCACACACACTAACTCACTCACCTGCTAGCCCCCTCACGCATTAACTAACTCACCACTCACTCATTCTGTCACTCACTTACTCATTCATTCATTAACTCACTCAATCTCTCACTCATTCACTAACTCTATCAACAGGCAAAAACATATAAATGATTTTTTTCTTATTATTATTAATATTTTAAAAAAATCAAATCTATGATTCAAAAAATATCACCCAACCTTATTAATTATTTATTATAAATACTGGAAATTTTCGTGGCTTCAAAACATCCAAGATTGATGGATCTCATAAAAAATAATAACTAATCATAATAATAATCGTTTTTGTAATGCTTTCCCTTGAATTTGTTTTATATTTTAAATCAGAATTCAGTTCAATCACTCACTCACTAACTACTCACTCACTAATTAACTCACTCATTCGGTCACTCACCTACTCATTTATTCATTAACTTACTCAACCTCTCACTCATTCATTAACTCACCTACTCACTTACTAGCCCACTCACTCATTCTGTCACTCACTTACTCATGCATTCATTAACTCACTCTATCAACAGAGAACATTTTTTTTTTAATGCTATCCTTCGAATTTGTTTTATATTTTGAAACAAGAGTTCAGTTCAATTCATTCCCTATCTCTCACTCACCTACTCACTCATTCTCCTACTAGCTCACTCACTCATTTACTAACTCACTCACCTACTCAATAACTCACTCGTTTTGCCACTCACTTACTCATTCATTCAAAAAGATTAAATGAGGCACATATAACATTGGTAGGATTTCGATAACTGTAACCTTTGTTACAGGAAAAGCAAAGCAAAGTAAAAAAAAAAAAACACATGTTAGAAAAAAAAGTTCAACCGAAGCAAGAAAGTTGTGAACGTACCAGGGTGAATAGGACACAGAACACTTACAACATACAACAGTCACACCGGATGACAATGTCACTGACGGGAAATAATTTATCAAGCACTGGGATCCTAATAAAGAGGATCACCGAGCTGACGAAGCGTTTTATCGACAACCCCAACGAGCAACAGAAAAAAACCCAGATGACCGGGACCAGCCGAACCTGTGGGTACCTCCTAAGGGGGAAAACGGGCCAGAAACCGTGATTTTAACTTTTTTCTTTTCAGTCGCCATTTACTCCGTGGCTTTCCAGGCGTCCAGCTCCATCATGAGGCAGATGGAAAGGAAATTCTTCGTCGGGGGCAACTGGAAGATGAACGGGTCGGACAAGATGGTCGAGGACGTCGTTAACCTCCTCAAAGAATTCGAATTGGACAAAAACGTCGGTAAAGGAAATCCGTTCGGCTACCAAGTCTGACCATATCAAAATATTAGAACAATCTGCAGAGCGTAGACTGTTCTTCTGCGAGATGGCTCTCCTACATGACTCATGCCTCTACTGGACATACTGAGAACTGTGGGTGTTCCACATCAAGTTTTCAATCCATCTTAACCCTACTGCTCAAGCCTTATAATCCATCCTGTTAATCCTTAAATAACCACCTATTCATACCTTAATCCCTCATAGGCCAGCGTTGATTTTTTTTCAACCTGTGTCCTTCGTCCGTTGGCCATAGTGTCAGCCCGAATTGCTTCGATTTATAAAAGAACTACGGAAGCTTTCGAGCCCATATTCATGGTCCAACCATTGTTGGAATATGGATCTGTTTGGTGGATGTGAGCGAACCTTCTTTATACTCAAGACGTTCAGTTCGGTCCCTCACCCGCTTTCTTTCTCTCTTTCACTCACTCACTGATTCACTTTCTCTTTGGCTCCCTCACTCACTCACTCTGTCTCTCAATCACTCGATATTTCTCATTCGATCACTCACTCTTTCTTCCTCTCACTCTCTCTTTCTTTCTCTCTCTCACTTACTGATTCACTCACTCACTCACTTTCTCTCTTTCACTCTCTCTCCCTCTCCCTCTCTCTCACTCTCTCTCACACTCGCTCGCTGTCGGCCAATCTTGATCTTGCTCTAGGAGTTCCATCCTCCAAGAAATTTCCTTTCCCTGATCCTAGAAATTTAATAAATTGTCTGAATTTTAGAGATCGTCGTATGCCCACCGTCGGTTTATCTGCAGAAGACCGGCTGCCTATTGCCGTCGAACGTCTACCTAGGAGCTCAGAACTGTTACAAGGAGGCGAAGGGCAGTTTCACCGGTAATCAATTCGAATATATATCTTTGGAATAATTTTAACCTCGAGATAATTCCAAGGGGAAATAAGTCCTGCTATGATCAAAGAGGTGGGCGGCAAGTGGGTCATACTCGGACACTCGGAGCGTCGAAACCTTTTCAATGAAAACGACGAGGTAGAGGAATGGGAGTGAAAGTAGTCTGCGCTGACTAACCAGCCTCCTTAGACTGTTTCAGACAAGACGGCACACGCTCACGACGAAGGGATCGGGGTGATCGTCTGCGTCGGTGAGACCACCAACGACAAAGAGAACAATCGGACGAAAGAAGTTGTCCTCAAGTACTTGAATAACAGCTTAACAAAAACAAAGAATATTTCATACAATTCCTTACGGTTTCAAGTCAGATAAAAGCTATCTCGAAGAAGGTGAAGGACTGGAAGAAAACCGTCATAGCGTACGAACCGATCTGGGCCATAGGGACGGGAAAATCCGCGACACCCAAACAGGTACAAGGTTACTCACCAAGAGGATATTAGTATCTTAAGACTTTTCCCCAGGTCCAGGAGGTTCACGGGTGGATCAGGGAGTGGCTCAGGAGCGAGGTGAACGACGAAGTCGCACAAGAGACAAGGATAATATACGGCGGTTCTGTAAACGCGCAAAACGCCAAGGAACTATCGCGACAAGTGAATTCTTCTTTCAAATCAACGAGGACATCACAATTAACTGATTTTTTTCTTGTAGAAAGACGTAGATGGCTTCTTGGTCGGAGGTGCGTCCCTAAAGCCGGAATTCATCCAGATCATAAACGTCCTGAAGCAATAACTTTGAGCTCAGCTTAGTATATGTCGGTATTGTTTCGTTTGAGTCTCTTTCCTTCCTAGCCAAATATTAAACGATTATGTCAAGTGTTTTATTTTTATTTTGATATAATGCACGTGGTGGACTGTAAAACGGTGTCAATATTATCCCTTAAGGCCTGTTCACGCATGAGTCTAGAGGAGGGCGACGCGACGAAACCCCAGGCCGTAACCGTAACCATGTGAGGTCGGTCATACGGGAATCAAGACGAGGCGGGACACGACTCCAAGCTGTCGCCTCAACCGTGTGAAAACCTGCAATAACAGGTCTCTTGAGGAGGTCCCAAGAGACTCCAGACTGTCGCCTCAACCTTGGGAAGCACTACAATAACAGGAGTCTTGAGGAGGCGCGACGCGTCTCCAAGCTGTCGCCTCAACCTTGGATGCCCTGCAATAACAGGAACCTTGAGGAGGTCGCACGAGACTCCAGACTGACGCCTCAACTCTGTGAGGCCCTGCAATAACAGGAATCTTGAGGAGCCGGGACTCGACTCCAAGCTGTAGCTTCAACCGTGTGAAAACCTGCAATAACAGGAATCTTGAGGAGGTCCCACGAGACTCCAGACTGTCGCCTCAACTCTGTGAGGCCCTGCAATAACAGGAATCTTGAGGAGCCGGGACTCGACTCCAAGCTGTAGCTTCAACCGTGTGAAAACCTGCAATAACAGGAATCTTGAGGAGGTCCCACGAGACTCCAGACTGTCGCCTCAACTCTGTGAGGTCCTGCAATAACAGGAATCTTGAGGAGGTACGACTCGACTCCAGGCTATCGGCCTAACCGTGTTTGGTCCTTCTAACACTCCAGGTTGTCCCCTCAACCTGTCAGGTCCTGTTCACAAGGGTGTCTTGAGGAGGCCCGAAGCGTATCCAGGCTGTCGCCTCAACCGCGTGATGCGGTTTGAGTTTCTTTAATCATATTTCCCAGCTTACTATGTCTGGCATATCCGGTGTTCTTTTGTTTTGTCTAGACCCATTCTGAGACGGAGGAGTCTATGTTTCATGGCATCCCGAGTATTGGTTCTGACCTCTGTTCTTGCAGATTGTCCTCTGACCAGTTTGTCACCCTTTTCACCAGGTTTTGGACGTTTATTCAGGTATGTATGTTTCCAATGAAGGTTTAGCTAGGAGATAGCTGTAGTCTTTGACACTGTAAGTTTTAGTCCCCAGCATATTGTTTGCTAAGGACACTTTAGACTTTATTTCGGCTAAAGTCCAAAGATTTTCTATAGGGTTAGGGTTCTTGGTTATGTGTTGTAGATGAGGGTTTTAAGTTAATTTCTCGTCAAATACGATTTATTAACAAAGAACAAATCATGACCACAAGGCGCATTTTCTCTCAGGGAGGTCGAAGTCTCTGGAGAAATCCGGCCGGTTGGACACGACGCCGATGACCCTGAATCTTTCCGTAGAGTGCAAATCGTTGCGGAGAGTCCATACCAGATCGATATCTCTGAAAAGGAGCACGGAAAATAGGAAAAGGTCACGAGGGCTCGAGGTCCGTGTCTTACGGCGTGTAGGCGCAGTGTCAGTTGGCATAGCTCTGCCTAGGTGTGTAACTCTCGAGTCCGGGCAGCCGGGCCTCTTCACCGTGGTTGGCTAACCAAGAAAGATAAGCACGATACGCGTATTCGAGGCCCACGTTGTACGCGATATTCTCGTTTTTCTTCTCTCGGTCTATCTAAAATGTTCCAACCTGGGTAAACCATTTTGGGTGATGTGATTGTTGATACATAATTTCATTTTGATCTGCTTAACCGTGTACCTCTTGTATTGGTCGACAAAGCACTGGACCTTGTCGAAAAAGGTGAACAGAGTTCTGTCCTCCCACCAATCTTTCGCGATGCCCTCTTGGTCGGTAGTCCCTAAAAAAAGTTATAAATAAGGTCAAATTCGAAACTTAAAAAAAAACCATACTACTAACGTGAGTGTCAAACCCGTGGAATAATAATTCGTGTCCGATGGGATAACCAACAGTTACGAAGTTAAGCAAAGTCGGTTAGGAATGGTTAACGATTGATATTAGGGTCGGTTGGTAGTGCATCAGTTATATTCATATGGATAAGATTTTTGTAAATGGTCCATTTACTTTGTGTCATTATCGATCCATCGTAGACCCCTGAAGCGTGCCTGGACCTCCTTTTTCAACTTTTTGAACAAATCCAGCGTCTCGGATGTCGTAGCGTTGTCCATGTACCTTTGAGTGTACATGTAGAAGACGGCGAGACGGAAATTCTCCGACGTTTCCTTCACACACTCTTCCCACCTCGTTTTCGACTAGCATATGTCATTGTGTCATACGTGACCTTTCCGTCGGTCGACTTTGCCAGTTCGACCTCGAACATCAAAGAGTCGTAGAGTTCGTCCCTGGCGCGAATCGGGTCCGCTCCGTAAAGGACTGAGACATTGACCATGTACCTGAAGTAAAAGTTAACATAGGAATCTTCCAGTCCTCGAGTCATGAAAGCTCTCGTGAGACCGTATTTCCGAGGGGAGACAGTTAGAGTGAAGACGTTCGGATTCGTCGTTTCCCTTTTAAAGTTAAGCTTGACCAAATGGTCGAAACTCATGCCGGTTTTCATGAAATTGCCCAGTCGTCCTCCAGTACCGGCCATCCTCCTAGTTCTTTAAAGACCGTCAGTAACGGTCCGAAATCGTCCGTCTTCATCTTACCTACGTCTATGCAGATATTGTAAAAAAGCTTGACTTTAAGCTGGACCATGTGGATTTCGTGGTTCGACCTCTCCTCAAGCATGTCTCTTACCCGGTAGTCGATCATCGTCTGGATGTATTCTTCAATGGTGTTTTAAACTCGCGGCCGGTTGATTTGTAGATAAAATTGCCGCATGCGAACTGATAAAAGTCGTCGCAAGGGTTCGCATTCACGTCCATGTTCGATTGCATGAGATAACCTTATAAATTAAGCAGGATTAAGGAAATCCCTCCCTTTTGTTTAACATTTAAATCAACTCACCGGCTCTCATACAAACTTTATCATTACGAGTTTCGTACTTCTTCCGCACCAAACCAACACTGAGAAGTACCAACGCCATGTGAACTACCAAGAACAGGCATGCGAGGTCGCAACGCATCGTTAAAAGTCATAAAATAATGAAACTGACACAAACGTCAATTTATAACTAATGACTGGGTAAAAAAGTACTTTACATAATTCACCGAGACATATCTGACGTCAATTAACGGAATTTGTCGCACTCACTTAAGCTTTATCAGCTACGCTTTTTTATTACAGTTCCTATCGTGAAATTCAAGCTGGGTTTCTTTTTTGGACATTTTCATCTTACATCATTAGATGGTGATGTTGAAATTCTAGGGAGCAGGGTTTGCTTTAGAGAATACTGATGGTCATCTGTACTTCTGTAAACATTGCAATTCCTTAGGAGTGACGACCTGTGAGAGGGAAGAGCTGTGAGGGTAATGAACGTAGGAGTGATGAGCTGTGGGAGTGACGAGCTGTGGGACTGAGGAGCTGTGGGAGTGATGACCTAGGAGTGATGAGTGTGGGAGTGATGAGGTGTAGGAGTGAAGAGCTGTAGGAGTGACGAGCTGTGGGAGTGATGAGCTGTGGGAGTGACGAGCTGTAGGTGTGATGAGCTGTAAATGATGAGGTGTGGGAGTGACGAGCTGTGGGACTGAGGAGCTGTGGGAGTGATGAGCTGTACGAGTGAGTGTGGGAGTGATGAGGTGTGGGAGTGAAGAGCTGTAGGAGTGACGAGCTGTGGGAATGACGAGCTGTAGGAGTGAAGAGCGTAGGAGTGATGAGCTGTAAGTGATGAGGTGTGGGAGTGAAGAGCTGTAGGAGTGACGAGCTGTGGGAGTGATGAGCTGTAGGACTGATGACCTAGGAGTGATGAGCTGTACGAATGACGAGCTGTAGGAGTGAAGAGCTGTAGGAATGATGAGCTGTAAGTGATGAGGTGTGAGAGTGAAGAGCTGTAGGAGTGACGAGCTGTGGGAATGACGAGCTGTGGGAGTGAAGAGCTGTAAGTGATGAGGTGTGGGACTGAGGAGCTGTGGGAGTGATGAGCTGTAGGACTGATGACCTGGGAGTGATGAACTGTGGGAGTGACGAGCTGTAAGAGAGATGAGCTGTAGGAGTGATGACTATGGGAGGGTTGACCTAGGAGTGAAGAGCTGTAGGAATGACGAGCTGGAATGGCAAAGGGGTGAGCCGAAAAAAGGCTCTGATACGTCAATATAGTTCTTTTTCGTGAATAGTTCATACGACCTAGTTCCTTCATGAACTATCCACCGTTAGAGATCGTTCCGGGCATCCAATAATTCAATGAACCAGTTGGAATGTAAACCTATTTTAACTTGTTTCGCGTAATTTTTTGACAAAAGTTATGCCATTACTTAGACACGTGGAAAGGCGATGTGAAGAGCAGGTCCAAATAAAAACAAGCCATTTTAAAAAAACAACAACTTTTAATAAACTTAGAACGATAAACATGATGTTACATCTCTATTGATATAAAAGACAACCTACAATTGAACTACATTTAATAAAAATAATATAAATAATTTTTTTTAAGTTATAATTTTATTAGAAAACAAATTATCACGTTGGCTACCATACCACGCACTTTTTCACCGGGTTCATCCTCGACCCCAGTGGACAGTTGAAGTCCTTGGCGAACTCGGGCAGATTGGACATCGGCCCAAGTATCCTGAATTCAGGAGGCGAGTGATAACCCGTGGTTATCAGGTTGCTCAGAGATTCAGGCCTGGAGAAAAGTGGTTAGGTTTTAGGTTTTTAAAAGTTTTAGGTTAGGTTTTTGTCTTAAACAAAAAAAAATTACCTGAACGCTGAACACCAAGAGCTGGCTGTGCTCACCCAGAACATCTGGAGAGGGGTGAACTGGTGAAGCCCGGGGAGTCTGGGTTCTTCGCCGTTGTCGGCCACCCAGGATAGATAAGCCCTGTAGGCGTGCTTAAGACCTCCGTTATCTGCTATGTTCTCACCTTGTGTGTTGATTCCATTAAGCTTAAAAAATAATAATAATTATAATAAAACCTTTACCATCAGATTTATATTCGACTTACTTTCATGTTGACCTGTTTGGACGTGTAGTTGCCATACTGGTTTATAATGCACTGGGCCATTTCTGAATACTTGGTTTTCGTCTCGTCCGCCCACCATTCCATCAAGTCGCCGTTTTTGTCGAATTGTTTCCCCTAGGGTGAGAAAAATGAGTGATTTTTGCCTTGGTTTCGGGTCGTGTTTGTCTTACCTGGTCGTCGAAACCGTGTGTGATCTCGTGGCCGATCACGAATCCTATCGTGCCGAAGTTCATGTAACTGGGCCTCTTGTCGGAGAAGAAGATCTCCTGGAGGATACCAGCCGGGAATTCTGCGAACAGAACTCTCACATAAATAAGAATGTCCGAAGGTTCGAGTTCTCCAGAGCTTTCGATTGGACGTGTCCATTGTCTTACGAGACTTACCGTTCTGAGGACGTGGGGTGGAAAAGAACTCTAGATGATCGAAGAACCGAGATCTTAGCTCAGATCCAGGTTTTTCCCCCTAAGATTCTGTCCTACCTACGTACGTACATATTGGCGAAAGCTCATGTGTACCCATGCGAACGCTTTTTCGGGTGATACTAGGTCGAAAAATATTCATGTCCGAGCTTTCTTATTAAATGAGCAAAAAGCCGAGAAAAAATATTTTGAGTAATTTTGATAATTTAAAAAAATTCTGCTTTTATATTGCGTGTATTGCAAAGTTATTATAAGTAAAATAAGAAAATAATATACGGGGTCCACTTAATTCAGTCAATCTAAGAATCGATTCACTAGTTAAGTAAGCTTATGGATCGATTCAATTGATTCACTCGTTTGGTCAATATAAGGATTCAGTTCGCTGAAATAGGTCAATATTTTTGGGTAATAGTTCATTTAATTGAACTAGTTCTTTCTTGATCTACTCTGTTAGAGATGGCTGTCTCGCCCCCACTCACTCCCCTTCACTCTTTCTTTCCCTCTCTCATTCACTCCCAATCGCTCGTTCTCTATCACCCGCTATCTTTCTCTCACTCACTCCCCCTCTCATTCGCTCGCCCCCTCTCTCTCACTTACCCAACTCTCACACTCTATCTATCTCACTAACTCTCTCTGCCTCACTCTCTCAATCACTCACTCGTTCTCTTTCATTTTCACTTACACGCTCGCTCCCAATCGCTCGTTCTCTATCACCCGCTATCTTTCTCTCACTCACTCCCCCTCTCATTCGCTCGCCCTCTCTCTCTCACTTACCCAACTCTCACACTCTCTCTATCTCACTAACTCTCTCTGCCTCACTCTCTCAATCATTCACTCGTTCTCTTTCATTTTCACTTACACGCTCGCTCTCAATCGCTCGTTCTCTCTCACCCGCTCTCATTCTCTCACTCACTCTCTATCTCCTCTCACTTTCTCTCTGTCTCTCTCTCTCTTTTGCTCTACATCCCTCTCACTCACTCTCTCTCTCTGACACACAAACTCTTTATCTCTCTCATTCGCTCACTCCCTCTCATTCTTTCTCTCTCTCACTAACTCACCTACTCGCTCACACTCTCTCTATCTCACTAACTCGTTCTCTCCCTCTCTCTTTTGTTCTCTCTCCCGTTCTCTAGTCATTAATCACTCTTTTTCACTTGCACTTACACGCTCACTCTCAATCGCTCGTTCTCTCTCACCCCTCTCTTTCTCTAACTCACTCTCTGTCTACTCTCACTCACTTTCTCTCTCGCTCACTCACACCTACTTTCTATCTCACTAACTATCTTGCTTACTTTTCCCTCTCTTGCTCTGTATCTCTCTCATTCGCTCGCCCCCTCTCTTTCTTTCTCTCTCACTCACTCCCCCTCTCTCTTTCGTTCTCTCACTCAGTCACTCGCTCACTTAATGGCTTCTTCGAACCTTGAAAGACACCCAAAATAACGGCAGAAAAAATATATTCTACAAAAATTACTTGAGATATTTTTCCTTCGGAAATTTTCATATTCTGGCCTCTACCGTATATTCTAGAAAATGATAAAAGCTCGGGGGAAAAGTGTAGCTTAATTTTTATGTTATTACAGGCTGATAAATCACGTGTTTTATTTTTTAAAGTTTATTTTTATGTGACTTACGGATGGAGTTTTCCAACGGCGAGTAGTAGGCGTTGACGACAGCTGCTTTCGAATGGGATATCCAGTCCGTTTTGTTTATCTTCTCCCTCAACTGGCTCAGGGTGTAATTTGTGCCGAAGGTGGTCAGGTTGAGTATGGCCTGGAGGTAGTCGCCGTCCCTATCGATGGTCAGCTTGAAAAGACACAATTCTGACATTAGATCTCGTTCCGCCGTCGGAAGAACGCTGGACTGCACAGGTCTCGCTGGCAGAAATACCTCTTTGTAAAAGTCAACGATTTTCTTCTTGTTCCTCAGCTCTTCGGGGTAGGCGATGTGGGCCACCATCGACCCGGCCTTCTCCAAAGCGGCTTTCCTGAAAGAAAAAAATTTAGTTGTTTTTCTTATTTTTATGGAAGAACATCCAAGGCGTACCTCGTCTCCTCGTCCATCCAATCCAGGGTCTCTAGAGTATGGAAAAACTCTTTTTTTACTCTGTCGACCAGATCGAGTGCCATCTGCTTCGCCTCGTCGTTGAAGTACCGTTCGACGTAGAGGGATGAAACAGCCAGGGAGACACTGCCTGCCGCAAGGCCTGAACATTCCATCCACCTCGGTTGGCGCATTTTCGAACCTGAAGTCGCCCTGGCGTACTTCTGCTGTCTGTCCCTGAACCTAGTCGGTAGGTAGAAGATCGTAGAACTGGCCGCCCTCCATAAAAGATAATTTGCAAGCACCCTAGCCGGAGAAAACAAAAACACAATCAATCTTAATTTACACAAATAACCAACGACATACTTCTTTGGAGTCTGCTCCAGTATTTTTTCCACTCCGGTTATGTACTCGGGCACCGCGACTATGACGGGTTCTTCTTCTTTGATGTCGTACATCGGAGGAAGTAGCCTTGTGACGTACTCTCTCCAAGGGATCGTCGGGAATTTAAGCATCATACTACCCAGGGTCATCTTGTTGTATAGTTTATTCGCGTTCCTACGTTCCTCCCTAGGGAGTGAAAGCTAAAAAAAAAACAATTTTATTATTTTTTTAAAAGGTTTTTTTAAAGTCGTTCTGACCTTGGCGAGCTGCATCTCGAGTTCGAGTGATTCCATGAGTTGTTTTCTTGCTTGGGCTTCGTCCGCACTGAATAGGACAGCGATGTCGACCATGTAGTCGTAGTAGGCTTTCACCTTGGTGTGGTTCATCCCTTGGACAAGGTACTCCCTGCTCAGGCCGAGAGGGGGTTGGTCGAAAGTTATTATCCTGTATGAGGTGTTCTTCAGGTCGGAACCTATGCTAAAGTCGAAAAAGTAATCGACGCTGAAACCGTGGGCGCGGAATTTGTAGATGGTGTCTCGCCAGTTCCATGAGCCGTCTCTGTCCCAGTTCTCGTCCAGGACGGGCCATCCGCCGAGCTGTTCGAACAGCTTGAGAACCGGTTCAGTGCCGTACATCTCGATTTTCGCTGATGAAAATAAAATAAATAAAACTCTTGTTCATCGAAAAATTGTAAAGGACCTTGGGAAAAAATAAAAACAAATAAAGATCGTTCAATACACGTAGTTCTTTTATAAGAATAATTCGTATGAACTAGTTCTTTCATGAACTGCTCAATGTTAGAGATAGTTCGAAACATCCAGGAATTCAGGTCACTAAAATAAAGGCCGTTTTCTTGGGTAATAGTTCTTTCGTGAACTACTCAATTTGAGAGATGGTTCGGAGCTACCCGTTTTTTTGGGTAATAGTTCGTTTGAACTAGTTCTTTCATAAACTGCTCAATGTTAGAGATAGTCCGAAACATCTAAGAATTCAGGTCACTAAAAATAAAGACCGTTTTCTTGGGGTAATAGTTCATTCGAACTAGTCAATTTTAGAATTGGTTCGGAGTCACCCGTTGTTGTTTTTTTTGGAGGGGGGTAATAGTTCCTTTAACTAGTTCTTTTCTGAACTACTCAATGTTAGAGATGGTTCGAAACAGCCAGGAATTCAGGTCACTAAAAATAAAGACCGTTTTCTTGGGTAATAGTTCATTCGAACTAGTCAATTTTAGAATTGGTTCGGAGTCACCTGGTTTTTTTTTTGGGGGGGGGAATAGTTCCTTTAACTAGTTCTTTTCTGAACTACTCAATGTTAGAGATGGTTCGAAACAGCCAGGAATTCAGGTCACTAAAAAGAAAGATCTTTTTATTGGGTAATAGTTCATTTAACTAGTTCTTTCGTGAACTACTCAATTTTACAGATGGTTCGGGGTAGCCCGGAATTCAGTCCACATAAAAAGACCGTTCACTGTACATAGTTCTTTTTCAGGAATAGTTCATTTGAACAAGTTCGTTCATGAACTACTCGCTGTTTTAGAGATGGTTCGAGGCTGCCAGGAATTCATAGGATCATTACATACTACGTAAAAAGCTTTCGTGCAGTGTTTTTTCTAATTAAAAGACGGTATAACTAAAGTTCACTAAAAAGGAAAAACTCACTCTCGTTCATGCAGAGTTGGTAGAGGCTCTTGGCGTCGTATATCGGCTGTATTTCACCAGGTAGCGACGGTTCCGTCAGTATGTCCCTCAACTGTCCTTCCAGCTTGTCGCTAATCAGGCTGAAATAGTTCAGAGCGGATTTGTGATCCGGAATGAACCTCTTCCTAAACTGACCGCACACGAACTGGTAAAAATCATCGCATGGTTCGACGCTCATGTCCATGTTTCCCAGGACCATAGAAGCTAAAAAAAAAATTTTAATAAAAAAAACAAAAACAAAATCAAAAGTTTATTTTATTATGCGCACCGGCATGGACGCATCCTTCGTCGAGGCATATTTCAGGTTTTTTCTGAGGAGTCTTGGCGCTTTTCTCCTCGGTCATGTTCAGAGCTGACATAGCCGGCAAAGGCTCTGTAAAAGAAGAAGAAAAAAAAATTAAATTTCACCCAGGATCCTCCGGGTGAAAGACCTACTCCAGCAATCTGTGAGAAAACCGCAAGTGAACGCTGACAATCCCACCCCTAGAAAGCATATCTTAACTAAAGGAAACATAGCTTTGGGAAATTTTGTTGTGTTGAAAATCATATGATATTTAATCATTGGGAGGGGTTTTCCAGTGAGAAGATCTCGTGTACGAGGTGAGAAGCCAGGTAAAATTCTTTTCGGACGATGAACGAACTCCCAGGCTGGCTCACAGTGGCAACTAGTCCTTCTTGAGGGTCGATCAACGCGAAACGATCATCATCGTAGGCGTAGAACCAATCCCCTTGGATCTGACAAGCTCCTAGGTGCAAATAGTCAAAATTGTATCTGACTGGGATGAAATCTGAGTTGTAAACGACAACCCCATCTGAGACTATCGTGACGAAATGTCCTTTGGTGAAGAGGCAGTCTTTGACGTCCTCTAGGTCGAACCTCTTCAAAAACCGGTCAGATTCGAATATCCTGAGTGTCGTGTAACCGACCTCCTTCTCTCCCAGTCTCATCGAGTTGGTTATACAGTACCTCTTACCGCCTTTGTACACTTTAAAATCTGGCAGGTACAAAGGACTTGATTTCAGGTTCAACAGGTGTTTAGGCTCGGTGACAAAGTGGTAGAAATCGCAGTCAAAGCCGGCCTTTTTTCTGAGGACGAGGAAACCGTCCAGGACGTCTATAGAGTCGAATTGAGGTATTTGATGAAACCCCGCACCTGGGGAGTACCTCACCTTCTGACCTGAACCGAACAGGACGAGAGTATCGGCGTAGCAGTCGAAACCGTTACAGTTGAACTTTTCCAAGACGTTCAGGTCGAAATCGAGCGTTTTCAGCACCCTGGGTCGTCCATACATGGCCATCAGACCTTTGTTGTGAAAAGACATTTTTTCGACCTTCCCTCTCAGGGTTTTTAACGTTCTGCCCCGGATGTCGTATTTCTTTAGGCGGCTCTCTTTCTCCGAAGACACGAAAATACAATCGTCCGCGACGAGAAGGATCTGCAAAGGGTCAAAATTGTCCGAATTTATGCGATGCTAGTGCAAAAATTCGCCCTCGTCCAGGAGCTGTTCGACCAACTCGATCAAATAACGTTTACTATCAAATAAAACTTTTATATTTAGATCGTTAATAATGATTTTAAATGTTAGGAATGGTTAGGGAATAACAGCTCACTATTATAGATGAATCAGGGCATCCATGAATTCAGTTCTCTAACATAAAGGATCGTTAAGAATAGTTCTTTTTAGGTAATAGTTCATTTGAACTAGTTCGTTCATGAACTGTTCTCTGTTAAAGTTAGTCCGGGGCCGCTTGGAACTAGTTTACTAAAAAGAAGCGTCAATTTAGTTCATTTTTGGAAATGACCCTTTTGAACTATTGGGTTGTCCGGAAAATAATGCAGGATTTTGGTATTAAACAAAAAAAAAGAAACTAGTTACTTTAAAGCAATGTTCTTTAATCAAAATAATTTCCCATACTCTCAATACATTTCTCCCAACGTGTTGGTAACTTATTAATTCCGTCTGAGTAGAATTCAGAATTTTTAGAATTGATAAAGTCAATAAATGCATTTTCCAGTTCCGTTTGATTTTTGAATATTATGTGTTGTAAGTAGTGGTCCAGGTGTCTAAAAAAATGGTAGTCAGTAGGCGAGAGGTCCGGAGAGTAGGGTGGGTGAGGCAAAGTTTCATAGCCAAGCTCCAATAATTTTTGTGACGTTACACGTGACACATGTGGTCGAGCGTTGTCATGCAACAAAATGGGCCCTTTCCGATTGACCAAAGAGGGCTTCATTACTGCCAATTTCTGATGCATGGTATTAATTTGGTTACAGTATGATTCAGCATTGATGGTTTCGCCAGGATTTAAGAAGCTGTAGTGTATTAAACCAAATGAAGCCCACCATACCGTAACCATTACCTTTTTTTGATGAGTTGGGGGCTTTGGAGCTTCTCCTTTGTCGAGCCACTGTCCAGAACGTCTAGTGTTATCGTAGAGAATCCACTTTTCGTCACATGTAACAATTCTGGCCAGAAATGGGTCATTTTTGTTTCGACAAAGAAGTGATGCACAAACATCAAAGCGCTGATTTTTTGGCGATCGTTTAATGAGTGTGGAACCCAATTTTCGAGTTTTTTCACTTTTCCAATCGCCTTGAGGTGGTCAGCGACGGTCGTTTTACTGACTTTGAGTTGCTCTGCAAGTTCTCGAACAGTTGTTTTGGGGTTTTCTTCCACCACTGATCGCAGAACATCATCATTAAGAGAGGAAGGCCGTCCACGACCTTCTTCATCTTCAAGGCTGAAATCTCCCTCCCGAAATTTTTTAAACCACCTTTGCACAGTGCACTCATTAACACAACCCTCGCCCCAGACTTGGTTAATGTTTCTAGCCGTTTGGGCTCCGCTTCGGCCGAGTTTAAACTCGTAAAAGAAAATCGTACGAAATTCTCGCTTTGACATTATAAGGATGACTGAATTATTTCCAAGTAGCGGAATGCTACAGAGGTAAACAAACAATATCATTTGGAAGAGGATTAATAAGTGTTGACATTCATACAAATGAGTAATCCTGTAAACGTAAACAGAATATTTTATATAGATTTTTTTTAATGAAAACTTAAAATCCTGCATTATTTTCCGGACAACCCAATAGTTCGTTCATGAACTATTCACACTTAAAGTTGTTTAGGGGCCGCTTGGAACCAGGTCAGTTAAAAACGGTCAATTTAGATCATTTTTGGGAATGATTCTTTTGAATTAGTTCGTTCATGAACTACTCACTCTTAAAGTTATTTTGGAGCAGCTTGGAACCAGGTCAGTTAAAAATGGTAAATTTTGATAATTTTTGGGAATGATTCTTTTGAACTAGTTCGTTCATGAACTATTCCCACTTAAAGTTGTTTAGGGGCCGCGTGAAACCAGGACAGTAAAAAAAACTGTCAATTTAGTTCATTTTTGGGAATGATTCTTTTGAACTAGTTCGTTCATGAACTACTCACTCTTAAAGTTATTTCGGGGCTGCTTGGAACCAGGTCAGTTAAAAACGGTCAATTTTGTTCATTTTTGTGAATGATTCTTTTGAACTAGTTCGTTCATGAACTACTCACTCATAAAGCTGGTTCGGGGTCACTTGGAACCAGGTCAGTAAAAAACGGTCAATTTAGTTCATTTTTTAGAATGATTCTTTTGAACTAGTTCGTTCAAGGACTACTCACTGTTAAAGACCGTTCAAGGCAGGCGAGATTTCAATGAACCAGTTCGAACTAGGTAAAAAGCTGTTTTGTTTTTTAAAATGTTTTTTATAAAATTATTTTTGATAAAAGTTAAATTAATACAAGATAGAAAAAAAAGACAAAGAATCATAGTTCACTAAAAATTGAGTTTTCTTTCGGGAATAGTTCATTTGAACTAGTTCGTTCACTGTTATGGAGGGTTCCGGGCCGTCAGGAATGGTCAGAACCGCCATTTGTGTCGTAGTTTAATTTCTATCGTAAAATTTGTAGAAAAAAAACTATTGTCGATACCATGGACGTAGGGCGAATAATTTTCATGTGAAATTAGGCAACTCACTGAATCCGTGGGGAACGTGCGCCTCCTCGTGAAACGCCCCTCGGCCCACATGCGCAGAATCCTATGCCGATCGAGGAAATCGTCGAAACCCCGCGGACCCCACGCCCTCCGGCACGACTCAACCGAATCTCTCCACCTCCTCGACACAGCACGGCAGGCCAGGAGATCCTTCGTGGCGAGGAACGTCCAGACAGACTCGACCGCCTCTTGGTGAAGTACGTCCAACGGGTCCATGTCCGATTTTTTAAAATTTTAAATTTTCAAAAACCCAATCGGAGTTCCTCTCGGGCAAAGCGTACACCACGAAAATCGTGACTGGAATGGGAAAAACCAAAAAACCCGTCCTAGGCTGGAGGAATCGTGTCAAGGTCTGACTCTGATGGCATCGTATGACGTATGATCGGAACTTCGTTATTAAACTTTAAAAAAAAGTTTAGAAGGAAAACTCGTCCTTGGAAATACAAACAAACTCAAATAATTCAACAGTTTAAAAACACAAAATCTATCTGAGCTAGGTTGATCATCTAATCTTAGTTTATCTGTTTTTTTTTTTGTTTTTTTATTAATTACTCTATAGTAGTGGGCACCACCGCTAGAAAGCTCCTGACGCCTGATTTCAGCACAGTGGGGACAAGCGGACCCAACCCTGTCGACACTTTCACTCCTTGTACATTTCGATCCACTCGTCCAAGAGACGTGACACATATCCTCTGTATGTCATGGGAAATGATAGTGTTAAGGGACAACATAATCATAAAGGATGTCATATGTACATATATAGACCGGCCATGGGTGTAAGACGAGCTCCTTGACCCGATCGCAGTCCAAACTCAATTTTTTTGTGTCCTATTTAGCTCAATTGTAATACCAACAGTTAATTAGTTGCAAAGTAAACCCAAGGGATGAGATAATACCCGGGTTATGTCACCCTATTGTTCTCCCCGTGGGAAAGACAGTGGGCGAAGGTCGTGGTAAAATAATTAAAAACTTGTAACATTGAAAATCAATTTTTTTCTCTCTTTTACCTTCCATTTCTTTGTAGGAGGTGACGGCGAGTGCGGCGACGAGCACGATGCACAGCAGTGCGGTCGATATGGTCATGAAGATGAGACCCCTTTCCATCTGGGTCCTCCTTCTCCACCATGTCGGATTTCTGGAAAGGACAACGTACAAAATTATATCGAATTGGCGTGAAAATATTTAAGGACGTTAAAGGAATCTCAAGACCCAAGTATATGACCAACGTAGGTCAATATACAGATGGTTAGGGATGATAAATATATGACCTAACCATCCCTAATCAATATACAGAATAAGAAAGTCGAAATCTATCATATTTAAGATTTACCCCCAAAGCTGAGATTTTTAGGCTTTTAAATAGGTGTAGTATCTTCTTTGAGGTGACGACGTGGTGCAGAATGCTTCATGGGGTTAAAAGAAGCATAAGTCTCAAACATACTACCATGAAGAGGTCGAGAGACGTAAGAAGAATATCTATCATATTTAGAATTTATTGACGAATCTCGGGATTTTCGTCTTTTTATTCAGTATAAGCTTCTTTGAGGTATATGATGCACTTTGCTTCATGACCTTAAAGGAAGCATAAGACTCAAACATATACCATGAAGAGGTCGAGAGACATAAGAAGAATTTGGAAATCTGTCGTATTTTGGGTTTATTGACGAACTTTGGTATTTTTCGTTTTTTTATTCAGTTTATAGCTTCTTTGAGGTGTCCATGTGGTGCACTATGCTTCATGGACTTAGAGGAAGCTAAAGGCCCAAAGAAGCTACCATAAAGAGGTTAAGAGACATAAGAAAAATCTGGAAAATTGCCATATTTAGGATTTACTGTCGATCCTCGGGATTTTTCGTCTTTTTATTCAGTTTATAGCATCATTGAGGTGTTCATGTGATGGACTATGCTTCATGACTTAACGGAAGCTAAAGTCACAAAAATACTCCCATAAGGAGGTCGTGAGACAGAAGAAGAATCTGGAAGCCTGTCATATTTACGTTCTACTGACGAACTTTGAGGTAAGCCCTCATCTCCGGCTAAGATAAAATCTGTTTAGCATAAAATATATTAAAAAAAAGACTGATGGAACTCACTGGCCTTCGCGATTCCTTGAAAGCCGTCGGTTCTTACATAAAACGACACCCGGACCGGGCAAACCGGAACGTACGTCCTTTGAACCCCTGATGGTTATGATGCAATCTGGAAAATTTCTGTCCTCACTCACCCCCGCAACGAGGATTTTCCCTCCCCCCCCGGTGCACAGTTTAAAGTGTAAACGACCTTTGACAATAAAATCGCATGATCGGCAACGTCCCACAAACGCCCGGCCTTTATAAAAAAATCACTGACGTATGAATTCTGCTTCGAAGGGAGACAAAATGAAACATAAATAATAACAATCAATCTGACATTAACTCACATTAATTCTCTCTTGTCTTAAATGTGCACACATGAAAAATAAAAGTTCTGTCCAATCGCTCACTCACTCACACATTCTCTTTCTCTCCCTCACCATGACTCATTCACTCATACATTCTCTTTCCTTCTCAAACGTTCACNCTCTCTCTCTCTCTCTCTCTCTCTCTCTCTCTCTCTCTCTCTCTCTCTCTCTCTCAATCACTCACACGCGCGTATTTTTCTCTCCCTCTCAATCGCTCACTCCCTCTCACTCACAACTTTTCCCCTCTTTTTGTAAATTTGTAGATATAAAAAATAACAGTTCAATTCAATCCCTATTTTCCAGTCTTCTGTCTTGTGATTCGGTCGTTGCCGATTTCGGCCTGTCGATTCAGCGGCGGGCCGAAAAGGAAGAAATGTTTAGGACTTAAAACACACCCCTGCCTGACCGCGTCAGCCGACGTGGTAGAAAGACCAGGAAAACAGGGGAAAAATTACGGACCCATTTTACGAACAATGCGCGATACTAAAATTGTAAAAATATTTGAAGAAGGATAAAAATTTATCAAGGTGGGGGGGGATTTTCTCATTATTTTGCTTTATAAATCTGATCAAGTGTTTAAGTCAGGAATTATTATTACGTTAAATCCTCTTCCATTATTCATAGGATTTTTTTTCTCTTTTTTCCATGGTTCGTAATTAATACTCCGGCCTTGTCGAGAGGTTGATATGGAATAGTAGTCAAAACGAATTTCTATCTGGGCCACGGGCGGAAACGTCGACTGTTTTTAAAAAAAGGCTGGCTGGGCAATTTTCTCTCGTCCGGGATCCGTTTCATTAAAAAGGAGACTCGTTGGCGGGACTCCGAATGGAAAAGAACGTAAATACGGATAAAAAGAGAAGACCCGATGAGGACTCAATCACACCTTCTCTCACTACGCTTACTCGCTCATTTTCTCAATCACTCTCTTGCTGGCTCATTCTCACACTATCTCTCTCACTCTCTTACTGGCGCATTCTCACAATCTCTCGCTCACTCTCTAACTCACCCTCTCTGAATCACTCTCTCTCTCCCTCTCACACTCGCTCAATCACTCACTCTCTTACTAGCTCATTCTCTCAATCACTCTCTTCTGGTTCAATCTCAAACTCTCTCGCTCACTCTCTAACTCACCCTCTTTTTCTCTTGCTCACTCACTCACCCTCTCTGAATCACTCTCTCTCTCTCTCTCTCACTCACTTTCTTTTTCTCTCACTCACACTTTCACCCGCGCATTCACTCACTCTCTTCTGGCACAATCTCACATTCTTTCGCTCACTCTCTTACTCGCGCATTCGCAAACACTCATTCACTCACTCTCTCTGAAACACTCTCTCCCTCTGTCTCACTCACTCTGTTACTGGCATATTCTAACCCTCTCGCTCACTCTCTTACTCACGCATTCACGCACTCTCAATCACTCTCTTAATCGCTCATTCTCACATTGTCTCACTCGCGCAGTCGCGCACTCCCTCCATTTCTCTTTCACTCACTAACTCACCCCCTCTCTCTCTCCCTCGCTCGCTCATTCACTCACCCTCTTTGAATCACTCTCTTCCTCTCTCTCACTCACTTTCTTTCCCCTCACTTATCCTCCCAATCACTCTCTTACTCGCGCATTCACGCACTCCCTCCATTTCTCTCTCACTCACTAACTCACCCCCTCTCTCTCTCTCTCGCTCGCTCATTCACTCACCCTCTCTGAATCACTCTCCTCTCTCTCATTCACTTTCTTTCCCCTCACTCATCCTCCCAATCACTCTCTTACTCGCGCATTCACGCACTCTTCACTTATCTCTTTCTCTCTCTCACTCATTCACTCACTAAAGTCACCCTCTATCTCCCTCTCTCTCGCCTCTCTGAACCACTTTGTCCTCCTCTCTCACGTTCTGTATCTCTCTCTCACACTCTTACTCGCTTAATCTTGCACTTTCTTACTCGCTCATTCCCTCAATCATTCCCTTACTCGCTTATTCCCTCACTCTCTCATTCGCTCTTTTTCAAGTTTCAAGTATCGCCAAGGCCAATCTGATGCAATTCTTTTTCTCGGTTAAATCTTGCCCAGGTCTCGGATTTTAATCGTCCCGGTTTTTTTTCTCTCTCTTTCTTCCCATTATGCAAATATGCCATTTGTATCATGTTTTCATCATGATCCTTCTGAACTAGATCTTGTTCACAAAAAAAGAAAATGAAAAAAAGACCGGGATCCTGAGAGCTGGACTGTAAGACTCCGCGAACCCCATTCTCGCCCGGAATTTGTCCCACATAAACGGATTTATTAACGATTGTCGCCTTTCCAAAGCCGGTTCCCGTTCGCCCACGGGTGAAAGGCGACGGCTGGGGGATTTATATTGTCTTATACATAGAAGTAGCCTTGTTCCGGCGGGTGGATCATGTGTGAAAGGTGACCGAGAAAGTTCGTTCAACTCTCTTCCAAGTTCGGACCCTAAGGCCTTTGTCACACACGCCACGCATTGGAATCGATATACATTCCAAAATACAAGCAATTGGCAATTAAACTGGCTGGGGAAACTATCAAATAAATAGGATTACAGCGTTTCTGGGATGATGGAGTAAGATGGATAGACAGAATTTGGGAAGAGATGAGAGAGTGATGGTCTGAGTGAGTGAGAGAGGGACTTGACAGAACTGATCTTTAATTTTTCACGTGTACAAATTTAGGACCATTACTGTTCTTTCGTACAATTATAAAAAGTAGGGACAATTATAAGAAGTGTGAGAGAGTTAGGGGAAGAGAGAGAAAAGGGAGTGAGTGAGTTAATGTGAAATGGAAAGAGGGGAGTGAGTGAGAGAGAAAGTAAGTAATAAGTAAAGTAAGTATAAATGTTTGAGTGACGGAGAGAGCGATTACGAGAAGGGGAGTAAAAGAGCGTGAGTTAGGGAAAAGAGAGTCAGTTATTTAGTGGGTGAGTGAATGAGTGAGAGAGAGTGAGTGAGTGAGCTAGTTATGAGTAAGGGAGAGAGCAATTACAAGAGGAGGAGTGAAAAAGCGTGAGTTAGGGAGAAGAGCGTGTGTTATTTAGTGGGTGAGTGAGTGAGTGAAAGAGTGAGTGAGTGAGCTAGTTAGTGAGTGAGGGAGAGAGCAAGTACAAGAGGGGGAGGAAAAAGCGTGATTTAGGGAGAAGAAGTGAGGTATTTAGTGAGTGAGTGAATGAATGAGAGAAAGAGAGTGAATGAGTGAGAGAGCGTGCGCGTGAGGGAGAGTGAGTGAGTTAGTTAGTGAGTGAGTGAGGGAGAGAGCTAGTACAAGAGGGGGAGTGAAAAAGCGTGATTTAGGGAGAAGAAGTGAGTTATTTAGTGAGTGAGTGAATGAGTGAGAGAGAGTGCGTGTGAGAGAGAGAGTGAGTGAGTGAGTTAGTGAATGAGTGTGGGAGAGAGCTAGTACAAGAGGGGGAGTGAAAAAGCGTGATTTAGGGAGAAGAAGTGAGTTATTTAGTGAGTTAGTGAATGAGTGAGAGAAAGAGAGTGAGTAAGAAAAAGAGGTAGTACGAAGGAGGAGTGAAAGCGGGTGAGTGAGTGAGTGAGTGAGAGTGAGTGTGCTAGTTAGTGAGTGAAGGAGAGAGCAAGTACAAGAGGGGGAGTAAAAAAGCACGAGTTAGGGAGATGAGAGTGAGTTATTTAGTGAGAGAGTGAGCTAGTTAGTGAGTGAGTAAGAAAAAGAGGTAGTATGAAGGAGGAGTGAAAGAGAGTGAGTGAGTGAGAGAGCGAAAGTGAGTGAGTGAGAGTGAGTGTGCTAGTTAGTGAGCGAGGGAGAGAGCGAGAACGAGAGGGGGAGTGAAAAAGCGTGAGTTAGGGAGAAGAGAGTGAGTGAATGAGTGAGAGAGTGAGTAAGAAAAAGAGGGAGTACGAGAGGGGGAGCGAAAGAGAGTGAGTGACAGAGGGAAGGATAGTAGAGAATGAACGAGATCTCACTCTTTCATTTTATTTTATTTAAATCTCGCAAATTTACGTCGCGCACGGCCTCTCTTACAATTAACGAGAAAGTGAGAAAAAGAAAGACAACCAAGACAGGCAGAAAGGAACAGTAAAACATCCACGCAAACGAATTGCCCAATTTAATAGGTAAATGAAGGATATAGAGCAAAGGAGAAAGGGAAGGATGAAGAAATGTGTTAATTAAAGGCTACTTTGTAATATAACCTGTAATCATTATGGGTGAAGGTTGATAAATATACTCTTTGTGACAGATTAACAAATACATAAGCAGACGAGTGTAATTGAAGGCGCGTAAAGGTGAAAAATCAAAGGGTTTAGGGGGTTCAAAAAAATCTGACTTACTTGATGACTATCTGGCTCGGGGGGTTGGTCATCTTTGAAGATTCCTGCCTCTATTCAGCCAGGTCCCGCCGAATTTCTTCTCTCCTTTCTTTCTTCCTCTCTCTCTCCTGGATTATCCTGGAATCGACAAGAAGATTTTGAGTCGAGATTTGGTCGAAATTCGGGCAAAGGGCCGAACCGGCCGTAATCATGCCTGGGCCTGTTGTGCCTTATCTGTTGATACCGATAAGTCGAGTCGAAAATTTAACCTTATTATCCTTTCCTTTCCTTTGGGGTCGTCCTTAAACAGAGTCCTTTGGCACCGAGCCGATTCGGATTCGGTTCACGAGGACGATTCCAATTCAGGACACGACCCGACTCCAAATGGACGGGAATGGGGAGAGTCTATGCCCTCGCGCAACTGTGCTTCAAGGAAAATAATTTACAAAGTCGAACAAAAATAAACCATAAAAGAAAAAATTTAAAATTTATCTCGGTCTATCTGTATGCTCTATATGCCCATTTATTTATGTTTGATAATAATTCAGTGTGCGCAAGGGTCGAAATATAGTTCAGTGAGTGAGCAGGTAAATAAACAGTTCATTCAATGCAAGGGTCGAGTTACAGTCCAGAGTTAAATGATCATTTAACGGTTCAGTTAGTGACTAATCAGGGTGCATTTCCTTGTGTGGATAGGTCGTTCAATAATCAGTGAGTGAGCGAGATCTGCTCACTAGCTCAACTGTTAAATGCCTCGTTTTCTCACTGATGTTCACTGACCTGCTCACTAAATGCACTGCTAAATGACGCATTTTATCACTGAACTGTACACGGATCCGATCACTAACTGACCTGTTAAGTGACTCGTTTTCTCACTGATGTTCACTGACCTGCTCACTAAATGAGCTGTTAAATGACGCATTTTGTCAATGAACTGTGCACTGACTTGCTCACTACCTGGACTGTTAATGACTCGTCCATTCATTAACCTGCTCACTAAACGGGCTGTTAAATGACGCATTTTATCACAAAACAGTACATTGACTCGATCACTAATTGAACTGTTAAATGACGCGTTTTCTCACTGATGTTCACTGACCTGCTCACTAAATGAGCTGTTAAACGACTCGCTTACTCATTCAATATTCTTTGAATATAATGAATAATATTTTGAACTATTCCCTCACTGAACAGTTAAATGATTCGTTCACTCACTAATCTGTACACTGACTTGCTCACTAACTGAACTGTTCAATTACTCGTTCACTCACTGAACTTTACTTCGACCTACTCACTCACTGAGCTATACTTCGACCTATTCACTCATTGAAATGTACATGACCTGCTAAATTACTCGTACACTCACTGAACGCTACACTCACTATCTCACTAAATAAACTGTTAAATGACTCGTTTTGTCACTGAACTATACTCCGACCCATTCAGTCACCGAACTGTACACTGACCTGCTCTCTAACTGAACTGTTAAAATAGTCGTTCACTTACTGAATTATACTTAGACCTATTCACTCACTGACCCATACAGACACTCACTCACTAGCTAAAATGTTAAATGATTCGTTCCTCACTGAAGTGTACACTGACCTGGTCAATAACTGTACTACACTTTGGCCCATTCACTCACTAAATTGTTCATTGGCCTGCTCACTAATTGAACAATTCACTGACCCGATCACTAATTGAACTGTTTATGATGATGATTATATTTGACCTATTCCCTCACTGAACTTTTAAATCACGTGCTTCCTTACTGAACTCATATAGTTCATTAACTGAACTATACTTCGGCCCATAAATGACTGGTTCACTCACTGAGCTGTGCACTTGAAAAACAAATATATTCACATACAAATTAAAAATAAAAAAAACTCGGGAGGGAATATTATTCATCCGCCACAGCAAGAATTTTCAGTTTTATTTTTTCATTTATTTTTCTTTTGATGAATAGGAAATAGAGCTTGTCACGTACACACCATCTTAGCGATTATTTGACTTATGTAAGACGCGAAGTACGTTTCGCTTGTAATTTTATTTCGGATTTATTTTCCTTTATTGCTTCTTTTACGACAAATCGACAAAAAGACCATGTCAATTTCATAAATGTTACATCATGAAATATTTCACAAAAAATTATAGGACAGAGGAGATAGAAAACCCTTCAACTACGTCACACCGAGTTTTCCAGTCAACACTAATTTGAAAGAATACCAATTAACGTAGATACTAAAACGTAATTGTCTGGTTAAGTTGATAAGAAGGAACAGAAAGAGTGATGACAGAAATTATATAAATATATTACTATGGTGGCCTGCACACTATCTGTACTCTTAAATTACTCTTTCACTCACTGACCTGCTAAATGGCTCGTTCACACACTGAACGTTACACTCACTCGTTCACTGACTAAACTGTTGAACCATTTTCTTACTGAACTATATTCCGACGCATACATTCACCGAACTGTACACTGACTTTCTCATTAGCAGAACTGTTAAATGACTCGTTTTCTCACTGAACTGTTCACTAAATGAGCTGTTAAATTACGCATTTTGTCAGTGAACTTTACACTGACTAGATCATTAACTGAACAGATAAACGACTCGCTCACTCACATATTTACACTTCGACTTTTCACATGTTAATGAGCGAGTCAGTGAGTATGCAGGTCGGTGTATAGTTCGGTGAAGGAATGGATCTTAGTATAGTTCAGTGAGAAAACAAGTCATTTAAAAAGTCAGTTAGTAATCGGGTCAGTCTACAGTTCATTGTATGAACAGGTCAGTAAACAGTTCAATAAGAAAACCATTCATTTAACAGTCCAGGTAGTGAGCAAGTCAGTGCACAGTTCATTGACAAAATGAGTCATTTAGTGAGCATTACTCTTTTGGTGAGTAGGTCAATAAACATCAGTGAAATACAGTTCGGTGAAGGAATGGGTCGGAGAATAGTTCAGTGAGAAAAGGAGCCATTTAGCAGTTTAATTAGTGAGCGGGTTGAGGGTACGAGTCATTTAGCAGGTCAGTGTACGGTTCAGTGAGTGAATAGGTCTATGTATAGTTCAGTTAGTGAACGAGTATTTTAACAGTTTAATTAGTGAGCGGGTGAGTGTACGGTTCAGTGGGTGAATAGGTCGAAGTTCAGTTAGTGAACGAATAATTTAAGTTTAGTTAGTGAGCGGGTGAGTGTGCGGGTCAGTGAGTGAATGGGTCGACGTATAGTTCAGTTAGTGAACGAGTATTTTAAGAGGTTAGGTTGTGGGCGGGTGAGTGTACGGGTCAGTGAGTGAATAGGTCGAAGTATAGTTCAGTTAGTGAACGAATAATTTAACAGTTCAGTTAGTGAACGAGTATTTTAACAGTTGAATTAGTGAGCGGGTGAGTGTACGGTTCAGTGAGTGAATAGGTCGACGTATAGTTCAGTTAGTGAACGAGTATTTTAAGAGGTTAGGTTGTGGGCGGGTGAGTGTACGGGTCAGTGAGTGATAAGGTCGAATTATACCTCAGTTAGTGAACGAGTATTTGAAGAGGTTAGGTTGTGGGCGGGTGAGTGTACGGGTCAGTGAGTGAAAAGGTCGAATTATACCTCAGTTAGTGAACGAGTCATTTAACAGTTCAGATAGTGTGCGTATCAGTTGACAGTGAGTGTGCAGGTCACATAGATAGATAGAAAAAAGTGTAATTAACACTTAAAAGCTAATTTGTATTTGAATTTTTTTTTCAAATACTGTCGACTGTGTAAAGGATGAAGACGTTTATACGCACCAATTCAGAACAAATGAGACGTGCGAGGAGGGAAGAAAGGACCGGGCCGTTCACCCGTGAACGAAGTACCAGGGTGTCGAGCGCTTATTAATAAGCTCCGAACTTTACATTCAATGGGTGCGGCCCCGTTATGTCGATGATTTGACACAAGGGAAAAAGACAACACAATGAACCCGAGATAACATCGACGAACGCACTTCACCATAGGTCAAAAGACGATGAACACACGAGGAAACGAAAAGTTGAGTCAACTCCAGACAATAATATCAACTGTTATCAATTTTTTTTCCAAATGAATTCACTAATTTTAACTAATATGCTTAGATAATGGTACAGGGAAAAGAAAATTACACAACAGAAACTGTAATCGGTCTGTGTCTATCATACTTTGCCTCAACCTAACGGTAAAAATGTTGTACCCATGTCTATCTTAATCTTTTTCACTTTCTCATTGACGCACTTACTCAATTAATCACTCATTCTATCCGTACTTTCTCTCCTTTTAAAAAAAAAGTACAGTAATAAAGTCATTTAACAGTTCAGTAAATGAACGGGTGAGCGAATGGGTTCGGGTAGTGAGCGGGTTAGTGTACACTTCAGTGAGTGAATGGGCCGAAGTATACTTCAATAAGTGAACGAGTCATTTAACAATTCAGTTAAACACATTGGGAAAAATAGTAATTAAACATTTTTTGATAAGAACGTAAGAGAAGATGAAAAAGTAAAATATATTTACGTATTTCTAAATATTATCCCTCTCTCACTCAGTCCCTACTTTTACTCACTTTTTTCTCTCTCTCTCTCTCTGACTCACTAACTAACTAACTCATCCTCTCCCTCTCTCACACACCCTCTCTCTCTCTCTCTCTCTCTCTCTCTCTCTCTCTCTCTCTTTCTCTCTTTCTCTCTCTCGCTCACTCACTCACTCACTCACTCTTCTTCTGTGAATCACTCATTCACTCACTCACTCTTCTTCTGTGAATCACTCACTCACTCACTCTTCCTCTGTGAATCACTCTCTCACTCACTTTCTCACTTTTTCTCACTCTCTCTCTCACTCACTACTCCCCCTATGTCACTCACTCTCGTCTCTCACTCACATATCCTAACTTACTATTCTTTTGCCCCCGCCACTCACTCAATTCCTTGCTTCACTCACTCTTTCTCTCCCTCTATCTCACCCACTCACTAAATAAAATATAAAAACTCACTCTCTCTCACACACTCACTTACATATAATTCCACTCTGTCCCATCTACAACGTCTGTCTCAAAAAGGACCAAAACTACACCCTTAAAAAATTGTAAAAACATGCCGATCTACATGTAGAAGGATGCTTGATGAACTGATGTATTTTTAAGCTTTTCTTTTTGTTTATATGTACATCAACCAAAACCCAGTTTTGCCATAATCGCAGCCAATAAAGACATATATTGAAAGACACTGAAGAATCGGCTCAAAAGTGGAATATTTTGGAAAAGTCTGCCCTAGTCTGGATGAACTTGATTTTAAGGTTTAAGAAGTCAAGTTCAATATTTTTTTTAAAATAATCAACATACCTGTATAATTTCGATGTAAATTCTCACAGGACGGCAACTCGACGGAAAATATAAGGTAAGACTTAAAAAGAAAAAAAAATTCTATCGAATAAGACGCGGTAAATCGCGTCACTCTGTGTCAAGTCTTGGGCTGTTGTCAGATCGATCCTTCGTCTGAGAATGACGAGAAGAAGCTCTTCCAGAGGAGAAAGGAGTCCGGGCCGTAAGAAGGGGGACCCCCAAGGGTTCCCCACTTCTCGAGGAAAAGACCTTTCTTCCCGACCGGGAAAAACACAAAACAGAAAACTGGTTTTTTTGTTTGATTTTTTTTTCTTCGTGGGTTTGTTTTTTCGCATGTGTGCCACTGCGTTTTTCTGGGGGGGCTGCCCTTTGCGTCGTGCACTTCCTCAGGACACGCAGATTCTGGGCGTATCTGCGCCACATTTTTCCACCGCAATTGCGATCCGTTTTTAAAGAATTTTTCAATTTTGTTTATCCCCTTTGTGAGCCATCATGAGGCCCGACTGAAAAACGCGTTTATTTACAAAAAACTTTATTTTCTATAATTTATCCTATCATACATTTACTTTTAACTAGTTGAACTATTCTCGAAAAGAAACATATTGACCTGTCTTCTTTTTCTAAATTATAGGGTTTTTTATTTTTTTTCTATCCTTTAATTATTACACCCCTTTTTCAAAAATTACATCAAAAAAGCTAAAACACACTTTGAAAACTGACCATAACAGCTGTTTACCTAGGTCTTAATGGTTCGTAGAATTCTTGACTGAACCATCTCTAACAAAGAGTAGTTCGCGAACTAGTTCGAATGAGCAATTACTCAAAATAGAGCAATACTGACCTGTCTTTCTTTTTACTAAATTTTAGTCTTTTTTCATTTTTTTTCTTTTCTATCCTTCACTTATTACTTCTTTTCAAAAATTACATCAAAAAAGCTAAAACACTTTGAAAACTGACCATAACAGCTGATTACCTAGGTCTTGATGGTTCGTAGAATTCCTGACCACCCTGTACCATCTCTAACAAAGAGCAGTTCGCGAACTAGTTCGAATGAGCAATTACTCAAAATAGAACTGTATTGACCCGTCTTTCTTCTTCCCCCTAAGAAAGTAAAATTTTCGACTCAATCGAAATTCTTTCAGAGTTTCTAGATAGTACACGTTCACACTCCGATTATCGGCCTTTATTACCGGTTATTTCTTCGTCTTTATTCTCCTATTATCTCACCGGTGAATAACTAGAAAGACCCGCGGGTTTGGAGCTGTATTGTCAATTCAAAGAAAAATATCTCAAATATCTTACGATGTGGCGAACTAGAAATAGAATTTTTCCTGACAACATAAATAATATTTTCCGCCCTTGACAAGAAAATCTATTATTAAACAGCATTTTTCCCCCTTTCCATAATTTAAATATCGTACTGTATTTGTTTATTATGTTCCATGTGAGTGAGAGCAAGAGAAAGAGAGCGAGAGAGAGAATATGGTACTTCGCTTTTCGAAAGTTGTTACATTTGGTATATTTAATCTTTATTTATCTCATTTGTGAAGTCATAGAACGGTTGTTGCCAACGAGCCCTAGGAGCCGAGAAAAAAAAATATTTTAAGTGATTCATGTAGAAAATATTTTGCTTCGTTTGCTTTGGATTCCAGGTTGAAAGAAGCTCATCGAGCGAGAGAAAGAGAGAGACAGAAGTAGCGAATCAGTGAATAGAGAGAGAGAGAGAGAGAGAGAGAGAGAGAGAAGAAGGGAGTGAGGAGCGAGAGGGATTGAGTGAGAAATAGAGTGAGTGTGGTCAGGAAGAAAGAGACAGAGGGGGAAAGAGTGAGTGAGTGAGAGAGTATGAGAGATTGAGCCTGAAAGAGTGTGAGTAAGTGAGTGCGATAAGGGAGAAAGAGAGATAGAAAGGGAAGGAAGGAGATTGAGATGTGAGAGAGAGAGAGTGTGTGTGGGCGTATGTTTGTCTGAGTGAGAAAGAGTGTGAGTTAGTGAGATAAGTGAGAGAGAGCAAGAGAAATTGAGCGAAGAAGAGTGTGAGTTACTTAGTGAATGTGATAGGGAGAGAAAAACAAGTGAGTGGGTGAGAGGGATTGAGTGAGAAAGAGTGTGAGTTAGTGAGTGAGATAGAGTGAGGAAGAGTGTGAGCTAGTTAGTGAATGCGATAAGGGAGAAACTGTGTGAGAGAGAGAGAGAGAGAGAGAGAGAGAGAAAAGGAAGAAAGGGATAAGTGAGCGAGAGGGATCCAGTGAGAGATAGTTACTTAGTGAGATAAGATGGAAAGAGAGAAAGAAAGAGAAGGAAAGGTGAGTGAAAAAGCATGAGAGATTGAGAGAGAAAGAGTGTGAGTTAGTGAGTGAGATAAGTGAGAGAGAGACATGTGTGTGAGTGAGAGGGATTGAGTGAGAAAGAGTGTGTTAGTGAGTGAGATAAGTGAGAGAGAGAGAGTTAGAAAGAGAGAGAGCTAGATAGAGAAAGAGACAGAGAGAGAGAGAGAGAGAGAGAGAGAGAGAGAGAGAGAGAGAGAGAAAGAGAAAGGGAAGAAAGGAGTAAGTGAGCGAGAGGGATTCAGTGTGAGTTAGTTATTCAGTGAGGTAAGTGAGAGAGGGTGTGTATGTGTGTGTGCGTGAGAAAGAGTGTGAGTTAATTATTGAGTGAGATAAGGGAAAAAGAGGGAGAGAAAGGAAAGGAAGAAGTGAGTGAGCGAGAGAGATTGAGTGTGAATTTGTTAGTGAGTGAGAGAGAGAGAGAGGAGGTGTTAGTGTGTGCATGAGAGAGTGAGTGATATCGATCCAATTATTCAGTCAATCTATGAATAATGAATTCATCACAATAACCAAAGGTCGCTTTGAGCAATGTAGCCCAAAAATCATTATTTTGAATGAACGAATCCGAATTTTTTTCTCAAAAATATTTTTTGGCCAACTTTACCTACAGCGCCTTTTGGTTGTTGTCAATTTTTATATATTTAATTTCATATAATAATAAGAGTAAATAGAATTCATGTATCGTTCGTTGATGAACGAGTGAACCGATAATCCTGAATATTATTTTTTTGTTGAATGTACATGCAAAACGAAATAAAAAAATTACATATTTGGATGAAATTATGTAAATTATAAAAAAAAATTCTCGGCTCCTTGGGCCACAATTGGCAAGAACGCCGAAAAGCTAAAATTTTTGGACAAAGTATTACAAAAAAATTAAATTGGTCATACCTCGTCCTAAGTCACCCCTTGTTGACTATATTCGCCTCACCGTATAATAGGGCGGTGGTTAATAAAATCAATTAGGGCACGTCATAAAAGTCAGAATCGATGTGACGCCTGTGAGGAGGGCGAGAACCGCCCCCGGAGTCGAGACACCTGCGCCCTTCCCAACCCTGTTTGCCAAACACAAATCCACCTGGCTTTGTCCGAGGAGATTTCGACGGAAAAACTCCTGGGAAGGTGCAGATGATGCCGACTGACAAGCTAGGCCCATTAGCGGGTCCCACCCTCGCCCTTTTCACCCTGTCTGAAGTGTGTTGCGGCCTGTGTCAAAGGGGGTTGCGGCCCTTCACAAAATCGACTCAATAGATCCATTATCAACCGACGAGATTTTACTAGGGGGAGGATGTACGGATGTCTTTCAATTTCTTCCGAGCTGTGTTTGCCTTCTGCACCGCTGTAATAATTGATACTTCCCAAATGGTATTTTGTTATCTCGGGAGTTGAGTGGAAAAACACACTTCGGCCTACGCCTCGGATTGAAAATTATCCAAGGGCGGAAAGCGAGACGTTGCGACACCCCCGTCCGACCCTTAACGCTCTTCTGGGCCGGCCTCGGGGTGAAATCCACCCGTGACACGAACGTTACGGCATCCGACCGACCGTGGAGGACCGCAGGCGTGGGATTAGCCAGAATAAAACCGACGTTAATCCTATATAAAAAACAAAATCCACGAAACTCTATCTGTACATAAACCAATTCCTTTTTGTTCTTCCGGATGTTGGTTGTCTTGTTTTTGTAAATAACGATTGTTTTCCATACGATTTGCGATGTTGGCGAACAACGTTTTGTTTGTCGCGTGTTTGTTGCTGTTTGTGATAACTGCGACGAATGGCTCTTTCGATAAACAAACAAAGACGGATGGGCAGATAAGCTGAGAGGAAAAGATAGATAGAGAGTGAGAGTGTCTGAGCTATTGAGTGAGGTGAGCGAGTGAGAGAATCGTTGATTTGCTTTGTAGTTTTGTTTGATGACACATAGTTAGGTCTCTTGGGCCTTTCTTACACTTAACGTGAGTTATACGGTTTAGATGATACATTTATTGTGGTTTAGACTCCTATGTCTTTATAATGTATTTTACAATTGTATCTTTATAATGAAGATAAATAAAAATTTGATTTGTTTTTTAATAACAATTCGATACATAATATAATTACGAGAACAACTGAATTAATATAAAATAGAGAGAGTGCGATATAAGTGAGTGAATGAGTGAGTGTGTGTTAGAGTGAATGAATGTGTGAGATATTGAATAATTAGATGAGTAAGAGAGAGAAAGAGAGAGAGAGAGAGAGAGAGAGAGAGAGAGAGAGTGTGAGAGAGTGAGTGAGTGAGAGAGAGTGAGAGAGCGAGTGTATGCGATATTGAGTAGGTGGGTGTGTATGAGATAGAGGGGGAGAGAGAGTAAGTGGGTTTGTGAGATATTGGGTGAGCGAGTGTGTATTGAGTGGGTGGGAGAGTGTATAGATAGATAAGTGTGTAAGAGAGGGAGAGAGGGAGGGGAGAGAGAGAGAGAGAGAGAGAGAGAGAGAGAGTGAGAGTGAGTGAGCGAGTGTATGCGATATTGAGTAGGTGGGTGTGTATGAGATAGAGGGGGAGAAAGAGTGAGTGGGTTTGTGAGATATTGGGTGAGCGAGTGTGTATTGAGTGGGTGGGAGAGTGTATAGATGGATAAGTGTGTAAGAGAGGGAGAGAGAGAGAGAGAGAGAGAGAGAGAGAGAGAGTGAAAGTGAGTGAGCGAGTGTATGCCATATTGAGTAGGTGGTGTGTATGAGATAGAGGGGGAGAGAGAGTGAGTGGGTTTGTGAGATATTGGGTGAGCGAGTGTGTATTGAGTGGGTGGGAGAGTGTATAGATGGATAAGTGTGTAAGAGAGGGAGAGAGAGTGAGTGGCTTTATTAGATA